AGCTCGACCAACTTCTCACATTTCTGCGCCAACTTCCGTCGTTTCGTCTCTTCATATCTATCTTCGCTGGAGGAGATGTGTTTATTTGCGAAAGACTCCAGGAACTGTTGTTTTGGTCCCCGTATATTAGTTTGACATAGAAGAACGCCCGAGGTAATGTTCCAGTTAATACAGAATTCAAAGACAAGAAGAAGGGCCATACCGTCTGCAACTTATCCTGCCAAAACTCCTTCTCTTTCGCCTTATCCAAGAAGGGGAAATTGCGCACATGATGGACGAAAATGAATCTGAGAATTGGTAGTTCTGAATCTATTGGACGGATCTCTCCGAATTCCGATTTGAAGGGGGCTCCGAAACGGCGGAGGGCAGTGGGGGAATTGAGCTCCGCAATCTCACCGCGGACTTGTAGAGAAATCAATTCGCGTTTCAGGTCTGTTCAGTGTTTTTGAGTTCCAAGACAATTTGATTAACATTCTATATATATCGAGAAGATAAATGGAGGGAAACGTTAATGGGTTTGTAGTTGCAAAGATTGTACGTACAATGCTCTTGTTTTCCTGTTAAGATTAGGCCTTGTGCGGGGGTTGGGTGGGCTGGTGGTGTAGAGCCCGCATTGGCAGAATTCCCAGTGCCATTTTCCATATTCTGGAGAGTGGAGAGGGAGATGTAATGTTATGTTGTATTCGGGGGTGTGGGGTGGCTGGGTTCCAGGCGGCCAAAGCTGTTGTGACGGGGCCCAGGTAGAAAGCAGCGATAATGATGATACTAATACAAAAATCTATTCTATCTCTATAAAGGGAGCGTGGCTGGTATGTGAAGTATATGCAAGAAGGAATTAATAAACAGAATCCAGCAGCAAGTCAGCGGGGATACACTGGGCAATTGCAGGACTTGAAGATGAATGCGAAGATGTCTGTCTCTAGAGGAATGTTGGAAGTGGGCTGGCAGCCGGGGTTGGAAGTCAAGATGGAGCTGAGAGCAGTGAACCAACTACACGAACAACCTGCATAGAACGGACCAGACAAATGACAGACAACGACGACCTGGACCACTGCGGGCACCAGTTAGGATTCAGAAAAGAAGAGGGATAACTATCGTCCAGACACATGAAAATAGACCGGAGAGTCATAGTTATCTAGGAACTTGCAGATGATGATGATGATGCATCTTATAACCAATCCCCCCTGTCGCAGTTATGTAGTCTGCATTGCAGCCCGTACTCAGCCACAGGGCCCACAGTCTGGAGTCCAGGACAACTCCAAAGAATGGAGTTTTACAGGGAACAGTCAGATAACTAGTTGGTTGTTTAAGATGATTTACTGTTCGGCTAAATCAACAAGTGGCTGGTTCATCAATATCTGTTTGTTCGTACCACTGTGTCCAACTTATTTATCCCCGCAGCGAACAAAGAGAGCCGTTGTTGATTCCTTTAGTATTTAATTAAAGAACTATGTATTTCCGCATCAGCATCTCACAGAGCATCTCCCACGAATCTCATACGCAGCTCCTATTACGCTGCATATTTAACTCCCCTTACATTGGCCATCCCGCCGCCTTTCCCACAAACCACCAGCCTCTTGCTCTGCTCACCTTCTAGCTGAAGCCCAGATCCGGTTAAAAACGTCATCAATTTCAAACCCCGCTACCCGAACCCAGTATATTACTACGCTGTGTACACCGATCCAGGTCACCGATACATGAAGAATTTCTAACCAACCAATAACTAGCTAAATTCATTCTCCTCGTCTACATTCACGTCCCCCGTTCACCCTCCCCCAGTGCCCATTTACTTATTTTGGATCCCCGCCCCCCGTGGCTGAACTTGATGAAAAACATCGGAAGGGCCGCGCGTAACTAGCACAAAACAAACCTGGCCCACCCGGTCCTCCTTCGCCGCCCCGTCAGACTTCAGACCGGATATGGGGATGGATGCTGGAAACAACTGTTCTTTGATGTGAAATAAGATGGCACCCTGTCCAGTGGCCCAACCCCAGGAACTTTGACTCCCTGATCCAAAAAGGTAAAAAAAATAATTCCATGAATTCTAAGTAAGTAGGCTTGCCATTCTATTATGTATACATGCTTGGAGGCCTGTTTGCAATAAATACAGCTGCTGCAGTTTTTTTGACTTTCTTGGGTTTTTCTAACTCCTTAGTTTAACTCCTAGTCTTCAACGAAGCAGCTTTATTTAGAGCCTGTTTGATCTTCTCAATATTAGTAAATTTGCTATTAAGGCTGGACCCAATTCTTTTCTTGGTTTTTGATGTATTGAAAGATGACTAGAGAGCTTGTAAATTGTAGCTTTCTGAACTGCTTGCTGAGAATTAACAATTTTACTAATCATATTAAAAATTTCTACTGACTTTTAAACATATATATTTTATAATGATTTCCATTATCTTAGGGTTCTAATATAGATCTTAGAGATTTTTGAAAATGATAAATGGAAAATTTATTGCTTTATAATCAGTAGAATTTATAATATAAAAATTATAAATTGTTAAATTTCAATTTTAATTAATTAATAACATATTAGATAAATTATTTTTATTTACTTTTTAATTTTATTCATTTAAAGTTTTAAAATATATTATTTAATTGAATTTAAATAAATCTCACTTTATTACTAAAGTTGAATTATTTCAATAATTAAAAAATTATAACTTTATAATAATCTTTATAAAAAACAAATAGATAAATATAGTAATTATAATATATGAAAAAATATACTAATAAAAGATTATATATATTATTTATATAATAAAGTTTAAAAAGTTAAATTTATATATAACTTTTATAATCATAAAAATTAATATTTTAAAAGCTATTGCTACAAATAAATTTTTTTGATATTAAGATTTATTAATATATCAAATAATATATATAAACTTAATCTTATACTTTTTAGCTTTAAATTAAAAGATTTAAAAATATTTTATTTGTAAATATTAATAGAAACTTGATAAATAATTATTAATAATACTGATAATTTTCAAAGTTAAATTTAATTCAACACTTTTTAAGTTTTATAAAACTAAATTTAATTTTTAACTAATATTTCAATATTAGTTAAATAACTAAATCATTTATATCATTTCATATTTATTCATATTTTACATATTTTTTTTATTAATATTTTAAATATTATATCAGGTCTATATCTTATTAAATAAAATACAAATTAATTAAATTTACTTCAATTAAATTTTTAAATTTTATTAACATTAATTTCTTTGTTAATATAAAATAAAACTTTAGAGTTACATATTAAAAAATTTAATAATCTATTCTTTATTTAGAAAAGCATGTGTTTTTTTTATTTATCTTCAAAATTCAAAATGATCATTTCTTGTTCACATGCATGAGAGAGAAATTAGACTTAGAGCATCTTCATTTAGCATTCATTAAACTAGAAATTCTACTTGTTCAACAACTTAATCTTTGCTGTTGTTTATAAGTTATATATCATATCTGATTCTGTCAGCTAATTGATGATGTAAAGTGATTCTTGGGAGACAGAAAGCTGCATTCTTTAATGACTTGTTGAATAGATATATTTTCACATTGAAAGCTAATTTGGAGAAATAAAGTTGTGAAGTTCATTTATGTTTGAGTTGGAAAGGCCAAGAACTTACTCAGGTGGCCACTGGATCGGCTATCATCTTAGATCCAATATCGATGGATGACGAATGGATAAGAGGGGTTTTACCTTAACGTGAAATTCCCATTAGAAACTTATGCCGAACCTCGCAGCCTCGGAAAACATATCTAACCTACACTGCTGGTTATTTGCGGGATAATCCCAACCCATATACAATGATGATGTAATTGACCTTGCGGAGCCGCCGTGGGCTGGAAGGGAAATGTGTCTACCTACTAAATACCTTTACCCTCAATCACCTATATCTCGTTGCCTGCAAGTTGTAAACAACAGCCAAAGTTTCGAATAAGTGAAGAGAACGCCAAACGCGGAGAGTAATTCCTTTCTGGTGGGATTTATTTGACAACCTTGGGAGGCAGGTATCAATCAGTATTTTGAAAACTCAACTACTGGGGAGGTGGAATGAAGTTGAGCTATCGAAAATAGTGTTGAATTTATGTTCAATCAAATAGAGTCAAAAAAAAGTAAATCACTATCAAACCTCATTTCTCATTCTTATTCTACAACAGTTACCTTAAAAAAGTAAAAAAGAAGTCAGAACCAACTCAACAAGAAGAAAACAAGTTATGATTTCTTTGTCTAACGTTCCATTCTTGTATCCCATCTCAACAACATCCATCCGCGTTTCTCATATTCCACATCCATTAGGTAGCTGATCCAAGCCCTCCAAAAAAAAATTGAATTGATGGGAGAGGGTCGTCTATAGGTAGGGATAGAAGTAGAGGTTAAAACGACAGATCATGACATGAACAAATCAATTAATCAATCTGGCACAAGAGGAAAATTCTAACGAACTCTTCAACCAGCTAACCAGCTCAAACCACGGAGCGTTGTAGGGGAGAGAAACCAAACTAAGGTAAAAAGTAACAGGGTGGAAGGGGGCAAGGAGTAGAAACTTATAAGTATAACACAAGTTTGATAGAGATGAGACGTGAGACGTGAGATTAAAACTATTGAAAACAAAAGATCAGTGTATTCAAACCACATGAAAATGGGTGAGAGGAAAATGGGAAGGGAGGGGGGGCGGGTTTGGAGTACAGTAGTAGCTATCAGGATCAGAAATACTTGTGCAGATGGTTCGGTAACATAGATGAAACAGACATTTACCAGCTCATCAAAACAGGCCAGGCTACCTTGATGAAAAATGGGTAGCAAATAAAGAGAAATCGAGACGGGGTGACAAGGGTTTTAAGGGGAGTGGAATAAGAGACAAAACAACAAAAAACTTCATTCATTCCCAATATATTCTTCCCTACCTTCCCCTTTACCAATCCAAAGACAAAAAAAAACATTCTCCAAGTAACCACTAATCTGTGCATAAATGTTCGCATTCACCAATCTAATAATCCATCACATACTCATCAGCCTCCCTGTGCATATCCATTGGATCAATCTGAACCACCCACGCATCATCAGCACTATACTGATCATGCGGAAAAGTATTCAGCATTGGGAAGTTCTGTGCAGAAGTCGTGGTATCTCCCGGACTTTCGAAGAGCGTGAAGTCACCATTCGGTTTACCCATGTGGTTATTGCTGTGGTTACCATACGCATCATGGAATCCTTCATCGATATTCTGTTGCGAGTTGGGAGAGTAGAGCATCAAGTTGCCCTGTCCGGTGGGGGAGAGGTTACTGGAAATCTTCTGCTCGGACACGGAGGTGGGTGAAAGGCCGCTGACGGACGTGTTGCGTGAGAAGGGACTGAGACCGTGTACCTCTACGGATTGGGCTGGAGTAAGAAGCTGCATGTTCATGGTTATGTATTCACTGTCCATGTTGTCAAAGTCGACGTCAAAGTTTGGGGTTGTGGTTCTGGGATCGAAGGGGGTTTCGTCCAGAAGACCTGAGCCCAGGAGTGCGCTGGCGGGAGCGGCGCTGGTGCTGGAAGATGACGACAACATAGGGATGTCCAGGTTTGGAATGTATTGGTTAGGATCTGTAGCTGCCAAATGGGCTTCGAAAGCGCTGAAATCCATGGGTGATACAAATGCGTTAAAATCGTCCATTGCATCTGGGAAGAGTTGGAAGTCCTGATTCTGGGGATCCGTCAAATCATCCAGCGGGTATGTGCCAGAGCCAGGGGCATTGTATTGCAAGCTCTGCTCATACGGAGAGACATTTGCTAGGTAAGGGGAAAGGGCCGGGTGGCTTAGTGGCGTGGGGATATCCACTGTGCCTGAGTTCGGGGTCTTCATGATTGGAGTTTGTGGAGTGTGTGGAGTATGGCTACTCGACACACGACTGCTGGCTTTTCCATTATTTTTAGATCGAACGTATACCCACCCATGGGCCTTCTCCATATGCTGCTTGCGATTACTGTCACGCTTGGACTGGTAAGTACAAGGTGGGAATTGACATCTGTACAGCTGTGGAGATTTGGAGTGCTTGTCATTGACATGACGGTCACGTTCTTTCTCAGTTGGCCAACCAATCTCAAAATACTTGCATGAGCGCTCATCACATTTCCATGGTCTCGAATGCGTCTTCTCATGCTTCGTAAGATCACAGGGTCTCTTGAACACCTTATCACAGTCCTTGCACTTCTGGTTAATGTCAAGGGGAGGTGCATTCTTCTTGCGTCGAGCCATCGAACGGGTGACACTGTCATCGCACGTCTCCGTGCTCAAGCTACGTTTCATCATTGGGATCACAGAAGAAGCCTTCTCTTCGTAAGGTTCTCTGGTACGTAGTGAGATCGCCTGGTTCTTCTTGCGTCGGACCAGTTCAGCAGGTCGTCCAGTGGCAGCCAGGCCACCTTCAAGGGTGAGCTCTTCGTCACTGAAAACATGTGAGCCCAAGGCAGAAGGAGAATTATTTCCTAGGGGTGCTTGCACATACGATGAATAGTCCTTGTTGTTCTCGCTATTTCTCGAGCGGGGGCGAGGGCCCTTCCTTTCTCGAGCGGCATTGATCATCGACGCGTACTGACGGATCTGTTCGACTAGGTCAAGGAAATAACCGTTGGTATAGGGACGATCAGATGGGCGTCGCTGGTCACGCTCATTCAGATATCCCACAGTGGTATGGAGGCACTGAATGGTAAATTCACAAAATGCAATGTAGGATGCTTTGGACGTGGTGAACTTCTTTATATGGTTTCGCAATGTATGAGCACAGTCCGACACATCGATGTCAAGAAGCTGACTCACCGGTGCTAGGAAGAGAAGAGTCTTTTCCAGATCACGAAGACAGGTAATCTCCTTGTTCTCAATACGCTCGGGCACACCACGGGCTAGGGGGTGGAAAGGGGTTAAACGTTTCTCTAGAAGGATAGGGTTGAGAATAAAACGATCGATGTTCTTGCGAGCAGCAACACCAAAAGTAGGAATTTCAAGAGTGTTAGATGAGATTGATCTTGTGATAGCTGATTGTGTTGATGCCACTTTAGGCTCCTGCAAGCTCTGGCGGTCCTTGGGTGAGTGATTCATTTTGTCAAGTGCTGAAGTTAATAGATTGCGGTTAGCACCAGCGTTGTGAATGTTGTTGAATGGGATAAACAGGTAAAGCCTACCCTTCTCGCGTGAATGGATCGACGTTGAGTTACTTGTGCCGCTAACCGAGGTACCCAACCCGCTATCAGACGCATGTTGGCGGGAGTTCATTGCTGGGGAATCGTCAATCCGAAGAGGCTTGCAGTGTTTTGAGTCTGTGCTGTCGGTATCCATGGTGTCAGCGTGAATAACGTGGGCATCTAAGATGGCGCGTGGGACCGGAAGGTCATCGTCATCGAGGATCCTATGTCTGTTGCGAGAAGAAGTAGAAGAAGAAGAAGAAGAAGAAGAAGAAGAAGCAGTAGACGGAGAAGGACTAGACGGAGAATAGTCCCCAAGCCCAGAGAGGTTACGCTCGAACTTGTCTATGAACACGGCCATGCGTTTTTCACCGGCAGCAATGACATCCTCCAGGGACCTAGGGCAGGTAGGAGAGCGTCGAAGCAGAGAGTGAATGTTAAGGATAGGATCGGAGCCTGGCGACGGCGGGGTCGTTGGAGAGTGGAACGTGGCACCTTTCCTCAACTGCATGCTACGTAGTGCTGAGTGACGACATGCTGGGTCGGATAGATCTGAATAAGACGAAAGAGGAGAAGAGGAGGTTGGAAGACGGGAGATGGGAGCATTATTATAAATAGGACGACGGCGTGGGTGAACCCGGGGTGCAGACATACTGTGCGACCAGGGGCGGAAGGACGACTATTTTGGGAGGGAAGGATTAAAAGGTTAGCATAAAAGAAAGCAGAACGGAAGCCCCCCCCCCCCCCCCCAAAAAAAAAAAAAAAAAAAAAAAAAAAAAAAAAAAAACCACCCTCCCAACCCCCTTCTGTGGAAGGCAGGGAAATGCAAGCCTCTTGCAAGTTGTAAACTAGGGTTATGACTCACTGGAAGACCGAGGGGAATTGAGGACACTATTCAGAATCGAGAATCGGGATCTGCAGATAGGGCTTGGAGGAGTCACAACGGGAATACACTCAGCAGGGGCTGTTCATGAGAGCATATATATATGCGTAAGACTGGCCAGATGGGCCATTATCAATTGAAAATTGCGTATCGTTTTACTGACCCTCAATTCAACAGACGTCCAGACGATTGTTTCGGCAATATTCCAAGTCGGATATTGCTTGGAATTGACAGAATACTGATGATCTCCCCTGCAGGTCGAGGGAGGAAGCAGGTCATACACTCCTGGCAGACGAAACAAACAAACCGGGGGATAAAAGATGGAGAGATTCAAAGCAGCTGAGTATTCAGATTTGAGAAGATACACAGAGAGAGAACCTTGCAGAAAACGAAAACCAGGGAGCAAACCAAGCAACAAATAGACAAAGACAGACGCTTGGATGATAATGACTATGAAGGCGATGTCGACCTGCGAGGGCAGAGTTTTTAAGAGGGACGGATATAAGAGGGATCGGATCAGATCAGACCAGGCAACAAAAAGGGACACCAGGAGTTGAAAGACAGGTTGTGTAAGAGAAGGAGAAGCAAGAGGAACGAGAGCAGCAATGGCAGCAATGGCAGCAATGGCAGCAATGGCACCGAGGGAAGATGAGACAGGTGACGGTAAGCAAGGGGCTGTTTAAGAGAGAGAGAGAGGGAGAGAGAGAGAGAGAGAGAGGGACAGAAAGAGAGGGGACAGGAACAAGAGACCCGACAAGACAGCGACACAGGCGGAAATGACCAGAACGACACACGCACCGCACGGCAGAAGGGCGCAGGAAGGCCGGTCGCCAGGAAAGGCAGGACACTTTTCTGGAGTGAACGGCCGCAGTCGAAGGGGAGTCGTAGCAATCGTGTCTGCCTGATAGACGAGCTAGGGAGCCTCCTGATTGGCTGGATGGCGCAGTAAATATGGGGCTGGGGGTCGCTCTTTCTTGCTCGTTGGTATATGGCTCTAAACCTCTTTGGGCGCGCGGTGTCAGGACCAACGCCAATACTGCGCTTTGTCAGCGTGATTTTTGAGTGGAAAGATGATGGCTGGCATCTGGCGTGTATAACTCTAACTTTCCCCCTGCTGTTAAAAAACAATAGCTGTTCTGTCCATGAATCTTGCTGGCTATTAGTTATTATTATATTAACTAATATATTATTATTATTATTATTATTATTATTATTATTATTATTATTATTATTATTTTGTCCCTGAGACATCTTCTGGCTTCCCTTATTCAACAAGTTGTAAAATGTAAAAACACTAAAAAAACAACCCTTAATGCATATAGGTGCCAGAATTCCTGGAAATATACACAAGGTATCCGTCAACTGTTCAGTTAAGTTCAGCATGTTGGCATGAAACGGCCAGCATATTTCTTGGAACCGAACAATCTAACCACGGACGGGTCTCGTCTAGGTTCTATCTTTCTTCCTCTTGACTCCAAAGCCCTAAATACCCCTAGCCCCCTTTCTCGCTCCTCGTGGGGGTCCTAATGGCAGCTGCCCAAATATATCTCCGTCCAGTTCATACGTCCCCCATACCAATCTTCCCACTAATTTCAGCCGCTCTTTCAACGTCCTTTTTGGTGGGAGACCCCAGCTCTCCGCAGCAGAAAACGCGGTGTCCACGCTGAGCACCGCCTGGTTTGAAGCTAGTCGTTTCCATACCATACGCCGTATTCATACCTCATCCCTCATAGACCCCCAAACTCCCAACCGAGACAAGTTTGCGCTGTCTAACTAGCAATAAGCTTTATTACTTTATCAGCTTATCGAATGGTCTTCCTGACAGGCTGGTCAAGACGTTAAGCCAGAAATCTTTTAAATACGACATTCCGTGCACATTGCGGTGTATGCATTATGCACTTTGGAATTCTTCCCCTATGTTAGCGTGATACAACAAGTTGTTGAGGCTCAAAATTGCCAAGGACCAGATTACATGGGATCCATACTTCTCTCTTCCCACAAACACCCTAACACAGTGTGCATTCCCAAACTTAACCGTGGTCAAACGACTGTGGAAGCTTCTTGTCAACAAAAGTCTCTTGGGCTTGGCATCAGCACCAAAACCCCATTATAATGATTTATTTCAGAGACAATTCCAAGGACCAAAAACCGCTTTCTGTACGGTGCTCTGTACGCCACGCATCTTGGCCCCCATTTTTCTCTCCGGATGCATTCCTCCTTCCCATCAATATTCAACATGCATGAACAACCAAGTACGGCGGTTTGATGATAGAACACCGAAGGGACCCGGCTTTGAGCTAATGGGGCTGGCAGCCTCATCCAAGGATGACACAGCCGGTTATTGGGTGAGTCGAAACCCGCTTGCATAATTGGGTCATTAACCTTGGCATCGTTTGGACGCGAGCACCTTTATTTTAATCGACCCAACGACATTTGAATTTTGAGTAAATAATACTTTCAAACTAAAAAAGAAATAAAACGTCATTAAAAAAAAAAAAACCGAAATCATATTACTATGTATCATCCTGTTGCACACTCCTTCATAAGCCCACGAATACCCGCTCAGGGATTTATCAGTAAACCAACTCACACGTGCATGCAACGTGACCCGACTCTGACGACGGAATAAAAAGCACGCGAGACCACGCGATTCACACATCATTGCTCACAAAACCAGTCTCCGCATCATATTAGAGGTTAACCGCGCGTAGCTCCCCTCACCGCCTCAGCAAATGGCACCCTGTTGCCGGCAACAGCGCTAAGGATATCTGGTTTATCAAGTCGTGTCCTTATTGACATCTTGATCATAGATGAAAATTCTTTTAACATGGAAGGGGGAAGAAGAAGAGAAAAGAAAAGAAAAACAATTGAAAAGTTCATGCATAGTTAATCTCTTCGATTTTCCGAATCTCGCTCGCCCCTTGAGGACAAGCAACCTCATGGTTGGCAATTGGCAAGGGCTTTGCGTTAACCAAGAGAGAAAATTATCCAGGTCCAACACTGTTACCCTGGAAACAAAGAAAAGTAAACTACGCAGTGAAGACTTCGGTCTATGAAATAAATCAACACCTCCTCCCTTGCGGTTTACCGGGGTCAGCAAGGCGTTTTTTTCTTTGTTCGACTCAAACCCTCATTATCCGCCACATGCCTTCTATATTATTGGATTATATGATAATATTACCCATGAGATTATTAACCGTAGAACAATCGAGTTAATTAACTAATCCTTCGTACGCTATTTCCTCCGTAGAAACCTAATCATTAGGTGACGATTGTTGGGCGCAAAGGATAACTGTAACTGCGGTGGCGCACATTACAATGCGTTGCACGCCCGAGTTTATAGACCCCATTCCACTCCTCCAACTGAAAGTATGCAGTTGAAATCGGAGTACTAGAGAGTAAAAAGTAAACATACCGAACGGAGAAATGGAGACCGTGCTTGTCTCTGTATCTGTATAATGTACAAAGGAGCGCCCCGCATAGGCATAATCACAAACATTTACTATACATGTGGTCCAACATTCGCCCAATCCCAATCTTGATTTCATGCATTTATCGGGAGTAAAAAACCCAGAAGACAAAAGCATCCACCCAATTCCCCTCCCGCGGAGCCGTGCCTGAACCATGGTTGCGGCAATATCAGCCGACAATCTCAGCTAGTTTAAACCTTCGCGCCATGATTATTGGCTCTTGGAACGCATTAGGCTCAAAACCATCCTCTGGTTTTCCGATGGATCCATGCATGCATGCTCATACCTTGTCACAAAACCACTGATCCCAATGGATGAATTGCCGCTTTTGTTATTATTATTATTATTATTATTATTATTATTATTAGTTTTTATATTTTATATTTATTTATTTATTTATTTACTCATTTTCAAACTTGCAATTTTATGCAAACGAGACGATTCATATGATCGTCCTAATAATAGGCTTGTTCCTCACAGCAAAGGTGTGGATTTTTTTGCATATATATTTATCTAACTCCGGGTAGACTCAATTTCTTCTGCTCGAGGAGATAGGGAAGAGCATTTGGAGTGCAAGTCAAGAAATCTATCCAAAATTGAAGGGATAAATAAAGTCAGCCGAATGAGCTGAAACTTACAATTATTTAGTTTCCGTTGATGGATATCTGGACCCCTAATACAGCTGTTTTGGTGGATAATGAACCCTGAAGGAGATATACATGAACAACCGGAAACAAGGACAGGATGACGAATACACAAGTAGCCGTTCAAGGTATGGTCGTTTCAACTGGGGGGTATTGATGGCACTAAAATATATATTTCGGTATCGCCAATGATCATAGATCTATGAATAGAAAAAGATCCAATCTGATATTAGTTTCTAGATGGACCCTATGGAGTATGGACTCATCAAGTGGTGGGTAATAGAACATTTGACAGAATGGCAAGCTTGATTGATTTCAAAGGTTGCTAACTACGAGAATGACCATATGTTGGACGTCTGAAGTGGTTGTATTGGTATCCTATCTCAGGATATACGATTGTGCGGTGCGCTAGTCCATAATAGGAAGCCTAGGCTCCAACACCATATTGGGGGAACTAGGTCACGTGACGGAGTGGTCAGACAACATTTTGTTATTCCTACATACCTGGGGAACAAATTTCACTCTCTTATTCCCCCCCTTGGGATTGCCAGTCACTATATCATTGTCAAAATTTACCATTGGCCACATCTTTTACAAATGTTCTTCATACCATAAAGATAAGCCTTGACGATCAGCTTGTTAAATTGACCCTGAATACTGGTCAAATTAGCACGCCCACTGTCATCGAAAGCCATGCCTTGTACTTCACCTTCTTTCACGGACATGCCGTAGCGCCCACCATCTGAAGAGACAACCGTAGATCACCAGAACCATGCACTAGGAGCCATGCACTAGATCCTCTGGGTAAAAAGCTTACCCAATCGTTCTCCTTCCTCGATGCGCCTGTTGACTAAAGAAACCGATGTGTATTTAGCAGTTGTATTGTTATCGACTTTACCCGGATTTGCCTTCCAGGTTATATATATTCCTAGGTAAGATAGGTAAGAAATCCGATGGTTCAACACATTAATTAATGTTGTGGACACTCCTGCTTCCGGCCCATATATCTGCTCATTTAGCTGTCTTTCGTATTATGTACATAGTAGGTCCCCTCATTCAAACCGCACCTATAGAGCTTTGGAGATATTTTGCAGCAGAGTTTCCCTCTCTCAGTTTCAGCCCGAGTGTCACTTCGCGGCACCATCAATATCCCAATACGTGGATACATGTTTCTCACGGCGATCCCTCTCAGAATGAAGCGCAACCAGGAGATGATTGCGAACTATACTGAGAATTGGGGTAAGAATTATCCGTGCGCTAAGGATGCGCAGGCTGGGATGTATTGTCGAATAACATCGGTGGAAAGGAGGTTAGAGTTCTGTTGAGCGGCATCCCAGCCAGTGAGATGCCATCCTCAGGGTTCCACTGGATGCATTGCCCATCCTGCAAAGTTGTTGTGTTGGTTTAAACGTATCCTAGCAAAAGCAGGAGTTCATCAGGTGTGTGTGATGAAGATGAAGAATACAATTGAAATCCCTTTTGCCCTTTCGGGGGTTTTTGTTGAGTTTTTTCTGCGTTTTTCCCTTTTTGAGAAAAGATGAAACGTTTCCCAAATTCTTGAATTGATGGTGATGAAGGTAAGATTGTGTGATTTTGGCGGCCGGATATTGGACTGTAGGTAGAAGGCTTATTATTGGGCAGCTAGTTCCAGTTCGATGATTATCGAAATGATGGTATTTTTGACTCTCTGGAATATAAACAACTTGAAAGGCTTTCAATCACGAAACACCTCTGTGACTAGCCGAGAATACTGGAGGAAATAAAAGGCAGACTGCTTCAGGATTCGAAGGGAAGACCGTAAACGGAAGTGAAGCTGCGAGGGCTTTATCGTAGTGACAATATACCCCCAAGAAAGTAGTTTCTTTAACCTCCATGATTTTGTCTTTCAGTACCTTTCCCTGGATATTCCCGCCCTCTATGAACGCTGTGGTGTCTAGTCTTGGCAGGTCTTCCACAGCTTGAAGTCTCCTTCATTCGCCTACTTGTTTTTCTGGAACGGGAATTTCCCTCCCATCCATATGTCAAATGCGTACCGCCAGGGTCAAATATTAAAATTTGGTTGTCACTTTCTGAATAGCCATTCCAGAGCCGGGTGCTATACCCTGGACCTCATAGCGTGATTTTCTCCGCATGTAATTGTCCAATGGGACGATGTCAATTTAACCCTAAGAGCTAGTTAACTACCTTACCTGAGCTTTGATGATGTCATAGACGGCTCTATTGATTGTTCATATCAATTTGCAAAATTGGAAGGCATATCTGCGCCTAGATTGGCCGTAACTAATCCCTGATTGTGTGGTGTGTCCAGTTCATGTAGTAATAAAGTTAAGGTTAGTCTTGATGATGCACGGACAGTACGCTTGTCCCACCCGCGCTGGGTAATGGAGACAACCGAGAGTCATGAAGTGAAAATCGCGATAATGAAACGTTCAAGTCAATTCAGTGAGTGGGGTGTGCAGTCCATTTGGCTGGAAATTGTGATATTAAGCCGTTGGACTTTTACACAGTATTTCAAACCATGTCTAGCGACTCGAACGGTGCTTGGGACCACGCCAATGTTGGATTCAATCCGGGCACCAAGGAAGCTAACATCAACCTCCCAGACCAGGAGAAGGAGAGTAAATACGCTGATAGGCTGTGCTAGCGGTTCCCATCTTTGCACCAAGGAATTTTACTAGGAGAATGTTGTTTGAGAGGGGTCAAGCAGTTAGTTACCTAAAATCTAGGCTGTTAGTTATAGAGCAAAGCTGGAGTAATTCATCAATTTGGGTATTTGACTCATGATATCATAACATCACTCCACTGAAATAGCAGTTTTCCCTCGTTCTTTACCTTTCTCAAGCTAGCAGTGCTGGTCTGTTTAAATGAATGGGTTGAAGAGTTGCTCGATGCTGATAACTACTTTGAACGTTGGTCCAAGCTTTCGGATTGGCCGACTTTGGGTGAACCTCGGTATCGGGACCGGCACCAACGTTTTATTGATTGGCCAAGTCTTCATCGGCAGCGCCGCAGCTGTTCCTCTGTCTAGACAACACCCACAACCTGCATCTCCTTCTCGTGTCCAGTTTACCTGAGTTGGCATTACATGTTGCGTTTAGCATTACTCTTTTTTGGATTGCAGATAGAATTTTAGCGAATGGTGAAGGGCAAGGAGAGTGGTGCAATGGAGTCCATATCCTATGCTCCTGACAACTTAAACCGTCGCCGGTGGAGAGACCGGCTTAAACGGCGACTGCACAATAAGAACCCTGTGTCTGCTAGATTGGTCCTTGACCATCATTTGCGAGGAGATGCTGGTGTTCTGTCAGATGATTTGGCGGCTGACTTGTTTCCTGAATCGACTATCGAAGGCATGTAGAGCAACGCTCCCGTCATTCTTATCCAGGCCCGCAGAAAATTACATTCACTTGGATATGGAGCACTTGTGCTAATGATAAAACAGCTCTAGCGGAATCGCAGGATGTACGATACATTGCCATAACTCCATGGTCGCCTCTTAAACTTCCAGTGGAGGATCTGTCATGGACTTTTATACCGGTGCGCCTTCAGAGTCCCGGCAAATCCCAAACTGCGCGTCTATCCCACTCGACTGCCCATTTTCCAGCCTCTAGCGGCTCCATCCGGTCATTTGTTCAGACCCTTGAAACGCTTGACCCAACACGCACCTTAATATCAAGTCAGCGAGCTATCGAAATACATGTCCTGGAGGTTGTCCCGCTTTTCTTGGATACTATCTATGTGACAGTGGAACGTCATTTACTCAGTAACGTCGATGATATTCAAAGTAAATTTGGCGGCGGTTTCAGTACGAGGGCACAAGGAACGAATGGCCTGAGGATCAGGGGACAGGGACTACCATCCTTATCAGCCACGTCCACCAACGAGAAAAAGGAAACGGCTGCTGAAAGAGAAGAGCGTTTAGTGGGACTGATTCGAGAGGCGATTTCAACCCAGAGGGTATTACATGCAGGGGATTTGCTACCGCTACAGCTACCTCCACATCCAATCACCCATGCACCACCCCCACCCGCTAAAATTTCCTTTTGTGAGCCTGTGGCGCAAGGGTTGGTTAAACCTGCCACTAAAATTGTTCTTGTTCAAACAAAACCACACCGTCAATCTCGAATTTCCAAGAACTTACCATCACCTGGTTGTGCTCTTTTAAAAGAGTTGGTCGAAGATGAAGGAGATGACACGTCCAATGAGCAGTTCTTTTCGGCGGCAGAGGAGAAACTGAGCAGCACGGACATGGAAAGTACTTCACCGCCTGAGGAGTCTGGTACAGAAGCTTCGGTTCAAAGCTACAGTGAAGCTTCAGATGATTCATTGGACGATATGATCTCATTAACGGCCCCAGAGCTTCCTCAGCAACCTTCAGGGACAATTTCAGCCGTGACATCGGCGACCCCACGACCTGGTGGCAAGAGATTTGATGTGCATACCCCAGGGTCGATGCTCTCCAGCTTTACGAGCGCTACTGCGCGTGCAGGAAGAAGTATGGGCAAAATCTTCCGAGCAGAAGGGCTCCTAGAGAGAATACCCAATGAAGTTCTCCACCCCAAGCCACGAGAGTCTGATGACTCTGACTCTTTTGTTTTTGTGGATATTCACACTCTCACTAAAATTGGTTGCTTTTCAGGTGACTGGGTTAGAATTGAAGTTTCTGAGGAGCCTCAACTTAATATGTTATCTTCTCTACAGTTCGATAGTCTAAACGGGCGGATGGATAACACTAATGATATAACATGGAGGACTGTAAAAATCTACGGACTGCCGGGCCTAACGTCTCCCAAACCTCGATACTCGATGAGCCAGTCCTCAGCGAGGCGATCTAGCATATCGCAGATGCCTTTCCATCGGATTACTCCTACGGTGTTTGTCCCTCCGATTCTATTAAATAACCTGGAAAATCCTAAATATTTAAAACTTTCACCCATGTTACCTCACGGATCTCAACATGGTATTTCAAGATCTGGGATTGCACAGCCAAAATCGAGTTCATCCAAACAACCTCCTGTTGCGAAGGAAGTTACCCTTCTGAAAATATCCACTCCACTTTCTATGGACAGAACTCTACAGCCTGTCCTCTTTGCTGGATTGAAACACTATTTTGAATCAAAACAGCGACTGGTCAAAAGTGGGGATCTCATTGGTATAAGTGTTGATGAGTTCTTAGGGAAAGCAATATTCTCATCTGCCCGGGGTCCTGATGCTGGTGATGACGATGACATCACAGCCCAGCTTGGGTTTTCTCTGGATTCTCAACTGAAAGCCCAGAATGCATCATCGGGGAAGGTGGGTGTTGCGTGGTTCCGTGTTAGTCATGTTGTATCTGCGTCTGCAGAGGAATCGGAAGATGGCGCCGACAATGAGCGATGGGGTGGAGTTGCTGTCATTGACACTTCTTCAACAAGGATGGTACAAGCTGGGAGCGAAATTAGTAGAGTGCCGGGAACACTCAACAATGGATGGGAGTACTGGCTGGGCGTGAAACCACTGCCAAAGCCGAGTAATGTGGCGGGAAGGCCACGTAATTTTGTCATTGAAGCTCCTAAATTATTCGTTCCTCCTCTTCAGCAACGGCTTCGGGAACTTATATCTGCGTCAACTAGCCCTAGAGCAATTCAACTCGGCATGAAACCCGTTGTTATCCTTCTTATCTCTACTCAGCGGAGCATTGGGAAAACTACGGTTGCACGTCGTGCTTGTGGCGAGATTGGACTTCATACATTTGTAATCGATTCCTACGATATTCTGGCAGAAGGTGGCACCAATGGCGGAGACGTCAAGACGGAGGCTTTTCTTAAAGCTAGGGCGGATCGGGCATTTTCTTGCGGAGCAAGCTGCACTGCCTTGCTGATTCAACACATTGAGGTTTTGAGCGCTGATAGGATGGTTACAACATTGAAGGAGATTGTGGCTGACTCAAGAGTTACAATTGCTACTACTACCGATGTTGAGAAGGTCCCAGAGGGCATTCGAAGCCTTTTCACCCATGAACTTGAAATGACCGCGCCCGAAGAAAGGGAAAGAGAGGGTATCTTACGAAACGTTATCAATGACCAAGGGGTCAGGATTTCAGCAGATGTTGACCTAGCATCTGTCGCGGTGAAAACAGCAGCCCTCGTTGCCGGTGATTTAGTCGATGTAGTTGAACGGGCAGTTGCTGCTAAAACCCTTCGCCTCCAAAAACTAGCAGAGAATGCCACAACTGCAGATGAGAAAATGAGCCTCATCGTGCGAGATATTCAAGCTGCAGGTGGAGACGCTGCGCGATGTGTAATAAATGAAGATTTCGATGCTGCTGTAGATGCAGCTAGGAAAAATTTCGCAGACGCTATTGGCGCACCGAAAATTCCTAATGTTGGCTGGGATGATGTTGGAGGCCTTACGAACGTTAAAGATGCTGTTATGGAAACCATCCAACTTCCTCTGGAACGACCAGAGCTCTTTGCCAAGGGCATGAAAAAGCGAAGTGGTATTCTATTTTACGGACCCCCCGGAACTGGAAAGACCTTGCTCGCCAAAGCTATCGCCACGGAATTCTCTCTCAACTTCTTCTCGGTCAAAGGTCCTGAACTACTCAATATGTATATCGGAGAGTCTGAAGCAAATGTTCGACGTGTCTTCCAGCGGGCTCGTGATGCGAGACCTTGTGTGGTATTCTTTGACGAATTGGACTCCGTTGCACCAAAGCGTGGCAATCAAGGCGATAGCGGCGGCGTTATGGACCGTATCGTTTCCCAGCTTCTTGCTGAACTTGACGGGATGAGTGGCGGGGACGAAAATGGCGGAGGAGTTTTTGTAATCGGTGCCACCAATCGCCCTGATCTCCTGGACGCTGCACTGCTCCGACCCGGTCGATTCGATAAAATGTTATACCTTGGTGTCTCTGATACGCATGAGAAACAGGTTACGATTCTAGAAGCGCTCACACGAAAATTCACATTGCATCCCGATCTTTCACTCAGGCGGATCGCTGAACAGCTGCCGTTTACATACACCGGTGCCGATTTGTACGCATTGTGTTCTGATGCCATGCTTAAGGCTATCACGCGTCAAGCTAGAGCAGTGGACGACAAAATTAAAGCGCTCCCCGGTGGGCCTGTTACGACGGCCTATTTCTTCGATCATTTTGCGACACCGGAAGATATTGCAGTCATGGTAACAGAAGAAGATTTCATCGCAGCGAAAAGCGAACTTGTTGCTAGTGTTAGGTATTTAATAACCTTTCCAACCTCAATCATGTTTAAGTTCACGTCAAGACAAGATATGCTAACTGTAATACCCCTCCCAATAGCGCCAAGGAACTTGAGCATTTCGAACGCGTGCGCCGTACTTTTGAATCAACGGACGACGCGAAGAAGCCCAAGCCAACTATTTCAGAGGGCCCAGCTGACCACTCGCCATCTTCTTTAACCATTGGCGAGGCCGTCAATGGGCTCAAGCCTGGTGCACCTCTAGAAGATGGTCCAACAAACGCCCTGACAAACATTACGAACAACACTAGCAAGCCCGCCGTGTCCGCGGCATTACTTCATCGCACCAAACATGGAATTAAAACAACGCGGGGAAAATGGAAGAATAAAATTAATTTTTCAAAGGGGAAAGGCGCCATGGATTCGCCAGCTGATCATTATTTTGATGAGAATAAGGGTGTGGAAGATGACCTCGGCGGTTCCGTTGGTGATGGGGATCTAGGCAATACGAATGGAACGGCAGTCCACGGATCAAAGGGGAAGGGCAAAGGTGCCGTCGCCGATGGCCTGGCTGCAGCTAGCAATGACCGCGAATCTGACGAGGATGATGAATACGTGATCAGGACGGATCATCTCAAGCGGGCTGAGAAGCGGCTATGACTTTCTGGTCCCGAGAGGAGGGGTCGGCTGGAAGGTTTCTAGAACTTCAACTATATATCTGTATATCAATACTTCTTTTGCATATTTTTGGGCATTATGCATGGGGCATAACATCGAAGAGCATGTGGCACAGGACTTTTTGGTATTGTTCTTGCTCGCATCTCTGTCTATAATTTCTTAATTTTGGTTTGTTAATCTGTAGATATATACTTGTATTTCTTTTGTTTGATTTATCCCTTTATTCTCATAGCTGAACAGTGGGAGTTGGGTACGTTTAAGAATAGATAATCTTTGGTTATACCCCCTTGTGCGTCGTCAAGAAATAGATGTTTATAACAACGTTCGCCTCAAGGAACGATCACGTGACAAGCCTGGTTTCTGCCAAAGCCCCAACACCGCTCTCACGGGATGATGATATCATCTGCCAGCTGCGACTTTGAAGAAGATAATGCTACATGTTTTTTAGGGCATCCACTGCCTATCTTTCTGACGCCCTGATTTTTGGACTATTCTAATTTCAAAATTGTACGACAGTTGCGGTTTGGGTTGATTTATTTAGTTTCCTAGTGTTAAAACTCTTGGAATCTCCAAGTTTTATGCGCGATTCTGAGCCGCCGCCAGCTCCATCCCGAGCATCGCTTCTGGCTGTTTCAAAGGTAGACGGGTAAAAAATAGGGGGATTATAAAGAAAAAGCTAAAAAGAACACCGTAAATATTGATTTCAACAATGTTTTCACAATTCTCCTTCTCTATACCGTCTATCAGGGGGCTCTTCTCCTCGGTTACAGCCGACAGCGACTCTATTAACTTAGATCCCGTCGAGATCCACGATATTGAGACAAATCAACAAAAGTCAGCCCGGGCATTGAAACATTTGTTAAAGCTGAACCATGCGAACTTTTCGATTCTATATCACGATGACCGCTTCCATAATCATATGCCCCATGTGAGATTGAATCGGAAATCTATTGTTATGTCCTTATATATATCAGCCTAGAATTGGTTACGTTGTCATCATTTCTAACTTGCAATGTTAGCTGCTATCCTCCGTATATTTGTTTGGCGGTGACGCGGAGCACCTGAACCGTCTCTACGAGGCTGAAGCAATGGAGTTGGAGCCATGGCGGGATTCGCCTGGTGAGATTTCAGCGGATGATTGGAGGGATTTTTTAGGGAAGACACAGTAAGTGGGGCAGTTTTCGGTTTGCTCATTGCGGGTGTTCTCATGTTTCTATCCATAACTGACTGCGCCAGATACCAGAGAGCATTTGTGGATTTTTTCGAGGATGAGCTCGTGCGTCACGGCTACGACTGGAAGAAGATTGCCGAAAAGTATCTCTATTCTGGCAAAAAGCCACTGATAAACTGCCTTGTCTCAGGCCGTAAGTGAATTTTAGCTGTGAATACGTGTTCATATTTTTATTTATTGCTCCAAGTCTGACGAAGTTGAGCAGTTGGGCATCCACTCATTCACTTGGGATATGCATACGAAATGTCAAGCCGAGACGTAGCCATGGAATCGCTCTCAATGGCTGCAACATGCTACAACGATCTGCACAAATATCTTGATGATCCATCCTACCTGCAAATTCCCGCTACGTACCAAACCTCTTCCCCTCTAGAAATACTGCGTAGAATCCGCACCGATAAACGTTTCGATAATCTCTTTCAGCACCCTGGCGGCGATAATCTTGAAACACTCTTTAAACACAATGAAGAGGCAGTTCTAGAACACTGGCGAGCATGGTCCATCACCCCAAACCCTACTGAACAACTTGAAATCTCTCAACAAGCTGCTGCAGCAATCTTTGTCGCATCTGATACAGAGATGCACGACTTCTTCCTCGTCCACCTACTCACGACTAGCCATGCAGTTCGCATTCTACTCCCCTTCGTTCCGCCAAAGTACCACCTCTCCCTTGTCCGACAGTGGTGGCTAATTGTAGTGGCAATTTATATCGCACAGCTACGACCCAAAATAGACACTAACGCGATTAAAAATTATGAAATAAAGGGGCGCAATTGGGATTGGGTAGGTGACCAGTGTATCAATGGCAAGTGGGCGGAGAATACGCATTACATAAAGGCACTTCGGGCGCTCAAGGAGGCCGCGAGAACATGGGGTGACCACGATGAATATTTCATTAAGGCGGGAGTGAAGCTCGTTGACGAGTTTAAGGGATTTGAAGGTTTCAGTGAGTAGCCATTCTAAACTGTATGGAACGAAGTGTTGGAGGTCAGAGCCGATCTCAAATTGACTGTGTTTTCTGGCACTGTGTATTTTAAATTGACTTGATATATTCTCCTCTCTTTTTGGATTTCTTGGACAGAAATGGCGGCGAAACGTTCCTGCTGCCAGAGATTTTTGGCATCCATGGAACACTATGTAAATGCATTAATTTGAGGAACAGCTGAATATCTTGTACGATTTTGGGATGTATATATTACAGGCCTGGCGGATTAAATACAGGACTACATATGGAGTGCTTGTTTGCTGAAAATGATAACGTAGAATTAATTGTTCGATGATGTCATAGGTTTTCAAGAAGAATTATTTTGGAGTTTGCATTGTTTGCATTTGGATCGCCACGTGAGCTAACATCCACTGCATTTTGTTGATAATCAACTTCTTTGAAGTCGACAATGCGACAAAAGTCTGCCCAAGCACCAATTCTGTGAAAACCCGGATCCTCCCAACTCAAAAGGATACGCCTGTCGGTTTAAAGTGCTTTAAATGGTTAACTGGCTGACTTTGAGTCCGCCCTCCTCTTCGCCAATCTCTCCCTACATTTATTTCTGACCATGGCATTCGGAATTCAAGCGGGATTGTCTCTCTATGCCGAACTGTTGCCAAACATCCGCCAAATCATGCTTCACGTGTCCTTGGCTGATTCCTTGTTTTCATCTGAGAGCTCCGGTATCCCAGGAATTCCCGTTGACCCTCTTGATAACAAATTTTCTCTTACTCTCCAGCCCTCACGCCGCTCAGTTTGCCTCTCTGGTCCCTGGGGAGAACGAACCTTTGACCTACCCGCACGTGTTTCGGTATCCGCATACACAACTCTTGCTACAAGACCTATTCGTATATATTGGGGTGTAGTTAAACACAATGAACATAATGAACTCACCTATAGACTCCAAGTTGACGAGACCAGCCCTTCAGTCGGGCCCCGGTTACCAGATGGCGGGGCAAGCTTTGTGAATAATGGGTTGCAAGTTCCGTGGACTTCAAAGGACATGAATTCTGAAAGCCGCATTCGGTGTCGACAGTGCAAAAATATTCTTTTTAATCCTTCAGAGAAGGGGGGGATTATATGGAAAGACTTACCTAGTTCTGATTGGGCAGAGATGATGGATTTATGGCATTGCCACAAACCTGATGCGCATGAAGACGGTCATGGTGATGCTACCAATTACACCGGACCTCATGTCAACGATGAGAACGAAACTATAAAAGGGTATGGTGCCGCCAATCAGATTGTCTGCGCACCTGGGACAGTATTGATTGACATTTTGTCTTTTGTGATGGCAGAGGATGATTGCCAGGGATTGGAGAAGTCGGTAAGTGCCAATTTTATTTCATTTCCTTTTCTCATGATTTATGGCGGCCGGTAAGCAAATCCTTCGAGCACATCCTCCATTCTTTTTTTGAGTCCTCTTTTTTGCTGCCCCCTTGCGCAGATACAGTAAAAAAAAGGTGTTCTTATATCCCCATTTTAACCGCCATTTTTTCGTTTGCTCTATCTGTTCATCATCACGTCACCTTCGGGCTGCAAAGAAGGAAACAAAATTGAACGTGGACTTCTGTTGGCGTACATTTCCCCACGATCTTGTTTCCGATACAACTGCCCAATATCAATATTCAACCATAAATCTTTTTCGAAATATTACCTCAGGGGATTTCGCACCTCTTATCACCTTGTACTTGCACCAATAATAGCAAATCCATGGTTATAAAAGGAGCTAGAAAAGACAGGAGAAGCAAGGGTCACACCAGGAACAGTTCTTGAGGAATACTCAACTCCTTGTGATTCCACGGAATCGGAGGTTGATTGATGGATTCACTAGCCCTGAGCCTGATTTGGTCCTTTTCTCCCGTTCCCTACTACTCCTCCCACCGACGGATATATGAATTATTTGTGATATTTTCACAAGAACCAGGTGTTTAAGATGGTGTTTGTTGAAACATGAAGTTTTCTATAGCCTGAGATGTACTCCGTCGCGAAGTTTGAACTGTGCTATGGGCATCTTTTCAAGCTGTTTTCGGGGAAACCCAATAAACGCGAAATGATTCGATAGCATTATTCCGAGGTTTCGTGGGATTCGCGAGATATAATCTGAGGTACACTACCATTTTTGCCGGCATCATTGTGCAGACGAGATGTGAGGAGATAGAAATATATATTCTAGCTGTCCTTTTGTTAGCTGTTTCTTTGTGGGACTAATTACCCTCGTCTCTTCGTCTGAGTCGTGATGATCCCCTTTCTACCTCCACGATTCGTGGGATTCCGTTACCCGTATGCTCTTGTGAACTGCTGATGCTGTGGTTGGCAGAAAACTGCATGGGAAGAGGTAAAATACAGCAGTTATAATCCATTCAACACGATAGCGCAGGTTCTGCCAAACCATTTATTTCGCCCCTCCCCTGCACACCAATATATTAACCATGCCTTCTTATTTCTTGTTTGTTATTTGTAACGACTTGCTTCTCGATTGACTATATTACGCACATGCGCTGCTTCCATATTGCTAGGAGTAGAGCGTATTTTGATATCATGTTTACTGACATGGAGGTTGGAAATTCTACAGAAACCGTCACTTTCTTCTTCTTCTGCTTACGATACGTATAACGGAGATCAGCAGTCTGCATCCAAAACTCACCCCGTTGTTAGTCTGTCATGCTCCTGGTGCGGTGCCATAGTTGGAGAGGAAGACACTTCTTTTCCAAGCTTGAGACTATACAAGACGAACGTCTCCGTTTTACAGAAACCCAAGGATGAAATCAGTTCCGATGATGACCTGTGGGAGTCTTACCCGGTGGACATGATCGTTGGAACGCAGCTGCTAGAGCTAGTTGAGAGAATTGGTGCTAGGAGATTTGCTGTCCACAGCACAGATTATAAATTACCAGACAGCCAGGGCTCCAGGAGCGGATTGTTGGTGAGTTTATGCCTACATATTTTTAACTTTTCTAAGTTGCGAACTATCGCAATAGACTCTCTATGAAGGTTTTACGCATAGACCAGGCAAATTACGATCAGCTGACTCACGCCATTGCTCAAAATAAGCTTTGGTTGTTCAATCCGGACTTGCGATACTCCAGCTTGTCATCCGGTTCTGGTGCTGATGGCGATGTATCTACTACTACAGCGCAACGGGCCGTGAAGGTGTTCTACAAGGAAGTCGCAGACATTCAATCAATGCTCGATCCAGCGCAGGGCACCCCGTCGCCGACTGCAGTGGAAGAAGTTAGCCTTCCAGCCAACGTTTATGACGTCATGAAACAGGCGCTGGAGAGAAGCAGTGAAACTTTACCCATGTCTGGTCGTCAATTTGGTGAATGGAGTGTAGGCTTGGTTTCTCGATTTGAGGAAGCAGGCTTAACGGCCCGAACCTAGTGCGACTTAAGCAGGCCGGACAATCATTTCTGCAAATGCAATATTGGATATAGTTTGCGACCAAAAAAAAATATGCTTTTCTTCGGAAGCTTGGATTGCCCAGAATAAACTCTGCCTTTCCTATTGAGGTTAACGTCGGGATGTTGTGACCAACAGCGTACGAAGGAATACTCCCTCGTGGTTCTGGCTTCTGCTGCTCTGCTGGTATGGGATTTCCCTTATGACTGCGATCTCCTCCACTGAGATTTCCAAACGCTTACGGTGACTTGTGCCGATTATTAGGTTCACTTCACCTTTTGCCGAGCTTGTGGTCATAGAGTTCGGTGTTGATGTGGCTTACTCAGCTTCGGTGCTTTAATTTTGGCATACAAGTTACATGTATTCTGGATATGAATATTGATCATGATGATTATGGGTCCAACATCGAGTGGATTCGTGTGGAAGGCGTTGATGAAGAGATGCCCGACGCTGCTAGTCCTAACAACGGCAGCGGGGACGGTCCTTTTAGTGGCGATGGTAATGGTCACTCCAACTGCGACTGCCACATAGTCGACGCCACCGACGACTCTAAGAATCCTCAACTGGATAGCGGGTATGGCGCGAATCGCGACTAGACTTCCCAACCTCCGGGTTCCGATCCCATTCCCGCTCCGTCCTCCATGCAACCACGACCAACTAATGTCGCCATGATGTTTGTCGAAGAAATTTCTCCTCATGGCCACGATTTTGGAACTCGCACTCCTGGCGGTAATTCATCCTTGCAAACTGCCATTCCACTAGACCCTGCGCCGGTCTCTGCACCGCTCTTGAAGCGACCACGACTCTGTCCCACGACTCTGTCCCACGACTCTGTCACCTGCCTCCTCTTCAAATGATATCCCAATTATATGAGCTAGGGGCTTTTCTACATGCTTCTCGTCATGAGTTTTCTCAACGGGACAATAACCCTGCATTACATTTAAATACACCTCTCTTGAACAAATCCCTTCCACGAACGTCACCCTCCCGTGATAGTTATCCGATTCCTCTAGGCAATTTCAACCCCAGCCAATGTCCACCAACTCCTCCCCCGAGCCCGAGCCCGGATTCGAAACTGCTCTCGGCTTCGTCTCCGTTTAGGTAATCCACTAGCTGGAATCTGTTGTCATGGTGATTTGGTTGATCTCCTTTTGTTTGACATTAATGCTTGTTAATAATAATAATAATAATAATAATAATAATAATAAAAATAATAATGTCTTCTGGAGGTCCAAGACACTTAAATTTAACTTAGCTTCATATCCAGGTGATGTTATGCTGTCGATATGCTATTTTCTGATATGTACCATAAAACTAAAACAACGCAGAATGTTTGGTGAGAGGCTGAAGAACACAGGTATGAATACAGGAATTGAAGAGGACGAAGGGCTTAATTGTTCAAAAGTTTTAGTGAACTATTACATGAACATGAAATGATATCATTCACTCGATTCTCCGATGATGGGTGGTTCTCAGTAGCCCACTTCCGTAATCCTCCATTACCTGGGTCGGCCTTAGTTATATCTATGCGATTTGCTGCTAGCCCTCCCTAGCCTTTGGGCAAAACACATCTAGGATTGTTAAGTGCCATTGGAATACCCTAAATATTCGCTCTTCAAAAAGCTCGACTCGTCTTCCCACTCGATACCCGTGATCTTTCTCGCTTGTTTATAGCCTTTCATGACGATCCCTCCTCTTCCTTCTTTTGTACGGTAATTTCCCTCTCTATCGCCATCCCTCCAGCAGCGATGCTTTGAGAGATTCGTGTCAAAATTATTCAAATATTTGCCACAATCATAGGACAGGGAGACCGGCTCTGTTTTCCCTTTTCGTTTTGCGTCAAAGCAACATAAGCTTGCCAGGGCCTCGAGAGTCCTAATCAAGAGTGTGAGGGCGACGAATCAACTTTTCAATTTCATATCAGCGGATTAGATGCCGTTGGGAGCTTACGATCAGTAACACAAACGAAAAAGATGTATGCGACGGTTAGGAAAGAGATATACACTGGGATTTTCGAATGCTGTGAAATATCGAACGACTCGAGGAGTTTCTGGATGGTCTCGAGCGGGGATAGCAAAGGACCACGTTGGTTAGGATGTTACTTCTTGTGAACTGGGTGCCTATTTACTGGATTGCTATCATCTCTTACGCAATGATTCGCGAAGGATCTGATGCTCCTCCTTCTCCATGGTGAGCAGAAATCGAAATTGAGACGCCAGTTATACCCATCGGACACCTAGCAGACATGACTCTAATAAGTTGAGGCCCCTATACGCAGATGGGTGTCCTTATCCGTCTCCAAAGTCTGAATCACCGTGGACCTTTTAGAGCATCCATCTACGAAATTGGCCCCCAGCGAAGGCTATCACAATTTTGAGGACTTGCATTTCTAAAGACAGCAATAGCACCTGTTCGAGCTTCCGAAATCGCCCTTGACCAGTTCCTCACAATTTCATCAATCTTGATGGCCAAGCATTTCATCCTCAGAATCCTTCCTACAAAGAAGAACCATATATATATCTTAATCTTAAGGGTGCATTCCCACTCACGCAATTGCTCGAACTGCCCGTTTTGCTTTCAAAAAGCAACATTCATTTACAAGACGAAAAGATCCTAGGTAACGTTCTAAAAGGCAATTCCGATTCCGTTTAAGCGAATCGTGTTATGCTATCGACAATTGGAATTAAGTGGATAAATATTCCAAGCAAAAAGCCCTCCCTCTATGCAACGATAAAGTATGCAATTATGATTTGTCACCGGATATTCCCGCACCCCCCCCCGTATAGAATCTATGGTAATCTAGTGGATCACCTGTGTCTGTCACACTTGACAAGAAAAAGGGATGACCTAAACATGAATCATATTCCCTGTGGAATGCAAAGCAAGAGAATGACAAGTGAGGAAACAAACTTCATGGTTTATCTTGCTGTGGGTTATATCATACCACAGAATATGGCTCACTTATTATACTCACATCCCTGGGGCCCGATCCATATTTCTTGCACTTTCCCACCAGGAACATCGATTCCGAAACCTTGTCCAAAAGTCTCTTGCTTTACAGTCTCATCATTAGGATGCGAAATCGTTAAAGAGCCAGTACGGATGAAAAAAGTGGTGAGTCCGTCATGAGAGTGCGACGCATGATGGCTATTCCATACAATAAGGAATGCTTTGCAGCAAGAAGGCCATGGGAAAGCAGAGCGGCTTTTCTTACGGGACATCATTCCAAGTGATCGCCGTTTTGAAACCCCAGGATCGAACTTCTTGTTCGCATTCCGCACGACTGGGTATCGTCATCGTTTATATCTTCCAGGCGTCTGTTAATGATGGCAGGGAAATAATGTCATACCACCTGGTATTTCGGTTTGAAAACTTCAATGATATCAAATTCTTGCGAGTCCCCAAAGATCGAATCGACAAATTGACTGCATTTTCCACTCCGATAAGTACACGTTCAACCACGCAACAAAATCAAAAAGGAATAGTTTACAGATGACTTGTTTATTTGTCTCCACTTAAAAAATGTCCACCGTGCCGTTCGATAGTGCGTTAACCTTCGATTATTGAAGGGAGGGGCTCACTACGGGCGGGGCAGGGCCAATAATACACTACTAATGTTAGGGATCAAGGATCCCCATGGGATTGAACTCGTCCTTATTGTCCAGCATAGTCTACTGGTGATTGGGCCCTTTTCCAGGTTAGTCTAACAAGCATTGGCCTTGGAACCAGGGAGACGATACCACACTCACGTGACGTTTACGAGTCACGGCTCTTAAGCTTAAATTAGCCTCGGCCCTCATCGTCTAGACATAATATTAGTGCATGGACGGAGTTCTCCGCAGCGGAGACGGGATTCACGGGAAGGATTTTTGTCGGAATGGGACGATTTTCACTCTAGCTCAACTCCGATATTTCAACTATGTATATACGCGAGTATCACGTCAGACGAGCCAACAAATCTGTGCAGTTTACACCTGAAACTGACCTGACAGACCGTTCGTGTTGCTGAACTTGGTTAACTCGAATCAGGGCCCTTTCCGCGAGCCAATTCCAAAATTACTTGGTCAAAACTGTATTCGTGTGAACGTTTTGGCTCATTTGGTTAGTGACACCTCGTGGTGAAACGTGATCTCGTAGCGTTATTCCCCGAAAGGAGGGTTTCACCAAAGGGAATGGACGTTGGGCCACTTGAGGGGTATCAAAACAAAGGCCACATTTATTTACAAATGTGGCAGTTCGGAAATGGATTACATACTTTCAGCGCGCGTCTTTGAGTGGAGAGAATGGGATTTCTGGGTTTTAGTGATTACCAACGCCTGAACTCTACACCAGGAACATTTAGGCTGTATCTCACGGCTTATTCAGGCTCGTTTGAAGAGGTAGAAAGAGATGACGTTGTTGGTTCCGCTCCTATATATTATGTCCTTCAATTCTCGTGATTTCCGGGTTTGCTTTTACCTTTTATCCTTGCTCAATTTGTGCTGCTGCGGTGATCAATGGGGGTGATTTCGCACCGGCCTATGTGCCAGGAGTGCTTTTACCAAATCGCTAAACCCCTTCGAATTCGTGTCCTATGTTTTGCGCTGGATGCCGTAAAGGATCCAGAGTCGAGGGCCAACTGCCTTCGCTATTACACGTTTCCTTGGATGACTACGTCGATCTGTCAATGGTACGGTCTTTACATGCCAATTGGCGGTCTCATATAGCCCGCGGTGGAAAACCTGGCCGGGAGTCTTTGCGAAATGATGAGCACAATTTACCTGCTTCTCCATTTTCTGGATTTTTCCACTTCTGTTTCTGCTTATACCTTGACCATGTTGCAGCTTATTCGTTGACATTTCAATCTCTTCGTCCCATGAGGGATTACGAAGCTGTTTCATCCATGAATTCAAGTCAAGAGTATTATATCTCCCTTTTTTGACTATACCCAAGGCAACATTTAAATACTAAATTTGGAGTATCCCAAGGAAATTATATGCCCTTCAGGTTCAATCTGCTGTCATTCTGATATTATTCAGCCATATCTGTCTGATGCTTTGGTTACATGCATTTTCTCCCTTGGATTGCAGGTATGTGACACAAATTCCTAAGATTAAATCGAAAAATTTCTCCATTCGTTCCCGGGGCCTTCTGCTTAACCAATCTTTCTGTCCATTTCCGTCTTGGATGTTCCTTCTGGCATGACATTAGGGCTCATTACCTGGTAGGATTGCTTCGTCAATGCTATGAATTACCGAAATCTAGCGAACGTCAACGATGGCAAATCAAGATGATTCAGTATTAGCTTCGCAGAATAAACCCCCCCTCTACACACACACACACATCGTTTTGAAACCCGATGACATGGTTTGTTCGGTTTCATGTGTCATTATGCTTACCAACAAAACGCATCAACATTCTGTGCTGCAGACATGACAATATTTCCCTGGAATAACCCACGTTTCCGTCCCATCTTCTAGACACTTTGGGCACCTGACACCAGGCATCTGAATAATGGCCTCAGCTGGTTTGATAATAGACGATTATTTTGTTGATTCTCAACTTACCGGTGACATGTCATTGCTCATACCCGAGCCATGTAGCCACACCAAGCTCATTCCTGGTTTGAAAAGTCCTAGGACCATTTTTTTTTCTTTTCCTTTGGTATTTAGGATTCTGGTTCGCGCTTGTAGGTGGTGTGAGACACTCGATTTTTAACGGTTTGCTTCCTGCTGATGCAAATTAAATCGAAATGCTCAAAAGTCAAAGGGTTCAGCCGTCAGCTAGTACAATAAAACGTTCAACCTACCAACTAGAGGCGATGATAAGAGTTCTTTCAATGTTGGACCCTCGACTTATTCACCTTCCTCGAGTGGATCTGGTTGCTCAGTTCGCGGCTTGGTTTTTATGCTCAGCAACTCGGTGGAGTCGACGTCTATTTATGATACAGCAGGAAGTTTCAAACTTTTTCTGAAATTAACATAAACCCCACAATCGACGAAAATTCCACAGTAGTCACATGGACCGATAACCTCCCTCGACCCACGGTTTTCTTGGAGGAATATGGGAGAACTTGCAGATCAACAGTCCCACTTGAGGCGCAAATCGCACTGAGGAAAAGCCAATTATCATTATTGGATCCCGTCATTGATGTGGCTAAAATTCGCTCAACGCCAGCGCTTTTTCCAGTATCAACGAAACTAACCTCCAGCGAAGTGGGGATCATTCTTGTGACACCGTTCAAGTGTTTTTGAATGGGAGTGCTGGTATTTTTGTTTTGTGTTTGCATTTGCAAATAGCTGGCGCTGACTCTCTCGTACGTACATACGTTGGACGCTCCACTCTATGGAGGAAAAGTTTATTTGACCAAGGTAAATTTGATCAACCAGTTGCGTCCACGTTCTTGGAGCATATTGGCAATGGAGGTGTTCCTGTCAGTCTTTCCTGAGGTACTGCGACAAGGTTGACGCAATTCCCCAGTGGATTACGAGCGGACGGACCCAGTGCCGTGAATTTTGACTTGTCAAGGTTTCCCTAGATGGGTTTCTCGTAAAATAGCGTCATTGTTGATGGAATTATACCGAAACCATCACTCCCACGAGATCAACTTTCCAGTCCGTTGGAAATACCTGTCCTTGCAGAACGCTCTTAATGGATCTTATAAGTGGTCGGTAGGTGGCCAACTGCAGTTTTTACATGGCAAATTCCGCAATAGAATAGAACATCTCACAAAATGATTTGGACATTGAATACAACAGCTTTTGTTGCAGCCAATTTTAACATGTTGAAACCTGTCTGAACTGGATACTTTCAGGCGCCGAGCACGCAACCCACAATATCCAGAAACGAATTACGACAGCCTGCCGCTACAAACAGTTCCGATCGCGTTGAGATTCCCTCGGCCAAGGACGATACATACTAGGAGAACCTTGAAAATCTCCAAATTAAGCGACGGCGGCATTATTCCACAGCGATAGACGTGTTTGTTGAATAGTGGGTCCGGTTCGTATATTTTTTTCCCCCTGACGAATCTTTTTTTCCAACCAGTTGAACCCTGCTTTTTGGACTGATCATTCCAAACGACGCCATGACATCACCGTTGTGATACGATGGCCTTGACCGCATACAAGACTGATTATCCCCATTCTGACATCATGGTCAACCATCACTTGCCCCCTTAGAGCTTGTCTGGGCTGCCTCCTTATGGAATCCGTCCAAAGCGATTCCAAAAATTTGTTAACTACCAGACAAAGTCACTGATTGGGCTACGAAGTTGCATGTTTGCTTTAAGTGTTCGTTCGGTAAAAAGCATTCAAGAACATCATCCGGGAAATTTAACTTCCATGTTCGCGAGACGCAACCTCGATTAAGAAACATCAACCAAATAAACGATATTACCATCCTGTAAGGAAAATAGAGCTGTCACAAATCGATTTCGTGTGCATGAACCATGCATGCTTGTTGAACAGTGACAGGGTGAAAACACTATTTCCGCGCTTGTACTTTCTGGTTGGTCGGAGAATGGAGGATCAAGCCACAAGAGGAGATATATTAAAAAAGCAAAGAAAAATAAAAAGAAAGAAAGAGACCGTACATGCATGCATGATCTTTTCGAGTTTGTCGGAAGCCGTCGACCCCTCTCCACATGAAGATCTGCTTTCTTCATATTGGAAATTGTGATATGGGAAAAATGACAGATTAGATCACCACTGGTTACCACGAGGGCTATTATCTTGAATATATCCGGATGAATCTCAAGCCTTTCCCAGGGAAGACTTACATGTGACCTTGGAGGGGAAACCCTCCAAGGTTGTCTAAACATGATGGATGTCTAACTAACTAAACGGCATGTTATTAAACAGTTGACATAATGGTGCTTGTATTCTGCACACTGCCTGTTTCAAGAACTGCAACGGTCCAGAAGTTATACAGGCAACAAATCTCTAGCTGAGGGGTGGATGTCGCGCAACGAAGTTGAAAAGAAGGATATCTCATTGACAAGTGACCTGACTCAGTCGTTCCATGATCCAGTCGATATCGCACATGTATTGTACGTTAAGATATTTGCTTCGAGATTTTGACAAGCAGAATGCCCGGTGACTCTCTCCCCTTTGTGTCAAACAGCCGGATGAACCGGTATCCTTGGCGCAGCCGATCGAGTCTGATGCACGCCCATGCCGCTAAATCATCTCTTCCAATTTCGTCGTCCTTAACTTTGACTCTATCGAGTAAAATATTCATTTAGTGTCAAGTTGCAGCAAGATTAAATCAGAATGGGGATATGCACGAGGAATCACAGCATATGCAAAGGGGTGAATAGATCCACGCAGTCGCATGAGCACATGTTTTCCAGTAAGGGAACATTCTACTCCCTGTCTTTTTTTTTGCCCCCTCTCTTTTGGCCTTTTTTGTTCAGATTCCGCCTTCCCCTCTCCTTTTAGCAAAAAATACTAGCAGGAAATATATTTTATTTTGATATCTTTTAGCTGACGTGGCACGAATCATCCTGCATGGGATTGTCTGAATGAACGATACCGCAGCGAAAATGGATTGAAGTGGGGTAAAACAACATATTGAAATAGGGTTGGGCACGGGAGGTTGGGGTTTGAAGGTGTTGTTTGAAGGGGGGAAGAGGGGTTTGGCGTAAAGGCTTTGATAACTAGAGACACTAGAGTCACTCACCTTAAAAAGCTCAATTCTTCAAGAGAAACTGGCACACTTAGGAACTGTAAAACCTGCACTCCAAAATCAGGGTCTGAGCCACTCGCGGATTTGGTCTTCTGTTTGTACTTTGCAGCTTCGTTTCCATTTTTATCATTTTCGCTGGCGTGGACACTATCTCTGGGTCGCTCGACATGAAGCTGGCAGGTGACATATGGGCGGAAGCTTCTTGCATGCTCATCCCCTTCTGGAAGAGGGATATTTTGTCCGCCATAGATCTCAATGGACAGATTCAGGGTGCGATGTTTCGCAGTATTTTGAAGACTACCTTCATTTCCTTGCGTTGCCACCATTTGCCTTGTGGCCCATGCTTTTCCCCGGTAAGGCTCCGGCTTGAGTACCCAGCCCTGATGACCTGCGAACATTCCCTCGTTTAACATCATCCCTTTGTCACAATTCTGCCAGTTTAAAGCAACGATTTGAATCCCCTGTCTCCAGTAAAATGACGGGTCTAGATTAGAAGAATTGATGCGCAGGCCAGATGGATAGGCTCGCATCATATATTCTCGATTATGCTCAAAAAGAGCCTGGCGTTCATTTTCATGCGCATCCTTCACAGCTGTCTCTGAGAGGGAGAATATGTGGGTTGGGTGGCTTGCCTCTGTGTTGATGGACTTTGGTAAGCCAGTTTCCTCGTAATATGAGATGCCCCAAAGAGTTTTTCATTTCATTCATTATTTTTGATTGCTCCGTTGTCTCGGTTCACCCACATTGTTTCAAACAGCCATAACGGGACATATTATTATATTGATAACGTACCTTGTTGTGAAAATTTGGTGAAAGTGTATCCACGCGTGTAAAGACCGAGTCGACTTAAAGAATGCAAAATTTTCGAAGGTTTGGTCTTAGCTTGAGGATTAACGTCTGAGCTATGTTCGTCTGCATCTTCTTGAGTGCCATCATCAGCTATTGCACCAGAGATAGCTCCCTGGATTTCCAGAGAGTCTCCGATTGTATCCGTGATCTTTGCTTGATCGGCTCCCAGTTGAGGTGGTGCCCATTTCACTTTGATCAAAATCTTATTTCGCAGCTCTCCCGGACTTGGCAATGCATTGATTTCTCCTTTTTCTAACTTGGCTTCAATGTCAGGTGGAACCTCTATAAGCATTCCTTTCCATGCCTGAGTCATGATTTCAACCATAACATCTTGCTGCTCGAGACTCGCATGGACTTCCAAACTAACAATGACAGGCAGATCACTGGTGAGGAATGCATAGTCTCTAATTGCAAAGCATACGTCGCGGAATGTCACTTCTTTTGTCAGAGTATAGCCATGCAAAACCCGAGGCTCAAGTCGCGGACGAACAGCTAACGCTGCTGCCACTCCCGCATCTACAGCTCCAGAAACAGCATTAGTAGCTGTCGTTACTGCAGCAGTTTCAGTGCTGGCGGTTTGCGGCTTCATGGCCGATCCTTTAGAAAACTGGTCCAAGCGGCTTGATAAGTATGACAAGTTGAAGCGACTACCCTTCCTGCCTTTACTCTCCTTGTTCTTTTTTTGCGATGGTCTGTGATCACCGCGTTGATCTTCCGAGTTCGATGAATTGGAGTCGCTCTCGGAATCTGGTTCCCCATCCCACACATCGATTTCAAGACATCTGCATCCATTCAAAAGAACCTAGAAAGACATACGTGGTAATTAGCTAGAACATCAGGCGACTCGTTCTCATGTAACAATAATGAATGGCATCTTGAACCACTGTTGAAGGCCATGACATTCCGGCAATTTCATCCACCCAATGGAAGTAAAGCTCAGTAGAGGGATATGACTCGGAGGAGTCCAGGTGCCTCACTTCAACAAAGATAAATATATATCCAATTGGCCATTTGAGTTCCATCCATTATCTATAGAAGTAGCAATAGAGATCCAGTAACTCCTGAGCATATCTGATTGTAAAATATAGGGAGGGCGAAGTAAAATTCATCCCTTGGAATAAACAGAATGTGCAACCACAGACAAGGACATTTAGTCCAACAACCCAGACGGCTCGAAAGAAGACCAAGTGGGAAAATGAGGGGAAAAGGGGAAGTTGAACAAGGCAGAACAGAGGAAGATATAAAAATCACATACATTCTTGTAAACTTCTGTACTGGATTCACTATAAATTTGATTGCCGGTAAGATACGTATTATGACTGGAGCTGATAAAGTAATTATTCATAGGAAGTGATAGATCCTGTGGCCCAGGAGGCGAACCAGCATATGCCGAGGACATGTATCGGACGAAATCTTCCAGGCTTCTAACGCCATTTCGTTTGTTTGGAGTTTCGTGCTGAACGGCCTCAAAGAATGTTTCTTGGTTCTTGGACGGACCCACTGATTCGAGGATACGTTTTAAATGAGTCTGTATATGAGGCAAGAGAACTGGGATTAGGGTTTCCTCAGCCAGGGAACCAGGACTGACTGGTGTTGGTGTCGACATGATGCGTAATTCAACTGGAGGTTGTAGGGTCCTGACAGAAGACCTGGGCACAATAGGGCGCGGAGTTGAGAGAGATAAATGAACGCAGTCCCCTCTTGGCTTATTGGATTTGTTCTTTGGAAAATGAGAGGGAGGCCCAGGGGAATCGATCACATTGACTGTTATTTTAAAGCACAATTTTCGTTTGCCTCAGTCATGACAAAATAGACTGGGACGGCGGGGTAAATAGGACCTTCAGGGGATAATCCCACCAGAGGCTTGGCTTGTGTTTCAAACTTAAAAAAGCGAATATTCTCTAGAACTTGAAAATGATAATGGAGTAAGACATGAATGAAAAAGCAGAGGGAACTGAGTAAGGAGTCCAGGAAATAATATCCTTGGTGAACTTGGCAGATATTTAGAATAAATAAATCGGTTCCAGCCCGAAATGTCGAAATGTGATTCCGACTTCATCCTACGGACATAACCCAATGTATATACCCCTTTGTGATCCTGCTTTCCATTGCTTGCCGAGGTTTTGATACCCAAGCTGTCGTTTCTGCTCCATAGATCCTGCGACAGGGAGAATGTCGAAGGTATCTTCCACGACATATCAAAAAAGTTGCTACGGAAACAATTGCCCCGATTGAGAGCACAACAAAATTGCGGAGCTGTATGTGATGATGGACAGCACTCCCCGCATCGTTCGTGGCAGACCACTTCAGAAAATGCAAACCTCACCCCCCGATATATTCAATGTAGCTGGATCGTAGATTTATATCGTACGCATGTATCCAAAGCAGTTTCAAATAGACCGTGGGGATGAATCAGGTGGCTGTTGTCAATCCCATAATGAAAAATCATTGTGATAGTTGTGAGAGGGAAGACGCATAGTCGTCGCTTTAAGGGTCTTTAAAAAACGCATAACTTAAAGAACTCAAATGCCATTGCTAAAAATCAGTCATTAGATTCAAAGGTCATATGCTTTGAAGTAATGGACAAGGATTCTGAACACAAGATAGAAAATAGCAAATATCAATAGACAACACAAAAAATTATCCGGCAAAGGGGAGTCTTGGAGAAGGCTTGCAACCCGCCATTGCTGTCGACCTTCCTTAAAGACTTTGAGAGCACAATAGGTATGAACTACTTCCTCACGTCAGATATACGTGGCCCAGCTAAAAAAAATTTCCGTGAAATGCCCTCACCAACGGTTAACTCACTTTTCATAACTTTCCGAACGTAATCGGTTTTGGATACGATGTTTCAAAGCAAGGAGGAGTCACGGACACTCAGCACTTGGAGGTGATCACTACCATAAGATCCGCACCGCCTAAGGTAAAGCTGAAGAGCCAAACTTGGTCATCATCCATGTCGTGGGGATATATGTTGACGTCTCAGCACCAGATCAGCGAGAGAACTGCACTGGCAAACCGAAAGAACTCCGGCTGAGGTACGCGGAACTTCCTGGAGAGGAGGGTTATGACTATGGAAAGATCTTCCATCGAGTACTTTCTGAGTTATCGACCCATTTAAATCGTTGTAGATTCTATTGCTCCATATTAGTGCTTAATGTTCGTAGAGGTTGCGATCCAGAGACAATATTCATGATGCCCTCTTGCATGGGTAAATGCTAGTAACATATCCGGCTGATATCTTAGAGTCCTCGGTTATCAGCCTACCTCTTAGTCTGTATCGAGGTTTGTGTTGACGCAATGGAAATTGTCAAACACAATAACCATGGATGACGTCCACAAGGTTGGAATAGCTGTAAGCAAGTGAACTTCTTGATCTGCCAACCCCCCAGGCCAGTTCTCAAAAAGATATTAAACTCCTCAAAGTCAGAGACAACCGTGGCACAACAGAATCAAAGAAGTGAATAAAAATGCAAGTCCACTTGTTAATGGTGTCCGAAGTCATGAAACCTTGACCAGGGAAAATAATATATGCAGAACCTTTGCCGTATTCCAACGCCCTGCCCTCAAAAAGAAGAGGATGGGAATTAAACCACAGTAAAAAAGACGAAAATTCTTAGTACAGTACATCCGAATTTTAATACGGTGTGGGAGAAAAATGTGCCAATGCCATCAACTGAAAAAGCGTAGTATAAAAGAAACGTTAATTTCCAGTCTCTAACTGCTTGCTAAATCCAAGTATGCATGTATGTACTTGTGTTTATATAGACATACCAACCCAGGTGGCGGCACGTCGCAATATGGAATCGTTTGGTGTCGGATCGTAAGTTTTCAGCCACTCGCCGTTGAAGGCATTGACCAGCCAGTCAGCAAGACCTGCGAAGAAAATATTTGTCAGTAAAGTTATCAGGTTGTATGACACCGCCCCTGAGCGCAAGTTGCTCTCCAAAGGGCAAGATCTTAAAAAACATACGGCTGTAAACAATTTTGTGTGCATTATGAAAATAAATGCTGTGATCAGAGTCTGGAAAGAAGTGGACATCGTAGTTATGAACGTTGTTCACATCAAGCTTATCGATAAAGGTGAGTGAGTTTTGAATGTGGACATTGTCATCAGCGGTTCCATGCATAACCAGGAAGCGAATATTATTTGCCAAAGCTGTGGTGTTGGAAATAGCTGCGTTATCATAACCTCCTGGGTTACGTTGAGGCGTGTGCATATAGCGTTCGGTATAGATGGAATCTAACCATGTTAGCAAAAGCAAAGCAAGCTAACCCGGCTCGTGCATACCATAATATCGCCAGTCTGTCACTGGTGCTACTGCTATCCCATACTTAAAAGTTCGTCCACCGTCTTGCTCAATAGTTTTCAGAGCCATAAAACCTCCATAGCTCCAGCCCCATATTGAGATCCGCGATTCGTCGACGTATGGTTTTGCCGCCCATATTTTGGCAGCTTGTATTTGATCTAGAGATTCAAAATGTCCAAGGTTACCCCGAATGATGCAACGGGCTTTCCGCCCAATGAACCCAGTGCCTCTGCCATCTACAGTTACGACAATATATCCTAAATTTGCGGCAACATAGCTTTGGAAATCGACATTGAACTTCTTTTTAACGGTTTGTGACCCTGGCCCACCGTACAAATAGAAAAGAACGGGATATTTCTTTGTCTGGTTGAAGTTCGGAGGGCGCCGCTCCAGCACAGGCAACGAGAACCCATCAATGTCGATATACTGGTATATCTTTGACTCAAGGGTATATTGGCGAAGCCTTTCAGATAGATGGTTATTCTCCTCAATAGTTTCTTCAAATGTGACTTCGTTCGCAGGAGTGCTGATGACTTTCTGCCAGGGTACCTGTGGGCCTGCATATTTCAAAAATGCATATCCAGCCCCATTTGAAAACGAAACATCATAGTAGCTGCTTTCTGATACGTTTGTCACTGGTTGAAGGGAAGTACCGTCGAAGTTCACACTGTAAATATGCCTTTCCCACGGCTCATTTCCCGCAACAACGAAATAAACCAAGCCCCTCTTCAGGTCAACCCCAGACGGCGCTTGAACGACCTCTGAGTGACCATTTGTGAGCACAATCGGTTTCGGATTATCAATTGGAGTATAATAGGCTAGTTGATCACGACCTTCATAAATGACCGTGTCAATATAACCGTCATTGAGTCGGCCATTATCCGGGTCCGCAGGAATAAACCGTGTGGTTTGTGACGGCTCAACCCACCCACCGTCCAAAGCATTAATGTCTTCCTTTCGGACAATCTTTCCTGTCCTCGATAATACGTCAATTACGGCGACGTGGAGAACATCACTCTCGCGATTAGTACTTCTCACTATGACCTTGCCGTTCGAAGCCCACACAACCTCAATTATGAGACGATTGCTGTCAGCAAAGTCGCCTTTGATATCTACTGAGAAAACTTCGTCCTTTCCAACATCAAAGAATTGGAGGTCCACGATGGGGTTAGGGGCACCAGCTTTCGGGTACTTGATCTTCCGGGTTTCAGGATAGCTTTCTCCGCCGGGTTTTGGAATCTCCCCATTAGGTCGTGACACGAAATATTGCACAGGATATTCTGGCACAGAGGACTCGTTGGTACGAAGGAATGCGATATATTCACCATCATCTGCCCACCAAGTCACACTGTTGCCTGAAAATACCTCCTCTTCGTAAACCCAGTCTGGGACTCCGTAGAATAAATTAACACCACCATTAGTGGTAATTTTTATCACCTCATTTGAAGACAATTTCCTAAGAAACATGTTGTTATCTCGTGTAAACACAACGGCATCGGATCGGGGAGACCAGGACGCAAGTTGGACTCTTTGGTCTTTCGCTGCAGGATCGAGTGGCTGCCCAGTTTGACTCTCGACGTCAAACAACCAGTATTTCCCCGTAAACGAATGTCGCCAGTTTTTCTCCTCATTTGACAACACCAGAACTGTCTTTAAATCGGGACTTGGCCAAACCCGGGAGGGGAAGACGGCTTCTCCTGAAACATTAAAGTATGCCTTCTGCATTAAAACAATTGGCTTCTTTGACGACTTTGGGTCCTTACGGCTAACAATATCTTCCACTCGTAGATAGCCGTTGGAAATAGATGCACCTTTCTCTAATAGCAACCCGTCCTCGCCATTTGGACCTGGTATCCACGATATGTCACGAGAATTAGGACTCCAGGTTCCATCAAACACTTCATCCAATGTAATCTTAATCCCCTGAGAGCCTGTGTCTGATATATTATCCTCATACACGATGGACGTCTTGCTCGACTCATGCCCGCCGAACAAAAATAGGACGAAGGCAAGTGACCATCCGCTCAGGCAAAGAAACAAAAGAAACCCTAATACTATCTTGACTTTCTTTTGAACGGGTTTGCCTCCAGATGGTATATAATCTGCTTCTTCTAGGTCATATTCCCCATCGTCACTGTAGTCGCGATCTCCTCGACCTATCTCGTCAGGACCAGTGTCGTGTGTCGAGCCATTGATTCTATCTATGACGGCAAGGGATAACGAGGCTGCGGAGGAAGAGTAATGGAGAGAGTTACTCGAGTCACGATATTCCATACTGCCCCTTGTCAAAGGCTTTCTTTCCTCATCGCTGGACCCCCCTTTTTCGGCAGCCATTTCAGTTGTGATGTTTCAAAGGGCTAGACTTCAAATTCGGCGCGGCATATTATGGAGGAATCGATGGGTTCAACGGGACGTATCATACGCCTATGTAAAATTAATCAAAGGAAATGAAAGCAATGTTTGCTAGAAAATGATCGCATCTTAATGGAGTTTGGATGTCTGGACGAAGGAGAGCAAGAGACATAAGCGCGCGCCAATTGCGTTAAAAGCTTTCGTTAGCGTTGACACTTGCTTCTGGCCGGAGGACGGAACCTTGAAAATGTGAGAAAGAAGTACGGTAGGATGTAATATCGAACGTGACATGTTATTAAGTAGCTTTTGTTCTTCTTGTAGCCTAATAGTAGATACGCCATGTTCAATTGAGTCACTCCCTACTAGCAGAATTGCCACCTATTTTAATTCTTTATTCTCGGAATTGTCAAGCTTGCCTCTTTTTCACTGTTACGCCAGAGTAATGGTACAACTATGGACTGCTGATTGAGTGATTCGAACCAAAAATAACTGACCAAAATTTTTGACAAGAATGCGCTTCAATATTAACAAATAAATAAATAAATAAAATGAGAGAGAAAATAGAGGGAACGAACAACATGGGACCGAAGGGGGAAACATAGAAAAGTGACTCAAAAAATAACAGGAAAGCCGAAAAAGGGGCTGGGCGAAATTGTTGTATAATGAAACATAGAGGGAATGAATGCTCCAACTTCTCCAGGACGCCCAATAGGCAATCCGGACCATGCAAATTTCACTCTCAAATTATACATTGCCAAAGGTAATTAATTTTTGCCGCGATGAAGTTGGTCTAATACGTCCGCTTGAAGGGTGGGACCGGCTTGCACTCATTCGGATCGAGGGTATTGGCGTTAACAGCACGGTAGGTGAGATCTACCTTGCCGTGAGGTTCCTTCTGGAAGGTCAAAGTGTGTTTCATCCAGTTCTCGTCATCACGTTCTGGGAAATCCTCACGGGCATGGGCACCACGGGATTCCTTGCGGTTGGCAGCTGCAATGGCGGTTTGGGTCCTATAGATATGTTAGAATACAACAAGCAAAAACGAATGATTCGGTACGTGAATACAACTTACGCGCATGTCAACAAGTTTCTTAGTTCGAGTGTCTCAATGAGGTCAGAGTTCCAAATCATGCTGCGATCTTTTGTTGAGACATCATTAAACATTTGGTCAACCTCTTTGATTTTGCGGACACCCTCATCCAAACTCTCCTGGGTTCGGAAAACGCTGACGTCCGTTTGCATAGTTTTCTGCATAGCATTTCTAATCTCAGCTGTTGACTTAGATCCATCCGCGGTTCGGATTTTATCAAGGATGCCAATCGACTCAGCACCGGCATCCGCGCCGATCTCTTTATGTGGCTGCCCAGGTGATGCCTTATCGCGAATGGTGTGGGAGACAGCACGTCCGAAAACGATCAAATCTAGGAGAGAGTTCGCTCCCAGTCTGTTGGCACCGTGGACGGACACACAGGCGGCTTCGCCACAAGCATACAGACCTGGAACGATCTTATCTCGACCTTTCTCATCGATCGTGAGAACTTCACCAGTGTAACGGGTTGGGATACCCCCCATGTTGTAGTGGACAGTCGGGAGGACGGGAATGGGTTGCTTGGTGACATCAACGCCAGCGAAAATGGATGCGGTTTCTGAGATACCGGGCAATCTCTCATGGAGAATTTCGGGAGGAAGATGGCTCAGCTGCAAGTAGATGTGATCTTTCTCAGGACCAACACCCCGCCCTTCACGGATCTCAAGAGTCATCGATCGCGAAACAACGTCGCGACTTGCAAGATCTTTGGCCGTTGGAGCATATCGTTCCATGAATCTCTCACCTTCAGAGTTCAGGAGATAACCGCCCTCACCTCGAGAGCCTTCTGTGATGAGGCAGCCAGCACCATAAATGCCCGTAGGATGGAATTGAACGAACTCCAGGTCCTGGTTGGGCAAACCAGCACGGGCAACCATGGCCATACCGTCACCAGTACAAGTGTGGGCAGACGTGCAGCTGAAATAAGCACGGCCGTATCCTCCAGTTGCCAAGACAGTGTTGTGTGCGCAGAAACGGTGAATGGTGCCATCTTCTTGGTTATAAGCAATTACACCTTTGCATTCTCCATCCTCCATTAAGAGATCCATGGCGAAATATTCGATGAAATAGTTGGTGTTGTGTCGGAGTGATTGGCCGTAGAGAGTGTGAAGAAGGGCGTGGCCAGTTCTATCCGCAGCAGCACAACATCGGTAAGCCTGGCCCCCCTTGCCGTATTTCTGTGACTGTCCACCGAAAGCACGTTGATAGATCTTGCCGTCCTCTGTTCGTGAAAATGGACATCCATATCCCTCAAGTTCGATGACACTCTGGGGTGCCTCTCTTGTCATGTAGTGGATAGCATCCTGATCACCCAGCCAGTCAGATCCCTTGACTGTATCGTACATATGCCATCTCCAGTCGTCCTCGTGCATGCTAGAATTTTGGAGTTAGTCCACAACGTCTGTCGCATTTTCATGATGAAGCCTTATCAATTGAATAACGTACTTCCCAAGAGCGGCATTAATACCCCCCTGAGCTGCAACAGTGTGACTTCGTGTTGGGAAAAGTTTCGAAATACATGCTGTGTTGAACCCGGCCTCTGCTAGACCAAACGCAGCCCGAAGACCAGCACCTCCAGCACCGACAACGACCGCATCATATTCATGATCCTGTAAACAATCAGACATATCACCCCTCCAAAACGCTAACTTGAAGGCAAAAGGGAGTACGTACAATGACAGGATAATTTTTCGAAACAAACGGAGAAGCTTCTTTCGCACGGAGCGGTTGGTTCGCGAATATCTGGGCTGTTTTCAATAAGGGTCAATGGCAGCAATTCTAACGGTGACGTGGATCCGCGACATACCTGCAGGGTGTGAAGACGAAAACAGGCGTCTCTGATGTCTCAAAGTTTTTGTGAACTGGAAGATAGAACAGGTCAGCTCAGATGCAACCGCTGATTGCGAGGGTGGTTGGAAATTTGCGAAGCGGCGAACCTTTGTCGCGGGAGCCAGGCTCCGCAAGCTGATAAAGCTCATGATGCCTCAGATAACAGGACGCTGAGGGAACCAATTAATCGAAGCAATGACTGGATGTTGACACAAGATATCATACAGCATCAGTCATTGCAAGCTAGAAAATCGCAACTGCGGCGGAGGTTTGACGGACTTACATAGAAAGCGTTTTTCTCTCTTGTTTTCCGAGGTAGAGAGCCGGCCCGGCAGCCAATCACAACGCACATAGAGGTAATCATTCCGAGTTAGCCCGTTGCTTTCCCCAAGAACACGTGACACTCCTGGAAGCAGACAAAACAGGAATTCTTCGTAGGGCTATGTAAATTACGATGGTGAAGAGGTGTGCTTGATGGCCTGTATGTATTTCATTGCTATAAGAAACGAAAATTTGAGGAGGGGGGGTGGGTAAAAGGAAATAAATAAATGAAAGTCTTAAAAGAACCGGTATTATCATACGCATTCCAGAACCATCGTACAGAACAAAATCCCCATTACTCCCTCCACCCTGTTTGCTCATGCTATGTGCTGTACAATTAAGCGCAATCCTAGTTGTACTGCATATATGTTGCAGTTGAGTTAAACTTCAGGTTCCCCTTGATCACCTTGTCGACTGCAGCTAGAAAATCCTTCTCCGTCGCAACCTTTCTCCGTGCCCGGATAGCAAACATTCCAGCCTCAGTTGCCACGCTTCTTAGTTCTGCCCCAGTGGAGTTGGGGCAGAGTCGAGAGATAAGCTCCCATCTGATGTCTCGCTCAACTGACATACTCTTGGCATGGATGCGGAGGATGTTGGCCCGTCCTTCCAGATCTGGAAGGGAGAACTCGATCTTCCGGTCAATACGCCCAGGTCTCATCAAGGCTGGATCCAGAGTGGACGGCCTGTTCGTAGCAAACATGACCTTGATATTTCCTCGGGAATCGAAACCATCCAACTGAGTGATCAGCTCCAACATGGTTCTCTGTACCTCATTATCTCCTCCTGCTCCATCATCGAAACGCGCCCCTCCGATGGCGTCAATTTCGTCAAAGAAAATGATGCAGGCCTTCTTGGTCCTGGCCATCTCAAAGAGCTCCCGCACCATTCGGGCTCCCTCTCCAACATATTTCTGAACAAGTTCACTGCCAATAACCCGAATAAAAGTCGCATCCGTCCGGTTGGCTACGGCTCGGGCACAGAGTGTCTTTCCCGTACCGGGTGGGCCGTAGAGCAGTGCTCCCTTAGGTGGGTCGATTCCTAAACTGACGAATCGCTCCGGTGAAAGTAGAGGCATCTCAACGACTTCCCGAAGTTTCTCGATCTGTTCCTTGCATCCTCCAACATCTCCGTATGTCACATCGGGTTTGTCTTCCACAGTCATCATTGTAACGCTTGGGTCGATCTTGGGAGGCAGAGGAAGGAGAATCTGATATTTATTTCGATCCACACTAATATGGCATGAGTTAACGGTCCTTCAAATTGTAGTCAAATAGATATCTCTTACCCAACGCGCATGCCCTCCTCAATATCTGTAGGACTCACTCGCTCGCCGAGGTTCACGACGAACTTGGCTATCTGCTTGACATTGATGACATATTTGCTTTTCTCTGGATCCTTCTCATCTTGTATAATCTTTGTACATCGTGCAACTTGTAATGGCTGCTCTTCTTGCATCCGTTGTCGATCTGCAGCAACATCCCAGAGATGTGGCGGCGCGAGTCCAGTATCAGATTCCTAAAATTGGTAAGCTTCATCATCACCCAAATAGACAGCATCGGGGTAAGATACCTTCACACCAATCTTCTCGTTGACACTTGTTTGCTTCTCTTTTATTTGCTTTTCGAGTTTTTTCAAAGCGGCTGCATAGGGAGCAGCACCGTAGGTTTTGAGGACTTGAATATCCCTTTGACGGGTTAGTCGAAATTCCAACAACAGCTCCAGATAAAGGGCAGGAAACGTACTCGTCTGTTAGCGGTGTGATCTTTTTCTCTTCCTGCTCGTCATCTGCAAAGTTCTTCTTGTACTTCTCCCAGTTCTGGCCCGTGGCGCTGGGCATGATGACCGATTGCAACGACGGTAGGTAGAGATAGGGTGAGCAGCGACGGTTGCAAGGTGGCCACGTAAGAAATGTAGATGTGTCCTTGCTCTAATAACCAGTAGAGGAAGGTTAAGAACTGAGAAAGTTGATGTTTGCTGGAGGGAATGTTGTTGATTTTGTCTGTTTGGAATCAAGCTCACAGGTGGTTAGGTTAGGTTAGGTAAGGTTGGCTGGGAGCTTGTCATCCGCACTAAGTGTAGAGGAATCGCCAAGCATCTCGGTGGGAAATTCAATTAGCCCTCGATTTCACAACCTTCCAACACTCCACATATTAACTCCCTTTCTCCTTGTTCTGCATCACTAGAGGCTCAAGATGGCGCTCGCTCTAAATTCTTCTGGCAATGCCGGAAATGGCAACTTCAAGGTTCGTACGCTCACATATGGCCTGTTTTAACCCGTATTTGCTCACTGTTTCAATAGGATAAGGAGAAGCCCATGGCAGTGCGCACCGCCAATATCATGGCAGCTAGAGGTATGTATAGCCGTTAAACTATCTAAAGCCATGTACTAATTGTTATTGTAGCTGTTGCTGATGCCATAAGAACGGTATTGCTTTCTCAAATACCCTTTATCGGCTAGAAATGTGGGCTAACATTGGATAGTCATTGGGACCAAGAGGGATGGATAAGATGGTATAATTGACCCCGGGAAAAACGATTACGGCGATGACAGATGGTAGCAAGGCTGACCTGAAATAGATACAAACCGGAAAAGGAGAAACCATAATCGTACGCTCTACGGACCCCAACTTCCAACTATACATATCTAACATCATAATAGACGAACGATGGAAACACCATGTTAAAGGATATGGCTGTTATGCACCCGGCCGCAAAGATGTTGGTGGACCTTAGCGCCGCACAGGATGTGGAAGCTGGTGACGGAACTACATCTGTTGTTGTGATTGCGGGGAGTCTCTTGGGAGCTGCAGATCGACTATTGGCGAGAGGTGGGATTCTTTCGCATTCCTTCTGTCTAGCTAGTGAATCAAGTTCATGTTGACGCATGACTCTCCGAATAGGAATACATCCCACCGTTATTTCTGAGTCCTTCCAAAGAGCAGCTGCAGCTGCGGTTAAGATTCTCCACGACATGTCACATCCTATATCCCTTTCAGATCGCGCAACACTTCTTCAAGCCGCTTCAACCTCGTTGTCATCGAAGATCGTCTCCCAATATTCAAATCTCCTTGGTCCAATCGCTGTTGACTCCGTGCTGAAAACGATAGACCCGAAAACGGCAGAGAATGCTGACCTTCGGAATATTCGGATCGTGAAGAAAGTGGGTGGCACGATTGAGGACAGCGAAATGGTGGACGGTTTGATCTTGAATCAATCAGTCCTGAAAAGCGCAGGTGGTCCAGTCAGGGTTGAGAAGGCTAGAATTGCATTGATCCAATTCCAACTAAGCCCTCCCAAACCAGATGTATGTCCTTGACTTCATGTCTCGAAGTATCATCATACTAACCGTGGCGTCAGATGGAAAACCAAATTGTTGTCAACGACTATCGGCAGATGGACAAGATCATTAAAGAAGAGCGCATGTATCTTCTTAACATGGTAAAGAAAATAGCAAAGACCAAGTGCAATGTCCTTTTGATTCAAAAGTCCATCCTTCGCGATGCTGTAAACGACATCTCCCTCTATTTCCTCTCCCGCGTGAAGATTTTGGCCGTCAAGGACATTGAACGCGACGAAGTGGAATTTCTCTGTAAGAGTTTAGGATGCAAGCCCATAGCCAATATTGATTCGTTTACGGAAGACAAGCTCGGTACCGCGGACTTGATCGAGGAGGTGCAATCTGATGGATCACGGTATACAAAAGTGACGGGCATCAGATCAGCTGCCGCAAATCAAACTGTGTCTATTGTAGCTCGCGGCGCAAACAGCCTCGTTCTTGACGAAGTAGAGCGATCCCTACACGACGCCCTCTGCGTGATTCGATGCCTTGTCAAGAAACGCGCTCTCATTGCCGGCGGCGGTGCCCCTGAGATCGAAATTGCACAGGCCCTAGCAAAACAGGCGCGAGCTCTTACAGGCACGGAAGCCATATGCTGGAAAGCCTTTGCTGACGCGATGGAGGTCATTCCCACCACCCTTGCAGAGAACGCCGGATTGAATAGTATAAAAGTGGTCACCGATCTCCACCACCGACACGCCATGGGAGAGAAAAATGCCGGCGTGAGCATCCGAAGTGGAGGGGTTAAGGACAATATTGCCGAGGAGAGGGTCCTGCAGCCGCTACTTGTGAGCACGAGCGCGATCGAGCTCGCGGCTGAAACGGTGAAGTTGATCCTACGAATTGATGATATTGCTCTCTCGAGATAGGAAGTGAAAATGGATTGACTGGTGGGTTATATTTTCCCTGCTGGTCCAAGTTGTTTTAACGTCAATGTCAATGAAAACGAGTAATTAGAGAAAGGTTAAAAAGGCTGTATTTGATAGCCTGGTTCGCCTAGAATAAATCAAATCTCAATGCTTTAGGTGATGTGACAATTCATATCTTAGATTAACCTGTGATGAATCAATTATTTGTTTACTTCGAATAATTCGTATTTGATTTCCCAAGTTCCTGATACTCCTGAAAAAACTAGTTAAAAAGGAGAGAGCATTAAACGGAGCTCTCATTTTCTCAACTTTACGATCTCCTTCCGGTGTGCGAACTTAGTGGCTCCCAGTGGCTTGATAAGACCATCCACCACATTATCTGCAGATGGCGCGTAGTGTAGAACAATTTCATTCTTGTGAACAAGATCGGAGCAGCTTGGTAACTATGATAGCTAGCTTCACTAGAAGAGAGCTCTATTGGAGACTTGTTGTCAGTGGTGAATAGTGGGGGTGAGAGGGTTAGCTGGCAGTCCTGGCATATAATAGACATGGCTGAATTCAATTCGATCTATCCCCCACAGGGATAGAGGCAGGACTGATTTCTTGAACCTTGAGAATGATTTTGTTGATCACTTGCACCATGAGACCATCTATGAGAAGGTGGAAAACTGAGTCACGTGACAGAAGGGTGTCTGACTCTGGGAACAATACGAGAATATATCGAATTTTCACCCTGACGTTGAGTACAGGTTGGGGAACTTGGTCGTAGGTCAGACCTAAGCTCCATTCAACTACACAGATTCAGTGCAGTATGGATGTAGTGTCCGCGTCATGGGGTAATTGGCAAGGATCATTTCCCTTGATAAGAAAGTTAATCCCCGGGGATAAATAGCTCAGTACGTGGGCGGGGATGTACCGTAAAACGCTCATTGGATAGTCCTAAAGACTTGCCCGGGATAGAGATTCGATCGGTGCTTCAAAAGCACAAGCACTGCCCAAAAAACCCATGACTATCACAGTCATGAAATGCCGGCGAGCCAAATGAGGTAGTCGTTTTTCGTGAATCTTCTGTGATGACCGCCCAGGAGGCATCGATATTCATCAAAGAGGTAGAGTGTGTGCTGCCAAAGAATTTCTGGGAAAGTTCATTGTTGATCAATTTTCCTTGGGACGGTCGACAGAATGCAACTTAATATTATTCCTTGAGGAAAAAGCCCCAGAATAAAGTAAATCGCACTGGTCATACATTGAAATAGTTGAAAAATGCAATGAACAACACATACGAACATAGGGAGTGGAATATAGGGCTTCCCGTCCGCTCAGCCGTACTCAAGCCACTCGCCGGCCTGCTAGTAGTTGGGTGGGTGACCACCAGCGAATCCGGGCTTTCGTATGTTTTTTCTTAAATTTATTTGGAGTAAAAATACATTTGTGTCTTTTTATATCAATCAGAGGTCGACGTTAATTTGGTAACCGGGCTCTCCCTGCTACTTAAACAAAGCTGAGTCCTGACCGATAGGCCGGGAATCAAGAATCATAATAACTACTTCATACGGAGTAACTCACAAGGGAACTTATTAGGAGGGGAGCAGCGGCGGGGTTGGATTCCCTGACATCCAATCTTGGTGGTCACATCTCCTCTATACTCTCGCATTGCCAGTGTCTTAGTTCGCAGCTGTGAAGCAAAACCGCAGCAGGCTGGAATTATTTCACACAATGTTCGTTGGTTGGAATCAATTTTAGTGTTTTAAGGGAGGGCCCACTAATTTATTTATCCGTTCCGTGCCCGCCGGATAGATAATATTCATTCCATCATTGTCGAATGAACACCTATTCTTCCTGTATTTCCCTGCAATGGTGCTTTACGCCTGGTTACCCCTTGAATCACAACACATCATTTCTTACTCGACAATTCTGAAATCATGAAAATTGATTGACGAGCCAACGGTTGGCCCATAGAACTGGGCAGAACTCGTCCTGCAATCCCTGTATAAAATACAAACTCACACGTATATTTATTTCACATACAGCATTTCGACACAGCCATCTTCATGGTGGCCTTTGTCAAATAGTTCAAGTTTCTGACAGCTAGAGAAATGCTGCGTTGTGAGCTTATCTATCAAATACCGAGACAATCACCAAATGATTTAACTAAGAATGAGGGTTACATAGGGAGAGGCATTTATCTGGCTAATACTGATACTATTAATCCATGAATTAAGAGAATGAATCAGGCTTAGAGGGGGCTAAAATTTATGACAGATAGCTTCTTAGGAAGCATAGTCACTGCCTACGAGAATGCTTACTCCGCTTCACTTTTGCTCTTCATATTGAAGCAGCGGAAGGGAATGCACATTTCGGAGTAATGCGTTCGTTCTACGGAATTGGATGGATGGTGGTGGTGGGACGATATCTGGCAGCTGCAGATGTGGCTGGGGACTCTGTCTATCCAGAGCAACGTGTTGTAACTCAGAAGGTTGGGAACCAGAAATGGGGAGAGTCCTGGGCTTCGACTTTCATCAAAGTTCTAGAGGAAACAAGGAAGCAATGACACTGCGTCTTTACGTCCTCGAAATTTTTGGTCGCGTTAACTTTGCAAGCAAAGTGACTTGTATCTCGATCAAGCATTATCATTAGCGGATCTGCCTTGTGTCCTATCGCTCTCTCAATCCAGGGCTTTGATAGAGAACATTTGCTGATTGTTCAGCTGGGAATTATCAAGCATCAAACTGTTCGACGATATACAGAGGCACACACATTGCATTATTGGTTTTGAACGTACGGATACGTACTGATGATGTTGCACATCCATAGATGGCGTTCACATATTACGCCATTCAAACGGATCCAGCCAATCATCATGGGACTGATGGCTAATGTTGGACCTAAACTGTTTGGTAAGGTAACTAATATGGCTTCGCCGATAATGGACCCAACCTGCGGAAGAGGCGTTGACCTAGGAACAATAAATATTATCAAAGAGGTTTTTATGTACATCTACATAACTACAGCCTTGAAAGTCGGATGTTCATTTTTTGCTGGGGACCCCATTTTAAGATGTTGTTCCGGAAGCCGCAGGATTCAGCTGCAACTGTTCTGTCGATTGAAAAAGAGAAAGTTGAAGGAGCCACGCGAAAATCTCGACCTCTTGGGTGATCTGGTATGGACGGAATAGCTAGTATTAAAGGTGAGTCGATTTTATTCCTCAATCTTGCAGGGCTCTTCAGCCGTCCATTTTTGAGCATTATTGCTGAGACCTTGGGATACAGGACATTTTACGTTGTATCGTGTACGGAGTATCGGAATTAAAATGGGAACTGCTAAACAACCCCGGTCATGCGGGGTTTGTCATACGGACTTGACCTAAGTACTTAACTGACTAGGGGACCTGGCTTTTGAATGCCAATCAAACCAGTTCTGTGATCTATGATTTTTGGCGAAAGGATGAAACAGTGCACCTTGAATGGGGAGGGAAAGATTTGCTTAGATGAGTGTTTTGATATTTCTGCAGGGCATAAAACGAGCATAACTTATTACTGTTGATATTATTCCTCTTCCTCTCTTCCTCTTTCTGACTTCTTGGCCGTTTGCTGGTGTCTCAGTGTTTGCACGCAGTCAAGTCAGATTTCCCAAGGTGGCACAGCCAGCAATTTCATATCACTTCATCTATCTCTTTCATATATTTTCTACATCGGCTGCTTGTTTTTCCTCAATGGAATAACTGCCTTTATGAATTCCTGTCACTGTTCACCCAAATCAACTCTTCATCTAGTGGACTGCCAATACCAGCTACTACTTCACGCAATCTCAATCTTTATTGGAACAATACATTCAATGGGATAAGATGCCTGTTCACTCGCATCGTGCTCCAAATGACTGCCCATCAGGGTTTCAATTTTATAGATGTTACAATTTTAACGGATGCTGCAAATCCAATCCGTGCAAGGGGCCTCCAATAGCACAATGTCCTGACGACGAGAGCCCAGGTGGGCAAATTAATGCATTGTCATCGTTAACTTCAACTTCACCAACTACTCGATCTTCGTCTGCATCTACGTCTATTAGAGCCTCTTCCTATAGAACATCAACAACGTTCTCGCCCACTTTGGCAAACTCGCCTTCACCCACACTTCCATCTGGCGGTGTACCAACAGATCCTACCTCAGCAGCACCGAACGCCACAATCAGTCCAGCAGCACCAATACAGGAGTCCAATGCATCTAAAAAGCTAAATGGGGGATTGGTTGGAGGGGTGGTTGGGGGAATTTTTTCACTGTCTCTTATTCTAGCAGTACTAATTTTCCTTTGGAGAAAAAGTCGAAAAGCGCAGCGAAGCCAACACCTAAGTTCTCCACTCCCGCCCGACGACGACGGAATGACGGGTATGGGCTTTGCAGACTCCAAAGTAGATCCACAGAAGAGTTTCATTGATACTCCGAATCTATTCAATAAACCATTGGACAACAGCAAAGGTTGGTTTATACTGATATTTTCACCACTTTACGTTTATCCCATTGCAGTTTCTTAACCATTAACCTTCATTTTCCACAGTCTATAGAAGCGGAACATTGACCAACAGGGACGCGACAAGCCAGTTTACAAAGTCTCACCAGTCTGTTTCTTCGGACTCCTCCACTCTCATGGGATCACCTGATTTCCGAGGCAGTTCGGTTTCGTCCTTTAACTCTCCCTCATTGGGGACATCTGACTTTGGTAGTTCAGATCTCAATCAGAATCTCAGGTCTAGGACTGCGAGCTCACTAGCAACACTCAACGAACATCCCCACTCAAGTACTGAAAGCAGTCATTTAATACCACGTGCCGAAATGCTCGCGACCGTTCCGTCCCGGGAGAGTGTTACATCTGAGCTTGCTAATACGGAGAGCCGCTACCGTGCAGAGCTTCCAGGAGAACCAGAGAGACAATTAATAAATATACCAAGAGAATTACGGGTCGGGATAACCGCAAACACAACTGAACAGGTTACCCCCCAATTTTCAGTGACTACACCAGAAGGAATTGTGCTCGGGTCAAATCTTAACCTCGAAAGAACAAGACCGGGAATACCAGAAAATCATGTGATGAGTTTCATGTCTTATGGTGAAAAATAATCAAGGTCGACAGGGCCCTGTAGCCGGAGTTTAGAGGCCTCAATGATAGGAGAGCTTGTCTGAGGCGAATTCTTTAGTTCCTATATACGAGAGTGAGCCGTCGAGTCAGAGGGGCACTGATTTAGTCGGCATATTTATTTTAATACTTAGGCCGTTGGACATAACTGCCATTAGCCTCGTGGGGACGGAAAAGTCTTTCAAAAACTACCCATAATTCCCCACGAATGCTCCGTGATCGTTACGAACACATGTATTTTCCATTTGTCCCGCTTTCAAACCTATTGTGGGACACGTAAGGCGTTGTATGTTTGTCTTATTTGATTTCACCCTTTCAACCTGGCCTTGTTTTTGGCGCAGCCGCTACGTCACCATCGCTATTTCACCGCGTATTCCAAAATGTATGTTACAGGTCTATATGGTGTTCTTCGATTTCAACTTCATGTTCACGACATACTTGCCCTAACTCCCCGACAGGAATATATGAGGGAGCAACTCCGGCTGGCGTTATTGAGGCTTTCCATGCTTCTCGTCCTTCTTGCGTTCTATATCATTTAGATCTAAAAATTGGAGGGATTTCGCGCCTTGTTATATTTCTCAGGGAGGCAACTGGAGTGAGCGGAAAGGAGGGAGGAAGGTATGATGGGATAGAATGGGATAGGCTAATATTGTAGTCATTTTATATCACGGATTTCGAAGAACGACGTTGGATGATGGGTGATTCAGTTTTTCTGTGACATTGGGAAGAGAAAAGTGAAGTGGACGGTGTAGCTTTCTACACTAGAAACATTATATCTCAAAACTAGAAAAGAATGTCCAAGTTAAAGTGGCGAAAACACCAAATTTAAAGAAATAGAGATTTGAAGATCTCAATTTCCAAAGCAAAATTCCAGGAGTAGGGCTAAGGAAGAGACTCGCAACGACCACGTCAACGACAGCTACAGGGGCTGCTCTCGCCGGCCCTCTAGCCAGCGTGGCCCGCAATACCCAAGTTCATGCGATTCGTCATATTAAGCTCAACGTTTATGTCTCAGATTCCAAAAGTTCTTTGATATGGTCCGCAGCAACAGATGCCATTGCTTCGCAGAGATTTTTGTCATGGGAAGTCGGCAACATAATCTTCATTGCATATATGAGTCTCTCTGTGGACCAGCCGAAATCGAGGAGATGGCAGATGCTTTTAATGGAGCGTTTTAGGAGGCCTGGTATTCCCAAAAAGTCCGCAATAGCGTGCACCACAGTCGGATTCGGAGATGCATGCAATTCCCATCATAGCGGCATTTTCCGCAGGGCTCGCACTCGACACCCCCATTAAAAAATGGCCGGTATACAAATAGATAATCATCCGTTTTCACGATGTCGGTATCAAAAATGTCCAAGAGCATAGTTTCCGTCGAGGCTTCCTACGTTTGGTCAAAACCATGAATCCAAAAAATCTTTTCTATGCTGACACACCTTGAACTACACATTTAATGCCGCTTTAATAACAGGGGACTTAATGCCTACCCCCGCTTTATACACGTAGAAAGCTTCTAGCTGGCATTGTATCGTACAAGTCCCTATACTACTCGGGGAACTGCAGCATTCCGTCCAATCAGGGTTGGAGGTTTATGTCGGACCCTTCCGTCATGTAACCTGTTTTCCCCCAGCATATAGTCGTTCTCGTAGTTAGCAACCTTTGCAATCGATCAAGTCCGCCATTCTGTCAGTTTACAGGTCTGACGATTTCGAATCCTGGATTGGGTGGACACAAATGAAAGCAAATGAGAGAAGATCAGGTGCATTCGCTGAAGCAACATTTTGAATATCAGAGAAGATGAAGAAAGAATCGAGATATTCAATAATTGATCTGTTCATAAAGCGAGACACAACACAGTAATGGCCCAGAAACTATGGAGCTTGAAGACATTGTGAACACCCAAGAGCGATATCACTAATATAGATATCTGTGTTACTTCTATCCCACTCCGAGGAACAAGTTCTGGGAAGTGTTATGTCATTGAAGAGACTCCGATAGAAGTGATCCGAAGGTTGCTATGAAGTATATAATGTCTGCCGCAGTTTCAGGGGGGTGCGGGGCTGCAAATCGCCGCTTTGAAATTCAAGGATTGGTATTCCTTCAATGCAGATGTCGGGTTAGCGGTTCCCGAAACAGCATCAAGGTAGCCAAATATCCAACATCGTAAGTATCGTAAGTGTTTAAAATACCATATCATATTTTCAATTGGTATGAGGGAGCGCTAACGCTGGACCGCAGAAGAAACCGCAGCAAGCTGCTGGCGCTCAATAAGTTAATTCGTGAATCTCTATATTCAACAATTTAATACTGCATCACTGGAAGTTTATCCCCAGTCCCAAAGTTGAGAGCACTCTTTTTCATGGAAGGTGAAGTTTGTTCTTGCAAAGACAAGCTCTGGCTTTTCCACCGAAACAACCAGTAGCATGATGTGGAATCGGCCCGAGAGCGAAATAAAATCAAACCCCAAAAATCGGGCCGTGGCCGATTTCCGAATGCCGACCATAACACATATCCGGTCGCTGACAACTTAGCGGTTATATTTTCGGGTCCGCACAACTCCCATGGGAGCAACGTGGAGAATGACAGGATAGTGTTGCTCTCGTCTCTTTTATGCAATTCTTCATCAAAAGCAGATTTTGTTCTCTCGGGGAACCGTGTTCCATTCCAAGGTTCGGTCGTTGGAGTAACTCTCTAAGTAAATTCTCAGTCTTCAATTTGGCTAAAGAGAGCCAAGAGAAATAAGACGGTGTGGTCGAGTGGTAAGACGTCACGTTGTGGCCGTGCCAGCCTGGGTTCGATTCCCAGCACCGTCAAAGTAAATCTTACCTTCGTTTTTGTTCGTTTTTGTGCTTCGATTTTTTCGCTTTCCAGTTTTATCCAACCTTATTTCACCCACTTCTTGCATGCCTTCGTCACTACTTGCAAGTGAACACTGATCCACACGTATAGCTTTTACAACTTCTCACTAAAATAAACATCCATGGATGATCTCTATTGCGCACTCATTACCCAACTTAGAGATTTTAAATCACGTGATATACATATGTATATAACTTTTTTCTGGGCCTTGGCATCAAACTCACTTTTTAAGCCGACGACGCAATATAACATGAAGCTCATCAACTGGGTCAATCATGTACGATTGACTTGTCACTCTTCGCGGAATATACCTATGTAGTATTTTTTTTTTTTGGTTTTTTTACTTTACTACTATCTCCTTATATTTGTCCCCGATTACATTTTCCAAAATGTTCTACCGCCGCTGCAGAACAAGTCTCCTCCATCGTCTCCCCTTCCAACAACCAAACCCTGAGTCTATCCAAACATCACGATGCACAGTTTTCTTTCCTTATAAAAACCAGACTCTCCGAGCATACAGCACACCGACCACCGATGTTCCCACACCCTTTCTGTCATCCTCCTCTCCATCAACCGCCCTCCCAGGAGCAGCTCCTCCTCCTCCTGCAACCCCGGAGTCCAAGGAAGATGCGCCGCCGCGTGTGATCAGTGGTACGCCCGCCGGCACGAAATTGAAGGGACTAAATTATATGAAAAATCAGCCAGAAGTTTTTGCATTGGAGGACGATGAGTATCCCGATTGGCTATGGTCTCTTCTGGATGATGCAAAGAAAAAGTCAAACACGGACGGAGAAGTAGATACGTCGAGTAAGTTTTTTTTTGTTATGTCTAAAACATAAACCACGTAGATAAGTATTGCCTACAACACTTCAATTCTAACCATGAAGATAGCTATGAATAAAAAGCAACTTCGTCATGAAAAGAGAATGACAAACAGTACCGCTTCCGATCCACGCAATATCCCACTACATGAACAAGCCGTCGATATCACTCCAGCCGATGCAGTGGCTCAATCTCCAGGATCTCTTGAACTTGCCTCCTCTAGTGCTGAGACGCGCGCACAAATTACGAAGAGCGCAAGAGCTGCCCGAAGAAAGGCCATCAAGGAAGCCAATTACCTTCAAGGAATGTAAAAGCGGGGGCGACATGAGCATCGGCATTCATCGATTGTATTTCTGTCTATCTTGGCACAACAGCTGTTGATTCACAAGCTCTGTATGATGATATCAGTTGCTGGAGGAATTTCCAATGCGTGCTAAAGCCTGTATACAGAAGTAGATGAGAAGGGAAGGGAGAATCAATCGCATTTTCATGGGTAACTTTCAAGATTTAGATATGTCTGTCCTAAAATCATGGGATGTATAAAGTCTTCTGTCAACTCCATGGGTGCCATTTGATTCAACAGATTTTCTCGCTCATCTTGTTCGTGATAATTGACGGGTTTTGTTGTGTACTGGGAAAGGGGTAAAGCGTTTCTTTTTTAAGCCATTTCTGTTACACTGAAATCTGTATTATAGGAGAGGAGAATTTATTTAGTTTTTTCGTTTTTATGTCATCTAAGTTAACCATGTTCATATCTCTAGCTATGGCAGTGTTATTCAGATGTAGTACACGGATAATATGGAATTATTGCCTAACTGCCTAAGCCTATTTTATCCAAAAGCTGTCCCCTTTTCTAGATGCCAGGCCCACGAAATGTTACCTACAAAGGGCGCGCTTTTCAATCTCGTAAGTTCTCTTGTGGAAAGAAACTATAATATATTTGTATATCTATAGGAATTAGAAAAGGAAGTAAAAATGTCAATTGGGACAGCAGTTTTATTTGGGGTATCGTAAAAGTGAGAGAAATGCAGACAGGGAACATCAGCACGCAGTTGACAAGAACTCAAAGAGTAAGGGAAAGGCATTTCGTTGACAAGTACATGGATTAAAAGCCAAGGTAAGGTAAAAAAAAAAATAAAGGCAAAAGCAAAAGGATCGAATGAAAATATTTATCACAGGAACTATTTTCCATTGGATCCTTTATTGCCTCTTTTTCTCTTCTGTTCCGTGCGACCCTTGTTCTGTCTTGAAAGTCGCAGATGAGCTTATCAACCCACTTTGCTGAAGAAGTTTCCACGTGCACCATAGATATGAAATACCAAAACCTGATGCCCCGATCAAAACATTTATCACAACCCATAAATCCGGTTTCCCCGCTGGTGGAGGGACAAACGCCTCAAGAAAGTGCCATGTTATCATAGCCAAGTAATAAGCCAAATGCAACAACTTCGTTAGAACATGCAAATTTCTAGAACTCTGCGTAGATTCGGAAGATACCGATTTATTGCGATATAAATCTAGTGACGTGGGCGGGAGGCCGAGTAAATATGCCCACAGCATGGTAAGGACGAAGTAGGGCACTCGTAGTTCATCTCGCCGTAGGAGTGGGAACAGAGTCCACACGCCAAGCATGTTAGCCCAGCCAACCCAGGCTCGTGTCTCCTTGCCTAGGCCACCATCGCTGCCCAGGAGTAGGGTCATGGGAAGGAGTGGTAAAAGGACGCTCTTTTCATGGACTTGGAATGAGCAAAGGAAAAATCCCCATGCTGTGCTTGATAGAGCTAATGGGAGGAGTGCGGGTCGAGGGAATAGACCAATTAATGCGCAGGATGGGATGATCGATAAAAGGGTTGCGCCAAGAGAGGCGCGTTGGAGTATGCTTGAGGGAAATCTGTTTAGTTTGTAAAATGTGTGAATTGTGCACCATACGTTAGCCACCTTGTCCTCGAACAGGCCTCGCGCAAATGGAAATATGCGGTAGATGGATTGGCAAAGCTGAAGCACCGGAGGGAATATCCATGAGGATTCGTCCAATTTCACTGGCAAGCTCTGAAGAAGTGGCGGACTGGGAAGTGGACGCTCAATGCCGAGATAGTTATCATAGAGGGGAGCAACTATGAGAGGAGCAAAGAGCAGTGCGAAGGTGAGTATGGTAATGAAAGCGATGCTGATTAATCGACCGATTCTAACACGAGGTGAAAAGCAGGCACCTAGCATGAAGGCAAATATCGTGGGGGCAAAGTACAATGCCATTTGCTTGAAGCATAGGGCTGACACAAAGAACAAACAGGCCCAAAGCATCCGGCCGGCGAACATACTCTCTGATGCTGCAACCACTAACCCTAACATAACGGTATTGAACTGAAAATGTCCATGATCGACCAGAATGGTAGCGGGTTGCATCAGGATCGCAACAAGAACAATAGAGGAAGCCCATATGTGGATTCCTAGAACTCGAGAGTATCTCCGGAGAAAGATTACAATAGCAGGGATATAGACGAGATATTCAGAGACCAGGACCGTTGCACGCATGTAAACCTTAAGCAACGGCCCCTCCATCCCGCGAGACTTGTCAAGAGCAAACCATGACGAGTCAATGATCGAACCGCTATCTAACATCAGTTTCAGACCGGAGATGTCTTGGTGGGTTTGCGCGACTTACATCTTCCCCAAGAACCAACTGTGGTACGCAGTCAGAGGAGGGTAATCCAAACCCCACCATTGCAGGTCGTAGAAGTACCATAACGATATGGGGAGGTGAGACGTAATTTCCATCCAATGTCGCTGCGCTTCAAAATCACCGTACATCGGGGGGGTATTTTGACCTGTGGAAATGCCCATTGTTAGCTACTGATCCATTTGAGGATTTTGAGTGGCGATTTAGATCCCACCAGAGTATCCCCATAGACTTGTTGACCAGCGAAACAGCCCAACAACCATCAGAATCAGAGGCAAAACAACCCATTGTGATATGCCAGCACGCGCAGGCCACAGGAACGATACGAGCGGAAAAGCAGGAGAAGGGTTGCTTGAGTCCGCGTTGACAATCAGATTGATGTTAGATTGGGCTGATAGCAATCTTCTCTTCTTGCGGGGACGATGCGAAGGAGACGGTGTTGTTTGGGTCCCCATTGTGCCAATTGGTGAGGACCATATCGTAGGATTACGGGTTTGAAGAGCCGATATCACCGATAATAAGCCAAAACCCTCTTCGCGGTTTGAAACTTGGATCTTCAGGGAGAGGGTAACTTCATCACACCGCGATTTGCTGCGAAGATTGGCGGGACAGAAGGTACTCCCAGGTACCCTCTCTGGTGTGGGTCCTTGGGCTTGAATTTATGCGCTAGCCTTCTTCTGTTCTAGTGTAAACTTATACCCAGGCCAATGGATTTCAATATCAGTTATATATATATATGTATATATATATATATATATGGATCCAATCTCGGGGGCTGGCTGTGTATGAATTCGTTCACGATAGAATTTCTGGCCTGCTCAGGTATCAGGAAGCAGCTTTTGCCTATGAATACATTCCTGGCGGCGGAATTCTTCACTACTGGAAAGCATCTTAAAATCCGGTGGAGTTCACCACTTCTTGCCAATTGCAAAGTCAGATGGTTTCTGAGATCCGGCATTACGACCTCATTTCTGCCCTATGTCGTGCTGGTGGCCCGCATCAGCGTCTTATTAGTGATCAAGGTCTTCCTGAGCCTAAATAGTAAAACAGTCAATTGCAAATACAGTAGGTTTTTGAATTCATGCCGATCCGCAGGTTGAAAGGGTCAAGCGCATAACTATTGTGCAATGCATTGGCCTTAGTTCTAGGTCCATGAGACTACCAGAAGGGATGCGTATCCCATGGACTATTTGTGCTTCATCACTATGCGGCAAATAGCCAGGACATTCTGCGGCTTTGAGTGTTGTGGACAACAAATATTTCCATTGCAACACAGCTCTCTGTATGAAGCGAGAAACCGTTGCTTAGTTTCCCAGATCAGCATCTTAGGCCAACAACGAGAGCCAACGAAGAATCAATGGCCTTAATAACAGAAGTGGGATCAATTTCCCGGTAACTATATGAAAGAATAGTGACAAATTCCGGCTCTGCCTCTCAAGATTCGTCCTTTGGTTGGCACCGCAGACGGTTAGCTGGGTTAAACCGAAGTAAGTTAAGTTGGCTGCATAAATTTCTCTGTAACCGCTAACCCGCTAGAGGACTAGCGCATGATTAACCGAAAGCGGTCAGCCGCCAGCCGCTTATTTCTTCGGCTCATTAATTAATTTTTATTGCAGAGCGGTTTTCCGCTTTTTTCTTACTTCTCTCTCACAGAAACATTCCATTTTTTTCCCCACTCCTTCTATACTACCCTAACCTTCTGGAACCAAGATCACTGAGGACTTTTGATCTGTGAATTCTAGAGCGATAAAGACTGCCTCAAGCACTATCTTTCTCTCTCTTTTTTTCACACTTCCTAGTGGACTTGCTGCAAGAACATCCCTGTGGGCTTTTCTAAGGCTTTTCTGAGCACTGAGGGCTGTGGACTTCTTGAAAATCTGCGAATTTATCTGTGGGGCTTCCTTGTGGTTTCTATAGACAGCGCACGCTATTGTCTGCCTGTCAACTGTGGGCTTGAGACTGTTCCTTTGTGGGTTACTGAGTGTTAATTGCGTTGGCTTATCGAGAAGATTTTTGCAGTCTTATCTCGAGCTAAATAGCGTATAACAGCGATCTGATCGTTGTTTATTCATTCCTGTTCTACTGAGGGCTTGAATTGTCAGAAAGACATATCAAATTCGCACCGTGGGTTCTGAGGGTATTTTTCAGAGATTGCCGCACATATTTGTCCTAACACTGTTTGAGGTGAAATTTATACACTGTGAGGGCCCTTTCTTTCCTTCTTTACTGTCCAGTTGGCCTTCCTTATTATTGAGCTTTAGCATAGAGGGTACTAACCTTCTCTGGATAAAGATGTCGAAAACCAAATCATCAACGAAGGCTGGAAAGGTGGAAGTCAAAGACCTGTCCAAGGTAAAGAACGTCGCCGTGACAAAGCCATCTGCAACTCCAAAATTGAGCAAGGATTTGGCCAAGAAGGCTGTCAAGGAAGACAAGAAGCCTAAGAAGAAGGCTCCCACACCATCATCGGAATCAGAAGAGGAAAGTGAGGAAAGCGAGGAAAGCGAGGAAAGCGAGAGTGCCGAATCTTCTGGCAGCGAAAGCGAGAGCGAAAGTGAGGCAGAGGAGAAGCCTGCTGTCGCCAAACCCGCCACCAAGGCCACCAAGGCTGCCAAACCCGAGTCGGAATCCGAATCCGAATCGGCGTCCGAGTCTGAATCCGATGAATCAGCTTCATCTGAAGATGAGAAATCTACCAAGAACGTTGCGAAAGTTAATACAAGTGAGAGCGAGGAGTCTGAATCTGAATCCGAAGCTGACTCTGATTCTGATTCTGACTCTGAAGAATCTGTAGCTGAAGAAAAAAAACCATCTGCTAAAGCGATAGCAAAAGTGAGCCTTCACAAATTCCGCCATGATTAAAGTATCTCATTAACTTATTCTACAGGAGTCAACTACTGAAGAGTCTGATTCGGAAAGCGACGAGGAGTCTCCGGAGGGTTCATCTGATGAGTCGTCTGAGGATTCCGAGAAAGAGGAGAGCGCTAAGACTGAAACTCCAGCTTTCAAATCCCAGAAGCGTAAGGCTGAGGACGAGGAGGAGGTCGTGGCCCCCAAGAAGACTAAGGTGGAACCAACTGAAGGTGGAAATCTTTTCATTGGTAATCTGTCATGGAATGTCGACGAAGAGTGGCTCCGATCCGAGTTCGAAGAATTCGGTGAACTCGCTGGAGTGCGCATTGTGACCGATCGTGATACTGGCAGATCGAAAGGGTGGGTGACCTACCTATTCAAGACACGAAACAACTGTTGTAACTAACATGAGGCTCCCTCTAGGTTCGGCTACGTTGAGTTCACCAACGCTGAGGATGCCGTCAAGGCACACGCAGCCAAGAAAGATACAGAGCTCGACGGACGTAAACTCAACGTGGATTTCGCCAACGCCCGTTCAAATGCTGCCCCCAGAGATCGTGCGCAATCTCGAGCCCAAAACTTCGGCGACCAGAGGAGCCCCGAGAGCGACACTTTGTTCATCGGCAACATTGCCTTCAGCGCGGACGAAAACATGATCTCTGAGACATTTGCGGAGTATGGATCTATTCTTGGTGTTCGTCTCCCAACTGATCCCGAGTCTGGCCGTCCCAAGGGCTTTGGCTATGTGCAGTTCTCATCCATCGATGAGGCTCGTTCCGCTTTCGAGTCTCTCAATGGTTCGGAACTTGCAGGTCGTGCTATGCGACTGGATTTCAGCACACCGCGCCAAAATTCTGGAGATCGTGGCGGTTTTGGAGGCCGTGGTGGCGGCGGTCGTGGTGGTGGACGAGGTGGTCCTCGCGGTGGCCGTGGTGGTGGTGGTGGTCGCGGTGGTGCCCCTCGTGGAGGCCGTGGTGGCAGCACAAACCGTGGTGGATTTGGCGACTACAAGGGCAAGAAGACGACTTTTGATTAGGTCAACCTAGATAGGCTGTCCCAGATACGATACCCGTTTTGGCTAGCTTTTTATGTTTTGGATCTTCAATGACCATTAATAGGGCGCCGTGGACTCTTTGCTTGTAGGTAATGTATGATAGTATATCTCCTGTGTTTTTTATATGTTATTTGATTTATCATTGCTCCCTTGTTCTTGTTTTGTTTATCCTAAAAGTTTTGTTTGTTCCATGCCAGGGCAGTTAGTTTAAGTAAACCCAATTCGAGTTGACATAGTAATCTACGAATAAAATTGTATTCATATCCTTCGTCTCATGCCTTTAAAGTTTGTTGAGGCATATGCGGGTTAGCGTTAGCCGTTGGCTGCATGTGATTTTACATAATGTAGATAGTTGACTAGCTAGTTAACTAACAATAAAAGATTGACTCATTCTACAGATTATAATTTAATATATATAGATATTTCCAATAAAAATTTTAATTTTTAACTTAATTAAAAATATAATTTTACTTTTATCAACTATATAAAGTTGATAATCAAGTATATAATATATAATATTAAATATTGAAAATATTTTTAAATTTTAATAAAAATTACTATAAATTTAAGGCTATTATTTTATATTTCTTCCTTTTGCTGCATATTTTAAATGGCATTCTAACACTTTAAAGATGTTTAATTAGAAAAGATTGAAAGTTGTTTTATTTTAACTCTCTGGGTACCTGAAGTTGAGTTAATTGTGACAAATAACTATTTGTAGATGAAACATTTTTTACGAAGCGGGGTATATCACCTGATTTCTCTGCCCAATCAGGCAACGAAGCTGAGCCTATGTCTGGTTTCGACCACGCCCAAGCCACCCACTAAGTGCACGCAACCGCTGCTCAAACAAGCGTATCATCGCATGTTCAAGGCCTTAATGCCTCAGATTTGTCGACAAACACCACGCACTGCGTCATTGCCTGCCATCAGCCCAATCCCCTTTCGGTTCCAAGCCCTATCAACGCCCTCTCAACATCTTCTCATCTGCGTCCTCGATCTTCTTCTTGTCTTCATCCTCATCCTCGTAAGGCTCGTCCTTTGCTCTTTTTCTTGTCTCCTTGTTTCTGGTTTCGACGAGAGTGACAGGTTTGCGTAGTTATGTCTTTAATTGCTGAAGTGCATACCCTCTGACATATAGCTTCCCCCCCCTCACTTTTAACCAGCTCATACATATCAGCATACCCAGTTTTCAGTATCAGCTGATGACCACCACGAGGCTCTGTGTATTTCTTCTTCTCCCACTTCCATGTGCAGACAGCCCAATTTCCTCTCAATCAGGCGGTTCTTTTCTTCTTTGTCTTTAGTTTCACTTTAATCTCTTTCTCCGTTTCCCCAACGAAACCTTGGCAGTTTCACGGAGCTGTGAATCTTTATCAAAGCCGTAGTTCCGGACCTCGACTCACTGCTACACCTGTTCGCTCGAAGTCGTCAGACCAGACAATATTATTCAAGTGGGATACGAAACCAGCACATTTTCCACATCTCAAATTGCCCCGATTCCCCTCTGGTGGATAGATACTCCACCCTGACTTCATTGATATATCATCCCTGCCCGAAAGTTCCGAAAGCTACAATGCAGCCAAACCATCTTGATCCGCCTTGCCCTGTTCATGACGGGAACCAGGAACGAAGACACCATACCCCCCGGGATGCCACCTCAGCATCACGAGAATCAGTTATGCGATCACGAAACGTGTCTGGTGGACAGCACACCAGGTCGGAAGGTACGTGAGCAGGTTAACCACCTGTGGCAATCTCTGAACAACAAGGAGTAAACCGGCCAGATTGAGTATCAAGCATGCATATTGATCGCCAACCTTCTTTTCCCTGTTGCATTTCTTTTGGTGTTTTCGGCCCGCCTTGTTCGTACGCCATGTACTCATTTAGCTATTACACAGATTCGTGGATTGAAGTTGCGTCGCAACCATCCTCCTCCTCCTTATCCTCAACTGCTACAAACGATGATATCATCACAACAGGCCTTCGGGTACGACAACATCGACATTGTAGGGCTCCACGTCGTAGCGCGGTCCCCCATAGTATGAACGGTCAATACTCCAACCGTTCGCCCAGCGTTCCAGGAAGTAGTCAAGACGAATATGAGGAGAGCGATAGCGATTCAGATCGTGTGCTGAGTGGTTCAAATGAAGATGTTGCCGCTCGATCTCGTGGAGATGCAGTGTTTCTTCACGGTAACTCGTCAGCCTCTGACGCTGCGTTTTCCAGCGATGAAGATGATAACTCTACGGCTATTGGTGTGAGCCCAAACCCGCCGGCGTTTACTCCTCAGCCAAATGCCTTCTCACATCCTCCTGCCTCTCAAACTCGACGATCTAGAACAACTGCCTTTGTGGCAAATCAAGCTCCATCTTCCTCTAGCTACACAACGGGAACCAGAAGAAACTCGCGCTCAAGTTTACGCTCCTCAAGACATACGCGCCAACAGCAACATTCTCCTTACAATATGATATCCCCGTCCTATCAAGCCGACAATGATGCTGCACTGCGAGCAAGCCTCTCGACTCTTCTATCTTGCGCAGCGGCTGCTCGCGGCTTGTCCAAACACGATACTCATCCTCCAACGACTGAGAGACCTGAGCCTCCTTCATTCCGATTAGTCCCTGAATCTGTTGCTTTGGGAGACGACCCCGGCGAGGAAGCTGCCAGAGCAGCACCTCCCGCTTTAAATAGCGCAACGGGACAGTGTTTTACCCCACGGTCCTCGTCCTCCAAACGTGCCGCATCTCCTACTACAGGTCACAAGACAAGGCGAAAAGTAAGCCTCCCGCGAAGTTGCTCTCCGTCATCAAAGCGATCCCGTCGAGCTGTCGGGCCGCAGACCTCATCCATAATCAGCCCCACCGTTATGACTTGGGTCATAAGTGCTGGCGTAGTAGTTCTATTCTCTGCCATCAGCTTCTCGGCTGGATACGTTCTTGGCAGAGAAGTGGGGCACACTGAGGCTGCGCATGGTCTTGGGAATAACGGGCTTGGTGTATTACTTAATGGGACCTCAGGAGATGGTAGTTTATCAAGTGCCAAGGTGGGAGCCGGCTGTGGAAAAGAGGCAGTCAAAGGTGGATTGAGAAGAATTCGATGGGTTGGAGGTGGCGCGGGGTCTAGCATCAGTGCTTCATAACTAGCAGTCAACCCCTGCTGTATCTCGCTCTCTCAGATAGCCTTTGGTAAGCTCATCTGTGGGCCTGTCGATCCTCCCTCCCTTAGGCCCCTGAACCGATTCCAAGCTTAATATCATCTATCCGAATTCACGACTATAGAAAAATGCTGCTTCGGCTCGACTTTTCTCAATGACCATTCCATGTTTCCCAAATTGGAGTCAGGGTTCCCGACTTTAGGAGAAGTGGGATCACAATTCGCTACCGGCATTCATTTCTACTTCATTTTTGATTTCAATTACTGCTTTTCTTACAGTTTATATTACTTCGATTTTGGCGGGCGTTCCTTTTGGAAGTTTTGTTTCATTTTAATTTCCTTCCCCGTCAACCCCTCTCTCCTTCTGCGGTTTTCATATTCTTATCTGCATTTCAGTTGCATTGCATGATTAAACGTCGTGTGGTATTCTTTTCTATCCCCTTAAATATTAGGAAGCGCCTATGGACCGAGAGAGGGAGTATTGCTCTAATATGACATGAATTTTCGTTGATCCGAAGGCCCTGGTTTTCTTTCATCATCTTCCAGCCAGTATGGAGGAATTTATAAGGATATAATATACAGTATGAAGGCTGATGCGAAGCCAAGGAGTTTAGAATTAGATTAACCCAAAATAATGAATATGTACAAGACGAAACAAGCACTGTCTCGAATAATATACATACATGATCATCTCCAATCGCCTTGCCCCGGGAAGATAACTAACCAAGCAGCAACGTAAATGGGAGGGGAGATATAAAGTAATGTAACAACTAAAGTAACGCCATAAATGCACCCAGGGGAGATATATTTATAAATCCCAAATCCAATTCCTGCTCATATCCATATACACAAACGGGGTAGCCAAGAAAGGTATTTCACGTAAATATTCTAAGGCACCATCTTATTTCATATCTTAAACCCATACCCGGCCATGCAACTCTTATACTGCTCGATCAGTGGTCGACATTCCTGTTGTGCAGGGTCGTCTGATTTTGAGAAGAGCATGCAATCGTCCCGGGCGGCTTTTTCAGGTTTGCAGACGCAGCATGGCTATAAATTTTGCTTTCAATTTTACGTTAGATGATATATTGCTTGGAATTTCTAGTATCGGGGGTTTGGATTTGGGAGGGGGAACTAGTTATGGGAGGGTAGATGGGCGGAGGCAGAAACCTGGAATGGAATACCTTGGGTTTTGATGATGACGAAGATGTGGATGTGGAGGAATTGAAGGGGGTGGAGTTGTCTAGAGAAGAAATGGGGATTGGTTAGCTCTTCTGCATACTCATTGAGGGCATTCACAGGTGACTCATAAAGAACGGGCGGCAACGGAGTTCGCCCGGGCTTTGAAAGGCGTGTTGTGTTGCAACCTACCAGTAGAGAGGGAAGAGATAGCTGGGGATGACATTTTGTAAATATCGACTTATCCCAGGAAATAGACGAACGGACGACAATAGATTAAAAAGGAATGTGATGAGAAAAGCGCAAGCTTAAGATTTCCGACAACGTAGTTGGGTGTTGATTATTCGATATTTCAATGTTCATCGTCTTTTCTTTTCTTTTTTTTTTTTTTGGATCAAGATTCTCGTCTTCGCATTTCATCGGAGATCGGAATATTAGTGTCGCCGAAGCAACAACCTTGAATCTTCAAAATCCTCTTCCCCCTGGGGTCAACTAAATGAACAAAAGCAGTACTATTTCTTCAACTCGCCTGTCCACGAAGCTATCCACCCATATCCTGTTTCCCTCCGCTAGCCTCCTGGCATACCAATATACTATCTGCTTAAGGAATCCGTTGTTCCAGCCCTGCGACCTCTTGCCTGTCTACTAGCTCGACTTTTTACCCTGCTATGGCCCCTACATCCACCCTGTTTGTTATTGGGGTGAAGGGCCAGAAGTTTGATTCAAGGAAGGAAATCCTTGAAAAGAAAAGGGGAGTACTTGAAGGAGAGAGGGATCAGCTTGAAAAGAAAAAGAAGGAGAAAGACGCTGAATTTAGGAAAATCGAAGATGACATCATCCTGAAGAACGGTGAAATCCAGCAGATAGATGATGAAATCAATAAGTTGGACGATGATTGCGAAGAAGAAGTTGACAAGCATATCGGACCTCTCATTAAAAGCGACGATATCTTCACCGAAATACATCTTGGGGGCAATTCATACAGTCCCGACACATGCAGGAAACTTGGACTTGTTCTACGAAAGCAGAAAAACCTAAAAACAATCAAGCTCGACGATATCTTCACTGGTCGCCTGCTTCACGAAATCCCCACCGCACTCTACTCCCTCCTCAGACCCCTCCTCGAAGTCAACACGCTGCAGTCAATCGACCTCAGTGATAATGCGTTTGGAGTTAATACCAAAGACCCCATTGTCGAATTCCTGAGAGCGCATCTTCCCTTGCGCCATCTGATCTTGAACAATAATGGCTTGGGCCCAGAGGCAGGAAGATATATTGCAAACGCTCTAACGGAGCTCAGCGAGAGTAAACTTAAGGCACGATCCAACCCCGAAATCAAATATGAAATACCACCACTTGAAACTATCATCTGCGGGCGAAACAGACTCGAGGCTGGAAGTATGAATGCATGGGCACATGCCATTAAGGCGCACGGGAAGGGCCTTCGCACAGTCAGGATGAAGCAGAATGGCATCTACTCGAAGGGTATTGTGACACTCCTGAGCATTGGCATTTGTCATGCTCCCGACCTAGAGGTCTTTGATTTGGAAGATAATACTTATGGCAAAGAAGGATCTTCTGCGTTGGCCGAGGTAGTGCTGGGGTTGCCATCACTCCGCGAACTAGGGGTTGATGACTGCGCTCTTACAGGTAAGGGCTGGCTTCGGGTAGCCAAAGCACTGTCCGCCGGCGAGAACAAGAAGCTTGAGATTCTTAAGTTGAAGGGTAACGAGATCAATGGTAGAGGTGTGGGAGCTCTGCTTCATGTTGCCAGGAAGAGTCTTCCCTCGCTTAAGAAGGTTCTCCTTAATGCAAATGCTTTCGATGAGGATAACGACCATATCGTCAAGCTGGTGGAGCTGTTGAAGAGACGCAGGGAGCTTCTCGGAAAACTTGATGAGGATGATGAGGCCTGGGGTCTGGATGAACTGGATGAGCTAGAAGGAGAGGAAGAGGAAGAGGAAGGTGAGGAGGATGAGGAAGAAGAGGAAGAGGAGTGGGAGTGGGAAAGAGAAGCAGAATCGGACGCCATGGTTGAAGCCAAGGCAGATAAGATACTCAAGGAGGCCGACGAGGCAGAAAACCAACCTGTGGTTACGGACGTCGATAAAGCCGTGGACAAGCTGGGCGAAAAGTTGAAATCGACAACAATCTAGGTTTCGATGAAGCGTCTATTTTTCACTCTAAGTAGCTAGCTGGGTTGGAACCGTTTTTATAACCCCTTTTTTGGCTGACTAGTCATACCCATATCCCCATATCCCTCATTCAGTTCTTCTTGCTTTTCGCATCCTTGTTTGAAGACCCCCTAATCTAAAGAGATCATGAGCACCATTTTCAATGATGCCCTTGCTACTTTACGGTTGAGTCGCGGGCGCTAGTATGAAGGGATAGTGCATGCTGTTTTTGCATTGCCCTCTTCCTTTCTCAATTGTAACTCCCAGAGGTCAGCTTTATGCAGAGTTAAAACTAGAAACCAGGGGATGAAAGTAGCTGATTCTGTTACTTAACTTATTAGTTGACGCGTAAGTTCCCCTTTCTCCCCCTCTGCTCTAGTTACCAACCAAATTGTCGACGCTCAACAAAGCCGAGATACCACAACCACACCCACCATGACCACCAGCCCGCAAAGCGTATTTTAAGTTTATATGTGTAAATCGACGGAACCAAAGAGTCAAAACCCATTGTCTGGCCCCTTTTAAGATTGGCTTGAACCATTGACATTAATCATGTCGGACCCTTCCGTCACATGACTTTTTCCCCCCCCCCAATATATAGATAGTTTAGTTGGCAAACCTTTTGCAAGTCGATCAAAGCTTAATATCATATAAAACTATGTATGAAACATCAAAAAGTTAAAAAAACTTTCAAAAACAAAAGGAAAAAAGAAGGAAATAGAGCCGACTCCTCGCGAGGTTAAAATTCATTCAAATTTTATTATTTTATTATTGTTTTATTATTTATATTTATTTATTTATTTATTTATTTATTTATTTATTTTTGACTTCTCTGTTAAGAACAGGGATGTTTCCCCCCCCCCCCCCCCCCCCCGTCTCTCAAGAAATCATCAACTAAAAATGACATCTTCTCATCAACCCATGATCTGAGCATCCAATTATTCGCGCTCTTTTCAGCCCTCTTCTGCAGGAATGTGATCCTATTCCATCGTTGTGCCCATGCATGTGATAATGCCTTTTCATTTTTGATTTCCCCAAAGGCAGGCTGCAGGTGGAGAGAACCGGACAATGGCCATCGTCGTTGTCATTTGCTTTGTTTAAGTCTGAACCCCATTTTCTATCAAACCAGCACGGCCAAAACTCTATATTTATACTCATTTTTCTTTGTTGTTTACATATCATTCTCCAATTTACCCCTCAGATAATCCGAGGGTTGCAGCTCACACATTACACAAGTGGGGGGCACAAAACCGTGCCCCCTCCCAATCATTTCCCAGTTTTTTGGATGTTGACCGACCCTGCCTATCAACCTCGCGCACACTTCGAAAAGCCTTCAATCTTTACATGTTTAGCTATTATTAACCATTCACCAACGGCTAAAATATAGCCGGGCTATACCCATTGGCTTCAAAATCCGTTCAATCTGGAGCCATGACCAGCCCGTCATTTCATCTCGTTGACTCTGCCGCCGAGGCGCCTAGTGCGCTCTGGCAAATAGGAGCTAATTTGTGTTCCGGTGTTGTGTCTTTAATATTGCCTACTTTGCTCCTTTACTTCTCTCTCTACGCGCTCGTCAAACATCAGATCAAGAAATTCGAAGTTCTTTGCCTACTGGCAAGTATTGGGTTCGTTGGAAGTAGTTGCTTGGTGGTGCTGGAGTGCAATATGGTTAGAAGCATGCAGCTCTTTGTTGGTAAGGGAAAATCGGCCTCTTTTCTATCTTCGCGTTCTTTTTATACTTGATTTTTACATTCATATTGCATATATCAAGCTTGTTTGCAAAGTGTCAATTACCGAGCCGTTGTGTTTCGTGAGAACTATAGGAAGATCGTTTTTAATTATATCGATGTTTTTTCCTTTGTTTTCAAGAGATGAACGGAGTTCTCGAAAAACGTTCAATATTTTATGCACCAAAGTGTTTACTACACAATTGCCAAAGTTGAAAACTCTTCTGACCGCAATACAGTTGCCATCGGCGTGATGAAAGCGCTAGACCTGTTCGTGCGGCGCCATAACCCCCCGAAGTATGCGTACAACCCGCAGCCTTCGTACAGTGTTCTTGCTCTTCTGTATCTGACGGAGTTGCGGTACGAATCTTTTACACCAAACCATGCGCGTCTCGGCCCTGCACCAGCGCCCAGCCCCTCAAGGGTCAAAAATGAAAGTAATCATCGCAACGGACGGGGAAGTTCCAACAAATCGAAACATTGGAAGCCGCAATTTTCAGAACGGGTCAATTTTGTCCTGCACGGACTAGCCTTTGCCACCCTGCAGACGTTATTTCCGCAATCGAACCCAACAGTGGTTGCATTGGAAGTGCTTCTGGCCATATATATCCTTTGGGAATCCATACAACTTATGCTCCGTTATCACAATAGCCCCCCACTCTTTGGACCTCTCTACACAGCAACATCCCTCAGCACGTTCTGGAGCGAGACGTGGCACAGTGCATTTGCCAGCCCCTGTCGCTCGCTCGCATATAACCCAATACGATCTAATCTACCACAGAGATATGGCGTACCGGTTTCGATAGCCAGAGCAATTGGTGTGATTGCAGCCTTTGGGATGATGGGATTTTTTCATGTGTATGGCTTGAAGCCACTTTTGCCATTCGATGCCCTCGCGAGGATCTACGCCTTCTTTCTTTTAAACGGGATTGGGGCAGTGATCGAGGATGCGATCTGGGGCAGGGAAACGCATTGGGGGAAAACGATTCTTGCTTGGGCCTTTGAGTTGATTGTTGCTAGTTGGACGGTTGAGGGACTGTCGGTGCCACAAGGGTTGAAGCACATCCGGTGGGCCAGTATATGCGATGTTGGGGAAGTGTGAGATTTAAATATATATATATATATTTGTCAAGCTGACTGTGATTGTGCCACTTTGGAATTTGTCGGATTTTTACCCTTGGAAGGGGGTTTATTTATTTTTAGATTTTTTTTTATTTTATTTTATTTTTTGCAATATTCGGGAGTTCACATGGGTTTTACTATCATCAGCCATCATGGGGCGGTTGAAAAGGGCCACCGAGAGATACTGCTAACAGTTAGTTTACTAATTAGTATAGTTAACCGCTGCGCATATCTCAAGCCTTGCTTCGACCTCAGTTGGATATTCAGCAGCTGTACGCTCTATTTTCATTCCCTGCTTTAAGCAATCTGACACCACACGATGAGAAGCAAATCAGTCGGAATCTCTTGCAATGACAAATACGGACTCCAGATACGGGCACCCATCTCGGCAACACTAGACGCAATGCGGCCATTTCTCTGTCCTTTGAGTGCGCATGTATCCACATTCCAACCTCAATCATTTAAATTCTGCAACCACTGCCCACTTGGCCAATGGTCCGTCGTCCTTCACACGGCCAGTCATAACATCGCTGGTCTACCTTAGGAATCTTCAGGATGTAAAATAATCAGCTCTTTTCTTTTACCGCCCTACAAACAAGCTGCACAGAAGGAATCGAACTTCTGAGCGAGAGATGTCTCATACCTCTCTAAAAATGGGCAGGGGTTACGATCGCTATCGCAGTCCCTGCGGTAGCCATAGTCACGACAACCCCCGCTCGGATTGCATTCGTACACATGGTTATAGATGAAATCGGCGGTAGGAAGAACTTGGGAGCAGTGCCCGCAGTATTGGCCCTGTCTGGAACCCTGGCGGCATTGGCAGGCGTCGACGCCGGCAACGGTCAGCAGAAGGCTGGAAACAAGTATGTTCATGATGCGGAGCCTCATTGTTGGAGGGTTTGAAGGGAATTTTATTGCAGGCTTTACGTTTCTTGGGATAATTTTGAGATAGAGTGAGAAGTCGATTTGGAAGATTCCTTTTTAACAATACCTAACAACCGGATGGAAAGGAGTTTATATATAAATCTCCTAGAGGATTTTTCTCCCACACTCCCAGAGACTTTTCCTATTTACTTCCTTTCCTGGGTTATATTTGGAGAGAAATTGAACAAATAAACAGGAAACCTGATCGGATATATTACGAACCAGCAGCGCTCAGTGGACGGCATGGTTACGATGGCACGAGAGCTGATAGAGTGGTTGGCGGCGTTGATTGGGTAGCTAGTTTCCCTAAATGCATCGCGACAGGATTGTTCCGACATTTGGACGCTGATAGATTTGCCCTAGAACAGAATGATGAAGCCGATCGGGTCTCGTATTATTGATCAAACAAATGCGTTACGAGGACCTCTATAGTTCAGGGTAGGGCACCCTTGGCAGTGAATTTTTTTTTTTTTTTTGAGAGGATTCGAATCTTTTTCAGATTGCCACTTTACAGAGAATTAGATCCGAGATTCTAGGACATGAAAAGGGGAGAGAGAAGCCCTTGGCTATTAGAGATCGACTTGCTCCTCTCACCACACTCCGAGACTTTTAGGATCTTTGGTGGACAAGGAGCCTGTGGTTCTTATCGTTTTTAAGGTTCAAAGTCTTATGGAAACCAGACCCGCTAGTTAATTAGAAATAATTAATTAATCATCTATCCATGATTAATTTATCCTTCGAATCTCTACCGAACAAACCCAATATTCAAGGGGCTCAGGTCCGTGAATTTGATTTGTGGACCTACCCTCTAAAGTATCAACTGTGCAAGCCCAAGCTCACTTACCAGGGAATATGCATAGAGTGCTAGCATGATATAAAACGGCTGAAGTAAATATGGATTTATTGGAAGTTGGTGCTCGCCGGTGCATTTACCCGAGTAGATGCCACCTTAACCGACAAAATTGGACGTACATCTGGTGCCGGTCAACATGGAAATGGCGGGCGGGAGACTGCCGTTAGATTGGTAAAGGAGGGTGATACAAGGGACAAAAAGGAGATTTCTAATTCGCGAATGGATATAAGCACATGTATTGACCGGAGATAAGCGCTGGGAAATATCAAAAATAAGACGACTGGGGAATATGCATGTTAGAAATATTGACGGTGCAACGGGGTAAATTCTTGCCCAACTCCCTTGCAAATCTTTTTCAAACAAAAGTAGTCCAACACATTCATAACATGAATGAAAATGGAAAAGAAATGGGGAATCAAAATTAAGAAAATACAAAAAAACATCCTACACATCTGATTCCTTTTTCCACGTAGCTCGAAGCGCCACCCCCCTCTCCATTTATAGAGTATTAAAAACACTCTGCATCCCCGCAGATCCCGAATCCTCCCTCCTCAAAATATAAGCCCTAACTTCCTGAACCGATAATCCCGTCCCCGGCGTCCCTTGCGCCGCACCCCCAGATCCTCCTGTCCTACTGCTTCCAGAGCCACTTGCATCCCTGCCACCTGTCGCTGTGGTTCCCGCCCGGACCCTCTCTCTCAGTGCCTCGGAACCAACCACAAACAGGCTACCAACTTCCAACAAGACATCGAGTGCACCGCCAACGCCCTTGACGGCATCATCGATGTCCCAGGAACGCAGCAGGTCTGCGTAGCAGGTCATGTCTTTGGTGACCATGAGGCCGCCGGGGCCATTAACTGGGAAGCGTTTGAAGTGCTCAAGGAGCAAGGTGCGGACCCCCAGGGCAATTTCAGTGAGAAATATTTTAATGTTGGAGCCGCTGGCGGGTAGGGAGGTGAGGATCGTGGTGTGCAGCCAGGTTAGGAATGTGGAGATGGCTGCGCAGGTCTGTGAAGACGTCAGCAATTGAGCTCCTTTGAAACATGTCCTTATCGACGGCAAACGCGTTTGGATGTGAGGAAGAAAAAAAAAAAATAAGAAAAGAAAAGAAAAGAAAAGAGAAAAACTTACGGGAGTTTGTAACATCTCCAACCACGCAGTGCCACCATCCGCCGCACCTTCCTTCGGGCGAAAATCATTCTTTTTCTGGCCGGAAAGGAGCCGTGAAACCCACGACAAAGTCACGTCCACAGTCTTTTGTTCGATAGAATTGATCTTATCTTCGATGCGGTTAATCATGAGGGCGGTCTTCTTCTCCATGTCCCTTCTAATTGTAATGTTCCCAGCAGCTAGTGGAATAAGTACGGTGTTTATGCATGTTATCATCAGATGAGTGATGCTAATTGCCGCACGCAAATTGCGAAGATATGAGAAGTCCGGCTTCGTCTTGGTGAACTCTTGGCTTGAGCCTGATTCGAGAGCTCCGTCAAGCGCAAGTTCAACATATCCCTCTCCCATCATAGTTAAAAGCATAGTGAGAAGCGCAGAGACATCCTTTGGTATTTCGCTACTAACGCTCAACTCTAGATCTCGTCCAACTCCTTCCGCCAGCCACTTCAGCATTCGTTTCGCAAAGGCGATATTCAAAATGCCGTCTTCCTCTGTGAGCTCGATTTCATGCTGTTTTTGCAAATCTGTATTGTCTTTCAGTCCAGCTACGCGTAGTAACATTCTCTTCTGAGTGGGGGTAAAATCTGAGGAATCGAGTCGATTGAGATATGCGTCTTTGGCGGAGTTGATGAGTTCGCTGCCAGATTTAGCTAGGGATGACATAAAAGTGGTGGTAGCTTTCTTTCGGCGAGTATGGAAGGTTGTGAACTTGAACATCAGCGATGTATAGAGTTCTTCCAGATTTCTCTTCTCTCTTTCAAGGTATGATGAGCTACTAAAGTATGGAATAAAAAGGTCTTCCAATTGCTGGTCCAAAATAAGAGCAGTTTTTGAGGATATGGCTTCTGGGTGTTCTGTCAATCCATGAGATTTCATATCATCCACTAGACCGCTAATGTAACTCCGAGCTGTCTGGAGCGATCTTAAGAAGGCCAGAGATGATACACTGTTGGCTTTGTCTAATACCATCTCTAACCGTTGCTGTATCGACTGCTGGAAAATTCTCTGAAGAAACTTGTCAAGAACCTGCTCATAGTATGGGAAAGCTCGTTTGATAATCGTAGATTCCTCCTGAACGACCACCTTAACCTCATCAACAAGTGACTGCAGGCTTGGTTCAATGCCTGGAGGGTCAGCATCGGGATCGGCCAGCCTCTCCCATGTTTCCACATCACCTCCAACTTCCTCAGTGATGAGCTGGCTGCGGTCAATGAAGAACTGATGCTGATTAACAAATAATCCAACAACACTCGCGCCGCCGTTGAAATCGTATAGTACAGCTGCACAGTCTCGCATGCCATCAAAGTTTGCTTTCCGATAAAAGTCGTCAAACTGTTTAAGCAAATCCTTCTCCAAGGTCTCTGAAAACTTCTCAATAATTTCTCTTGTATTTATTCTTTTCGAAGTAGACGAGCCGTTCGCAGCCATCCCAATAATCGTCGGGGTGGCGTTAGTGTCACTCCAGCTTGCCGGGTCCAGACTTTGGCTTATCCTGAGCAACTGTCTTGCGATGTGGGCTGATCTGACCTTTCCCTCACCGCTTCCCGACCGTCTCAAGTTTTCCAACAGAGATAATTCCCCACGGTTACTGACTTCATCCCAGCACTCGATCAAAAAATGCGCATCCAAAGCCCTCCTTCGCTGGAGATCTAGCTCTTCCAACTTCCTACCCGTTTCGACAGCAACATTGCCATCACCTTCGGCATTTCCTGGTCGTCCATTGAGAGAGCTATCCAACTTCTGAAACGACTCAATGGCCTGAGTCAACTTGAGGCCAAGGGAACTAACATTCTGTGCATGTTGGGCTTCTGCCCTTCTCACAGCAGCGGATAGCTCGTTTTCTCGTAGTTCTAGGTCGCCAGACAACTCGACCATGCGACGCTGGGCATGCTCGAATGTACGGATCAGGGGTTTTGGGTCGAAGGGTTGGCTTCCGCCGGAGCCACCAGATCGACGCTGCGATGGGAGGATGGCAGTGTCCGATAGGGATTCGACAAAGTCCTTGACGATGAAGTCACGGCTGGAGAAGGTTTCGAGGGTGAATGCGGGGCCTTTGTTGAAAATGGACCTGGTGGCGGTTGAATGAGCGCTTTGCGAATTCAAGGACGGGTTATCTGGCATGGTGATGGTGGTAGAGTTTCAAGCGTTGGCGCGCTATCATTGTTTGGAGGAATAGTAGAAAGGCGGTTTAGTCATAATTGAGTAGTTGTGGTAAAACCGCCGGTTAATAATTGAGCTAGGCTGTCAAATGTTGTGGGTGTCCGCAGATTTAATATGGCTCTCGTGGTTGTGTTTGGTGTCGATATAATTGAAGACTGCGGTGGTTGAGGAACAGCGCCATATTTCCACGTGAGGCTGTTAATGAACCCCACAGAGATCTCATCTATTCTGCATTTTTTTGATTTAATTTGAATAGGTTTTCACAGTGAAAATACATAACAAAGGATTTATGTTTATCTTTTACTGATATTGGTATTTATGTGGTGCAGTTCTATACACTACGGGTATTTTATCTGCTCCCAAATTGCAGCCCAAAAACATGATGACGCGCAAAGGCGACAGACACTTACTTCATAAGCCTCGAGCGTGGACACATAATAAAGATATATTTGAAAAGTCACGACTCAACGTTTACCAGCTCTACTGCATAAATTAAATTTCCACCAGCACAAAGACAAAAACCATTTCCAACTTGAGATCTGCTAATTTTTTTTCTCCTATCTGAAGGATATATGTGTATATATGGATCCTTGGGAACCTGTTCCTGAACAATAGTACCCCGAATATATTCAGACATCAGACATTTCATAATCCCCAAGCCGGCCGGGATATACCGCTTCCAGTCTGCGTCTGCTGGCTCGGCCGGCTCTCTCCTGCTCATGGCTTTACCTACTACGGGACCGCGTATCCGACGGGACTCGCGCATTGAGACTTCCAGGCTCACACCCGCTGAACGTGAGGAGCTTATCAAGCCCTATCTCCCAGACCCGGCTATCAGAGGTAAACAGAAGTATAAGCAGAAGAAGAAACCTATCCGAACATTTCTGAAGTCGAAGCTACACTATCTCGTTTACTTCTTAATCCATGTCTTCTTCAGCATCTATATCAGGTTTCGCCAGGCCTACCATGCGATTTGCGATCGAATTCTGGCAATTCTCTACTACCATCACCGCACCCCGGAGCTGATACACAAGGATGTGCGCGGCCTGAGCCAGTTGCCACAGCATCTGAGCATCGTGCTGACACTGAGGAAGGACGAAGATGGATTAAGTGTGATTATGGACGAGGTGGCGGAGTTGGCGGCATGGAGCTCGTGTGCGGGAATTCCGATGTTGAGTGTGTATGAGAAAACAGGTGCGAATCGAAACCCCTTATTTCATAACTTCCCTGAGAGACGGGTGACTGGTGAGACCACATACTGACACAAGCAACACAGGCATCCTAAAATCCTACATACCCACCCTCCACAAAATAGTCATAAACAAACTCTCAACCTACTACGGACCCCCGACACACCAACCAACCCTCCGCCTCTTCGCCCCACACCACACCATCTACTCACCAACCCTCTGCCCCGCCTCCTCAAAAGCAAACCAAGCCATCCTCACCCTCCTCCTCCTCTCGTCCACAGACGGCCGCGAAACCCTCGTCGACCTCACCAAAACCTTGGCCGAAATGGCCCAACACGGCAAACTGTCCCCACAAGACATAAGCCCGAAGCTAATCGACGCAGAGATCAGCGAACTGACTTCCCCACCCACACCACCACCGACTGATATGTCCGATCCGCACTTTGACGAGAGGAATAGCGTTTCCTCGTCGAGTGGGGCGGGGAGTACGCTGATGATGGATTTGCCGCGGTCTTCGTCGGGCAGCACTGTGACGGCGGGTACGGAGAATGACGCACCTACAGCAGTGTTGATGAAGTCTGAACCGCATCTGTTGATGGTGTTTGGGCCGTACGTGCTGCTGGATGGGTATCCGCCGTGGCAGCTGCGGCTGACGGAGATATATTGCACGGGGAATAAAGGGAGTTTGATCACAGGTGGTGGGGAGGCGGTGGAGTATCAGAAGTTTCTAAAGGGCTTGTGGAGGTTTTCGAAGGCGGAGATGAGGTTTGGGGGGTAGATTGGGGGTAGACTGGGTGTTGCCATTTGCTATTTTATTCCTTTTTATATTGTGTCTTGTTTAGGTTTCTCCCACGTAGAACTCCTACAATTGGGGGTTATATATCCTTGCCCCCGCACTTGTTTCTTTAACATTTGTATTGGTGCATTTGCTTTAGTTTATATTAAATTTGGCATTTAGATCTCTGAACACTCAGATTCATCTTTACCTCAGTTTATTTTAGTTATACATTTATTTTGGCCTTGTCAAGTCTATCGCAGCAGTGGACGGACATATAAAGCAACAGGGGCCTAATTCTAGCTCAATGCCAAATTCGAGAAGCATAGCAGGATCCGCTCGGTGGATGTCATTAAACATGAAGCATGTACTCTAGAACGCAGAAGAATATATCGTCTCGTGATGGGTATCTCGCTTGCTAATAAAAGAAATCTCCCGCCATGAAACCATACGAATATCCAAAAAATTAAATAAATAAATAATGATGATGATGATAATGATAATAATTTGTATGCCGTTGCCGTCAATCTATCACAAAAAAGGTGAAAAGCAAAAGCTGGGTGCTCTGGTTCCGTCCAAACAGTAGCTTTCACAGGACTGCGGCAGGGGGAAAAGAAAAGAAAGAGAAAAAAAAAAAAAAAACTAGGATAATCGATTCCCGGAATCAAAGGAGGATTATTCATCTGCAGAATATATACGTGAGTATTCCTTCCACCAAGACATTATTGGAAACGCCCCTCCAATGCCAATTGAACGGCAGCCTAATCACAAGAGGGTGGGGTTTACCAACCAGCTACACAGGCAAGACATCTCACAACCTCATCTCCACCTTCCGTGACGCCTTCAACTGCACACCATGAACATACTTTCCTCCCTATCCTCTCACTAGTCTGTCCTTCATGTCTGGGCAGGGAGTTGAATGGTGAGGTATTTTCTCGCCAACCTGGACCTTTCACCTCATTATCATCTTTCCTACCGCCTGAACTTGGGTTCGAGGGAGAGTGAGACACGTTGCAATCCATAGACATGCACTTTCGCAGGCAGATATAACATGTCCGTTCCGCACACAGGTCGCAGTCGGCGTAGGCGTCTAGGATGGTGCGTGTCGTTGGGCAGCGATGGCAGATGTGACACGGGGATAGAGCAGAGCGGGATGCGGTCTTATTTGTTTGCGGTTGGGACAATCCCGATACTGGGAGGGGTAGAGTAGTAGGATAGTCGCCGTGCATGTTGAATTTCGTCCTATAATGTGGTGGGGACAATTTTGATATTGATGTTGCCGCAGATACGGGTATGACGTTTTCGATGCCGGTGTTGTAGAAATGATGTTTTTGTGCCATGGGCAGGTCAGTTGGGATGGCATTCCAATCTGGCAATTGCTGGCCCTGCTGGCCTTGCTGTTGCTGCTGCAATAAACGCCTTCGTTTCATCGGCCCGGGTTGTAAACGTGGTCGAATGTGAGGTGCTCTCCTCTCAGGGCACGGCCAAGCGGCAAATTTAGAAGTTGCAGCGCCCAACGACGATTCTTTCACGAACTGAACGTATCCATCTTTAAATTTCTCTTCGATGTGTTGAGCGTTGCCAGGCATGAAAATGGCGCTGATTTCAGAGAGGAAGAGGATCAGCAGCACGAACAAAAAAAAAGTAGACAACAAGTTGAGAGGCTGACGTGACGAGGATTATCAGGGTAGCCTACCATTTACCCATACTGTCATTGATCTGGCTATCCCAATTACCAATGTCTCTCTTTCTCTTTTTCAAGCTTGTAGCATCCGAAAAGTGACGTCCTCTTTGATCATTTAGGGAGAGAATCGTCGAGTAAGAAGAGGGGGAATTTGGGGGTGGGTTAGACATATACATTGCGGGCAAGGAAGACTAATTGCATAGTAGATGCAGCTATTAGTCTGTATATCTAGCCCCAAGAGAGCAGAGATGGAGGTTGTAGAGGAGGTAGGAAGTAGGAGGCAGGGGAGGAGGAGGAGGAGGAAGAAGAAGAGGAAGAGAAGAAGTGGGGAGAATTTGTTTTGCACATTTAGTTCCTGAGAGGATTATCCACAACTCTAAGTCAGTGAGCGAGTTAGAGAAGGATTGATAAGCCAAGTTAATCGCCCTTGTCGGCCGGTCTGGGCGAGGGCGAAACACCGCAGGCTGCAACGGTGGAATTATGATAATACTCTTATTTGAGTGGACCGACGAATCGCCAACCAGAAAGATTTCACGCCTCAATCAATCAAGGTTGAACATGGAGCATTATAGCTGTACCATGGATAGGGGGTCATTTCATGACTAGGTAGTTATAGTACCTGGATAGGTTCACACTGATTTCATCTGCCTCCGTGAGTAAAAAAGCAATACGCAGCCTCCATATCGAATGTTGAGAAAGTAACTAACTACTGGGTAATTCCATCCTCAATATCATTTTTGCTCCTTAGAGATTCGACTTCGCGAAACGTACTCTGGCTTGCCTTCAGTCAGAGACTGACCTCTGGCGAGCAAGCATGCGCCGCGGATCGTTATTGGAGGATGTCAACACCCCAAATTTCTCAGAGGAAGTGTAACCACCCGATGGTTCTTCCAAGAGCCTGCAATTGATCCTTTGGGAGCTGAACACGTTTTCTGGACGTCTCATTCTCTGATGCTCCACCAAGGTTTCCTAACCACGCAAACATTATTCCCACACTATCTTTCTGTCCATGCATGAGTCCCTGGATCCTCTCAAAGGTGAATCATTTTGCCCGCAGCTACTCGGCCTGTACTTGCTATCTCTTCTTGAGGTGGGAGCTATATGTCTACGTGTTATATCTGGTCTAAGATATCCCCGCTTGGTAAAGCAGCAACTATCATATTTGCAACTGCGTCAATACGTATTATGCGTTGGCCAGACTCATGATTCTTTTGAAGCTCCTGTGTCCATCGATCAAAAACCGCAAGGGCTCTAACTGCGGATCTATGAAGGCAGTGATCAAAACGGTAGTTACCACCAGTTGCCAACTGATTATCGGAAATCCGGTGTGCCCCCGGATGCAGCCGAAGGTGTTAGATGTTCTTCATAATAGACGTACCAATCAGCGATGGTAACGAGCTGCATCAGCTTAGCAGACCTCAGCAGATCCATGGATGTAAACAGTTTAGCTAACATATTTGATTGGTAGGATAGCATCTGGAGGTTAACGATCGAGCTCTCTCATCAAGCTCAATGGCCGAGTAGATGTTGGTTTCCACAAGTTACTCCGTACGGAGTATGGGCAATATCGAATAGGAATGAATGAATGTTGCCAAAGTTAGCTGGGGTTTGTTGTTGCTCGGAAAAAAAACGAATCCCAGCTTAGTCAGCCACAATTTGGTTCACTGTGGCCAACAATTCCAACCCTCAATCGCTCCATAAAAAGTCACCAATATCGTTCAACATCTTAACCCGATCCTTTTAAACCCCGCTAAATTTCAATAATGTTGGACAATTACTGAAAAGGGAAGGATGGGCGGTTACTTACAAACAAGTATCCTTGCTGGTTACTTGGATTTGTGTTGCGACGATGGACAGAATGAAGGCTTAGCGCCTCGCACCCTACATCCCCACGATGAACCTGGCTTCAAAAGCCAACCATGATGCTATGAATTAGCCAGAAACTAACAGATGACGTTGAAAACTGATTTATTTGCCCGTTTGATTTCCCTTTTGAGCTTCTTAATTCCCATCTGCGTCCAATGACTATGACCAAGAGCTCTGAATCCCATTTCGTCTTAACCCCTCTCAAGTGTGAACAAATTTCTCGCTGTTATATTTAGTGATAGGGTATAGTTGTGGGTGATTTGTTGGCTTCTTCCTCATATATCTTTCTTTTTCATCGACCTCAGTTTTACAAATTGGATGTGTTTTACTTCTTAAAGTGTTCGATCATTTTCATTGTAAGGTAGCGTCAGCTATATATGGGTGATGGGTCAAGAAGCACAGCATGGAGCTACCAAGAGGAAACGAGTATCCAAAGCCTGTGATCGATGTCGTAGCAAGAAATATCGTTGCGATGGAGTAGTCCGTCCGGCGTGCCTGGCATGTCAAGGATCCAACTACACCTGCTCATACGACCCCACCGCAAAGTAAAGAGGCCTTCCGGAAGGTTATGTTCGCGGATTGGAGAAGCTTTGGGCTTTGTCCATATCCAATACTGAAGGATTAGAGGACCGCAGTACTTGAGTTATTAGCGTCCAGAGAAATTGACTCCACGAGGAGAAAAACGCTTTTATCCCTGTGGTGCAATGAGGGGAGCATCAGAAAGACTACACGAAACCTGGAAGTCAAGCGAGCTCTCTGCGAATGTTGAAGAATTGTTATCCAACCCTGGATCAACTACTATGGGGCCATTGTTGGACCGAACACGCTGGGTAATACATCGAGGCTGACGAGGTGCCATCCGATACCACTTCCAATTTTCAACCTGTCGATTTTCCAGATTATCGAATTGACCAATTTCCACCCAGTTCAGAAACTCGAAATCCAAACGCTTCGTCAAATTACCCTGCAATCGATAGAAAAAAGGGTCAAGCTCCATGATGTTGGCCAGGCTACAGGAGGAGAGCTCCGGGTGAAACTTCCATTTCAAACGCCACATCTGCTCGACATGTACTTTGCGTACACGCACAGCTGGTTTCCGATCGTGGCCAATCATAATATACTCAGAACAACCTACCAATATTCAGCCCCATCTTTCCAAATAGAAAGAAGCACCATTGGATCGGGGAATCATGCTTCGTTATGGCCTATCCTAAGTAATACAACTTCTCAGATTTCACCGAGTACAGAAGTGAACTCAACTGTGCTGGCTAGTTTCAAGGACGCCCTACAAGAAGCTGAAGAGTTCTACTCAATTGCTAGGAGTTTGATACCACACGAAAGAGGGAGTTTTGAAATTGGACACGTCCACGCTTTGTCACTTCTGGCTCTAGTCAACATTGGATTCGGAGACTGGACAGTCGCATGGTTTCTTTGCGGACAGGCTACAAGCGTATCTATAGACCTGGTTCACCAATAACGGATACACGGGGAGCTAGAGACTCCAAGGAAGATGAGACATTTCTCAGTTGTTTCATAATCGACACGTTATTATCCGTACGTCTTGCAAGGCGCACTCATATGCGTTTTGATATAATACAAAGTATCAAGCTATTGGAAGAAGACCCACTGGAAGAGTGGAGCCCTTGGATAGACGTATTCCTGATTCGTAAACTCCATGGAGGTAGAAACACTTCCCCTCGAGGACCTCTACGTTCTTTGCACCTGCTGATCGAACTTGCGAGAATCTCGAACAGGCTTTGTGATTATGATCCACCTACCCCAGAAGCCGCAGTTATGACACACGAATCATTGCTGAGGAATCTTAAGGAGTGGTAATCGAAGCTTTCCCCGCGATGCTGGTTGTCCGATATTAGCAAGAAAATATCCATAGGCGAAAGCTTTCACTACCACCCCATCAGACGTTTCTGCTTTTAACCCATATGGCCACTTTGATTCTTCTTTCTTCCCGTTTCTTACACCTTGCTCAACCCCTGTCTTATTCATATTGTCAGGTGAAGGATAGGACTCTGTCCCTTCCGGTTTACCTTGCAGAAAATTTTACGCAAACATTGTGCGCATCCAATTTTCGAATTTCCTTCCCCTATGAACAATTATTGACACTGTGCGCTTGGATACCTGTCCCGAAACGGGGATAAGACCTTGTTATCTCCATAGCTAGAGTCAGTCACCTGCCAAAATATCCCAAACGTTGAGAACGTAGGGCAGTCCCTGAACGACCTTATTCTAGAGTCCTGGATTCGGATGCCTCGAGTAGAAATTCAGTTTCACAGATCATACAACCGTCTCCTCCTATTGGAAACATGAATGATATTATCCATTCCCTGCGATCAGGGCTGCGAGAAGACATCAACACCCAACAACCAGCAAGCTGAGGAATATCTACTTTCTTTTCATACCTTTCGAAAACACCCATGGACCAGATTGATGACTCTAAGTTTTAAAAATGGGAGTGACACCTTCACCATTCCATCTCCACAGGGTTTTGACGACTATCGGGTTGTTTGGAAAATTTTCCATCAATGGCTCCCAGTCTCTCGAGAGCAAAATCAAGCGGTCCACTATTACCAACTCTACATATAGCATCCGTAATAGACTGGGTAGAGATTTATGATCATTCTCATACCAAGGACAGAGGACCTGCGCACGAAATATCATTCCCAATCGCAAGGCATCCACTCATCAATTGCGAATATTTGGCTGCTGAGGATACGTTTGAAGGAGAGATGAGGGAATGGATCACGCATGTGTGGACAAGGGCTGTATTTGGAACGGCTCTGTTCTTAATTGTGAGGGAGCTTGATCGGACTGGTTTTCATGTTGATTGAAATGTCCAACGTTAGTTGTATCGAGACCTTATAAATATAGTATTTGGTTTTCTTTTCTTTTCTTTTCTTTTTCTTTTCTTTTTCTTTTCTTTTTCTTTTCTTTTTCTTTTTCTTTTCTATTTTTTTTTAATAGTGGTGGGATTTTTATTTTTGTCCCAACGTTTTGAGATACTTATACTTGCTTTGCCTGTTAGTAATTTTATTTCTTTGGGGAGGAAAAGTGGTTGCTTGCTTGTTTTCTTAGAGGAGTCTAGGATGTTAAACTTTCGCTCCACTGCCATTTTCCAAGACAAGATAAAATCTATGTAGAAAATATGGCAAGTTGACCAAAGATAACCAACGGCAAGTACAACAACATATTATAAGTGGCGAACATAGATTCGCTACGGCAGGTTAAACTATGTGAGATTAATAGAATCCTTCCCCTTCCCGGACGCAAGGGTAAAGTAAAATCAATATCCCGAGTCTTCACATAGGAAGAATAAAGGAATTGGCGGGAAGCCTCTAGAAGCCGAAGAAGCCGATGAAGACAACTAATAAGAGAAGAAATTTAGGAAGCAACTCATTGAAAAACGAAAAGAAGTAAAACGCCAAAGAGATGCCAAACCTCCATTTTGACCTTGTTAGAAATGTGATAGAAAAAGAACAATGGCAATCCTTTAATAGAATCACAGGAAGATAGAAAATGGAAAGGCAGACATGCATGAAATGTCTAACTAACCGGCACACGCGGGAATTTTAAAGGATAGAAAATAAAAGTCGATATCAAGAGAAAGAAAGGAATGTTGACAGAAGGTAAAATAAATACAAGAAGTAAAAGTAAAAGTAAAAGCAAGGCGGGTAGACAAAACCCCGCAAGGACCAGAAGAGACATCTCAAGGAGCGAAATGATTTAGGTGGAAAGATCCTATTGCCGCCAGGACTTCCCACACACCACACAGGTGCAAAACAATGTCATCGGTTCATCCGCACTCCTCGTCTGCGCTTCCGTGTACGTAACTTTCTTCTGCCCACACTTGCCGCACTGCAAGCTGGTGCTGATGCTTCGTTCTGCCTTAGCAACCATAGCCTTGTCCATATTCTCTTTTTGAATCCTGCGCTCTTCTTCACGCTGTGCGTCGGACTTAAGTTCGTCGTGCGTCATGCGCACGAAACGCTCGGCTGTGACTTCATTGGAGAGCACGCGAATGCGAAGGCCTGGATTGGATTTATTTTTCAAGTTCTGGAAGAGGCTGCGCATCTTGGTGCGGTATTGTTCCTTCGTTTCTGGGCCAAAAGCACGGTAGGCGGCGGCTTCAACTTCAGTGGCTTTTTGGAGGACAACACGCGGTGGTTCAGTTGAGTTCAAACAAAGACCATCGTATATCAATCCGGTGCAACTATCACGGGATTTATTTTGGGTGTGTGTGATGATAACTTGGTCAGTCTTCCAGCTCCGCTTGTCGGGAGGGACGCTGGATTTTGCCATCTTATCTGAAGCTGCAGCGCTTGTGGAGGCAGGTGACGAGGTGCCATTAGTGGTCTGTCTGGGCGAATTGCTGGATCTCTGGCTTGCAGACGGTGAACCACTAGCAGCCGCCTTTTGTTTGTTGACTTCACTTCGCCATTTCGAGACAATCTCACTCGACAGACGAGCAACGTCGGGCGACTTATGTTGTTTAAGCTTGTTGACAATTATACCGATTTTTGTAGATCGCAAGAGGTCCTCTGTCGGTTGCACACCTTTTTGTAGCTCTTTGAGCAGTGATATCAACGTTGCTGGTGTCTCGCCAGAGGTCGCAGCTTTTGTCAACGCCTTAGACTTGAATTCTATTTCCCTAGTATCCATGCTGCACTAAGCTGTGGAAATGAACGTGTGGATGAAAGCAATGCGCTAGTATCGATGATAGGAGGAAAAAAGGGGGATGGTTTGAAATTTGAGTGCCAAAAGAAAAGCTGATGCCCTGTTATATAAAGAAAGTCAGCATCATTCTATTATATCATGTTAGATCCATGACGGTGTCAAAATATTTCACGTCCAAGCTGGAGAGAAACAGGCACACATCTAAAGGGGGCTAGGGAATGAAGAGTTCATTGGCAACAACGGCTTGGACACTTTCAGGATGAAGCTATTTCACTCCACGACCTGCGTAGTGTGGCGTCTGATGGAAGTGTATGTTCAAAAGCGCACATATCCCCCCCACAACAGCCCACCGCTTCTTCCCGTGCTTTCGCTAGCCGCTTGATTGAGAGCCAAATCCACCTTTTTCACAACCAAGGTTTTGACACTTATCTTTACCCACAACGGCAGCAGTTAAAACGATGATATACCCGAGTCCAAAGGTCGCGGTGCAGCAGAAGAGGAACGGGCGGGGAAATTTGCGACCTACCAGCCGACAGTATCACACAAGAAATAGCTCAGAGGCGGCCTCGAACAGTGGCAGAGCAACAAAGAGAGCGTGGAGAAGCTGGAGGGATAGTTAAGTGGCGAGTTGATGGAGGTTGCGATGATGATGAGCATGCATCGTTTGCTCCGGATGTTGCTTAGCGATTAAGATGGAGCAAAGGCAAATCACTGGATTAGCTGACGTAAGAACTACGGGACGCGAAAGGCGTTAGTTAACGTAATTCCCCATCGGGCGAAATTCCCCATCGAGCGAAAGATTAAATAACTGTAGCCCAACAAACTAGATTTTAACCTGAAATATCTACACTCAACAACAACTAATTAATTTAATTTAATCGACACTAGGATTAGGACATCTTGTTCTCTTATGATCAGACAAATTGCAGTTGCTGCACTGTTGTGGAGCTCCTGAGCACAGACAAGAGCCTGCTGGCTGAGGCTCGCAAGGTTGAATGACAGGCTGTTCAACAGACTCAGTAGATGAAATAACAAGATCCTGAGCTTCCTGCCTAGTTAGACCCTCTTCAGATTGAATCTGACAATTAGATCTCTTTCATTTTTGCTTCACAATCTCATTGACATTGAATATATCCTGATATTGCTTCTTCATAGTAAGGGTGTTGACCATTCCATATTTACAGGTCTTGATAATTTGATCAAGCCCTTTTACCAAGCTGTGAGGGGGATTTTCAAGGTCTTGTCTCATAAGATTCTTGACCTTATCTGCTTTCCTATGTAATTGCTGTGGGTTGCTAGGTGTTTGAAGTATTCAGAATGACCCTGAATTGCTGAATTGACTACTCAGGGGAGTAAGAGTTCAGAGCTGAATATCTAGTTGCTGGACAATCCAATCAGGTTCAAATGGGGCTACTCCAGTAGCCATGAAGCTACTTTGAATGTTCTGAGTCTTAAAGGCCTCTGTGTGTGCTGCAAGATAGGTATCTAAAAAGTTATTCTTCTTAATAGTATTGAATTCAAGCTGCATGTATTGTTTTATCAAGTCCTTATATGCTCATTTTAAAACAGCAAAAACACTAACATTCAGAGACTGTAGAAGATGAGATGAATATGCTGGCATGCAAAGAGAAATAATTTTATTATTCTTGCAAAGCTGATCAAATTTCAGAGTAAGATGACTGCTGTGTCTATTCAAGATAAGAAGAATATAAGTGCCAATTTTATATGAATTGACAGTAGAAATAAACACTTTAGTAAGTCATTTCATCTCTATTTCATCTGTAGTCTAGCCATTGACACTAACATCAAGTCTTCAGTCATTTGACAAGTCTTCAAATCAGTCTTCTTGAAGATTCTGAGCTTTTAGAATAATGTATAGAGATAGAGCCCAGTTTAATACATTGACAGACTTGATTACAGTAACTTATTCATGATTTTCAGACTATAGCAGCTTTGCCTGGTCATAGCACTCAGCACTAATAATGATCTTAATGATAACACACATCCTCATTGCAAAGTCAGTCTCATCAAAGTTGTATATATCTCCAGTTTGAATTTCATGCTCTGTCAAAGTATTCTCTAGAATCTTAAACTAATTCTGAATAACTCTAATATCCTCATATTTTGCTTACTCATAGTTATAGTATCTGATATAGTAATATTGAAGCTTCATACAGCATCTAATCAGTCTTGAAATCCAGTTCTTGCCAATACAGTGAGGAGTAGAGGTGGATTGTTATTGAGTAAGAAGATGATTGGTCATATTCTTTGCAAAGACTGACTGAGGAGGTAATTCCTGTTTAGATAAATCTAGCACTCATTCAACTATCAGATTTTCTTCAGCCTCAGTCAGCTTAGTTAAATTTGCATATAAATTCACACATGCAGACCAGCCCTTCAGTTGATGATATAAAGTAGTGTAGAGAACATTGAATAAGTATGCAGCTTCAGCAGTTGAGGTTATTTCTTGCTTTTTAATAGCAGGTATCACAAGTTCAATTCTTCCCTCTATTTCTATAGAGTTTCTTGCTTTTTTATTAGAAATTGGTGGCATAATTGCGCATTGAAGTGGATGAGTTAGGAAATTGAAATTATTTAATTTAATCTTTCACTCAATGGGGAATTTCGCTCGATGGGGAATTACATTACTTGCTGATTGGGAAAGATCGAATGATTGAAGTTGTTTTATGTAAGCAAAAAAAGGAGGAATAATTAACTAGTCAACGTAACTAATCAATCACCTACCGGATCACCCCCATCATTCTATCAAACAAAATTTCAAATTAAGCAATAACCACAAGGAATTCTATGTAGAAATTATACAGGATAGACACTTAGATCTGTTAACACTGCCTAATATTATGTCCAGGTGTATTACACTTGCTGCAGGTTGGGGGTCTTCACCTAGTCCCTGGGTTCAAATCTTCAATTCCTTCCTCCATATGTTGATCAGGCTCCTGAGGTCTAGCAGTCCTAGCGAATGTGTCTTGAGCTGTTAGGATTCCTTCTTTATCTATATAAAAACATGGTTTCTCTCTCTTTTGCTCCTGTTTGATGTTGGCAGCTCTCAGCTCTGTGTTTTCCTTTGCTAATATAGCAGAACTATGCATGGTCAGCTGACATCCCGTCACTAGTTGATCAAGAGCTTGGTTGATAGGACTAGAAAGAATCTTCATATGGTGTTTAATCATGATGCTCTGCAGCTCCAACTGGGTCACATTGTGAGGAGTCTTAGAAGTCCAGGAAAGCTGAGATCCATGCACTGACCCTGGGGGGGAAGGTGTATGAAATTGAGTATGTAGTTGAGTAAGAACCTCATCTGGATTGTATGGTACTAGACCTGTGGCTTTGAATCCATTTCTTACAGTAGTGTTCTTCATAACCTCCTGCCTAGCTGCTGTATAGCTAACTAGAAATTCCTCCTTATCAATATGATTGATCCCTAGTTGCATGCTTTGCTCCACCTTCTTGCCATATGCTTTCTTCAATGATGAAATGAAATATTCCAATGGGAACCAGCAAAACTACCAAGAGCCGTAAAACCGCGACCAAGCAGACGTAGGGATCTCCCAACTTTTAGACGACGAGTCACTCCAAGTGGCCCTGGCCTTTCTGGAGTGACAGCCTAAAATCACCAATGTCCTCAATGCTTTCGTTAGCAAAATGGACGTTTTCCAGAAAGGATCGTTTGGATTTCTCCCTCTGACAAGGCTTGTCAAGCATGACCTGCACACGCAGCAGAGACTTTCAGTGGGAGGCTGTGAAGAAGTCGACACCCGAGTTTGCGAACCTGGCACCAATTATCAATGATAAAATTGCTGCCGATTTTGACTATTTTTATTAGAGGAGGCAAGATGGGATTTTTGTTGCGGTTACTGAACTTGAAATAACGCACTGGAGATTATTGTATTTCCCACCTTTGGATGTCATTGCTTTCACTGTATATAATTTTCGAATTGCAATGAGAGTCACGCCAATATGCTGCTACATGTTGTCAAGGGTCATCGCTGATTCAGCTTGATCCTCCAAATTGTGAATCGATATTAAATGTTTTTGAGGGATTGCGCGCCTGGCATTGGAAATACAAACAACCTTCGTTAATGTGATTAACTAGTAACTAAATTACTCCTGTTCAGGACAAGGTTTCCTGCCAGTCAAACTTCCCAAGTTCGCCTCCACTCATCAAGCGACCATATTTCCATACTTTTCCCGACGATATTGCTTTCTTTTAACATTCCGTCATTCTTGCTCCCTGAATTCTACTTTTCTTCCAATTTCTCAAGACTGATATATCACTCGAACATGGAATTTCCGAGTATAGAAAGTCGTCAGATCATACAGTTAGTTGATCAACAGTTTCTGCCGAAATGAGCACCACCTCTTAACTGAAATCCGTTCTCTGTTTCATGAGTTTCTATCTTTCTGCGCCGATATCAGCATTGGTAGTTATATCAAGATTCCTGTCCCATCAATTTAAATTTTACGATGGTAAGAATATTTTGGGGGTCGCTATCCTCTCACTTGTTCCTTTTCTCCGTCGAAGTGGTCACTGGCTCACTAATTCATGCCACTTTTACGACTTTGGTATTTCAAAATGTCCGTTCAAGTCCATTTGCCGAGTTCGATGATACTCTCGTTTAATCCCCTCTTCCCACTTCGGAGAAAACATAAAAAGGGTAAATGAGTTTTGTGGCTATCCGTTTACACGAATTAAGGGAGAGATGGCATGTAAACCGACTCATTTCCAGATCTGCTTTTCTCAGTATCACGGTCGAATCGTATGATATTACTCTTTGAAAATGACAACTTTCTTGGCCGCGGTTTTCTGATCTTCGATTTACGATTTATTATCGACAATGTGCATGGCGACAGCAGAGAATTTTAACGTGCTTGAACGTACTAAGAGTGCGATACCTACGCTCAACTCGCACAGCCATGCTTTTAAGGAAGCAAGGGGTCACTAATGAGACGGTTAAATTAAAACTTCGTGAAAAATCCACCAAATCCTTGAACCATTGTCTCCCAGTCTTCGACCCAGACCTCAGCATGAATGGCATATTTTTCATGATAGTGGATATTGCAAGAAGTCTTAAGGGTCACTTTGTCCATTCTAGATCTGTTTCCTGTGGCCGTATTTCTGCATATTGGGCCCGTGGGATTTCTCGAAGAGCACCTCTGACCTTCTGAAACAGTTTCGGTGCTAAATAATAAGATAGTTTAATTCTCTAAATGTTGACCTATCTAGCTGCTACACTGTACGCTGTACGATGATATGCGTTGTTGTAGGGGTTAACCCTAACAACTGCCCGATGTTTTCAGACCGGGTGTTGTGCTTCACATATTCTCAACCTTACAGCCCTCTATACTTGGGAAGGGTAGTTACCTTTCATCTTTTAGTTTCTTTGTTCTGAATCCTCTTGTTCTCTTCTTAAGTGGGCAACTTAAAAAATTGTTATTTCAATTATGTTTCTTTCATGATCAGGATAATGATCATGATTTTACTTACTACTGTTGAAGATATTCCCCTGACAACGAATCTTCTCAAACACTTCTATGTTTATAATCTGAATCTTTCATATACTGTGTAGATTCTGATTTTTATGCTCAACATGGAGCTTATGTGATATCAAGATAAATTTACCCTTTGTAGAGGGCAGAGCAGCTTCTCAAGGTATGAAATGATCAGACAGCAAAAGATTTGTTAATTCAGAGAAACATCTGATAAAACTGTTGGCTTCCAGAAGTGACAACAGTAGTGGCAATAGATACCTTTCATTTATCTTTGGCAAAAAGAATTCTTGTTTTGTGAAGTTTATTATATTTCTTTCGATTGTGCGCAGTCAAATAATTTAGACAAAATCACTTGTCCTGAAGAAAAGAGAAAATGAATAGATAGAGCAGTATGGCTCCATCTACACTTTCTCATTTCGTTCATATCACTTCTCACAACAATCTCAGCTCAGAATCTGAAATAATTACTCTGACAACACTCTGCTTCTTTTCTTTCTTTCTACAACCCATATCTTCAACACACAACTCCAATACAAACCGGAAGGCTTGTGAGTGTTAGTATTTGCCAACCAACCCCAAACATGCCAGAACCAGCACAGAATCCCCCTGGCTATCGGGTGGAAATTGCGAAACATCCGATCCCTCCAAACAAACTAATTTGGCTCGACACCCAGTTTATAACCCTTGAATATGTTATCGGAGTCGAATGTCTCAATAGCATCGCAGGTGTCGACCCTTTCACAGACATGGTGGTAGTAGTGACGACAGAGACCTCGCCGGAGGAATTCGATGAACTGGCGCCCCCAACTACTCATGAAACATCATTTCCCGTGTCAGGTGAAGAGGCGATGGAAGACGGACTTAGGAGAATCTCACTGTTGGCTCCGATTAAATATACAACACCGGGGATAGTCAAAACTTCGGTTGTCCTTTTTCGAAAAGTTACAGATGAATCGGGTCGTTTGAGGTTGGAACGAGTAAGCAATGTCGCATCTGGGCCAACAGTGAGAGCAATTAAGAATTGAGTCGCGCGATCGGACTGCGATGTCCTGATGAAAGCCAAGGACCGTTAAGTTCCAGTGGTACACCCCATCCCTTTTGCCCTTTCATTCATATGACGGTGCTTTAGTAACTCCAGTCACCAGTCCTCGTTTCTTCCGCCGAAAAATGTCTTCTTTCCGAAACTCCACTCAATTCGGTCCTCATATTTTATCACCAACGCTATGTGTCAACTAACGCAGGCGTGCAGGTTCGCGAGCGGCGGGATGCGTTAGATGACATCCGTCCATCTATAGATTTTGTTCCATCGCTTATATCTTCTTTCTATTCTTCGTTCTTCTCTTTCAGACGAACGAAGACATCTAAATACAACCAGTTCGCGCATGCTTTATGCAAGAACTGATGGAAAGTTGCTTGATCTAAACCCTGAACCCAGCTCTTCTATCAAAGTAAATACGGAGGGCAAACTATATAGAGAAAATTCCTCGAAAGAAAATAGGAAGCAATAGTTTTCTCTCTAAGAAGACGCATAGTTACTTGTTCTTTTTGCCAGCTTTGAAGCTTCAATGCAATAGTATTCTATTTGACAAATTTCAAGCGTTAAGTTTCTCGGTTATCTCGTTCTGCCGTTGGACAGCATAGATAAATCCTACTTCTCAGGTAAAGAATGCCCTTCTTTTTGAGCAGCAGGGAGTTGCAACCCGTTGGTAACTAGAATGGGCATAGGAAGCCTGAATATCTGATCCTGAGTAAATCTAACATTCAATACGTCTTCAAACGAAAATATTTTATTCCATTCGCATCGTTTTCCACTCTCCTCCACCCCGGTAGATTAAACATGTATTTCTTCCTCTTCACTACATACACACCTAGGTGCCTACGCATGCACGGAGTGTATATACATTGTAAGTGTGCCGTCCCTGATAGTCAAGCATCTGATTGGCCCGCTTCAAAATGGGTGCTTCAGAGTTTGCTAGTGTCTTGGCACCAGGGCTGAGATTCCTTCCGGGGTTCGATTTGTTGACATCTCAACTTGTTATTGACGACTCTTTTTTTTTTTTTAAAAAAAAAAAAATAGTAATGAGAATGGATACACCAATGCTGATTATAACCACAAGAGACAACCGCCCGCTCACTCCTCTCACCCCAAAACCCCAAAAGATTATTAACGATTGAAGTGGTAGCCTCCGGGAACTTTGCAGAGGGATGGTGCTGCGGCCCGGGCGCTTAGTTGGTGCGGGTTCCAGGGTTCCAGGGTTCCAGGGTTAGCTGCAAAAAACGCTGTTTCAACCTCACCTGTTTGGCTGTTGCACTGCTCGCAGCGGTCGCTACCAAAGAGACCAGGCAGCGACCGCCTGCCATATCTTGTTGAAATCTGCACGTATACTTCAGGGCTTTGAAGAGTTCTACCTGCGCTCCCATGGAGAAAATTGCTTTGGTTTTATCTGTATTTCTTACATTGGTGTGGCTGGGCTCGTATCCCAACCCCAAAATACAGCCATCCACCTGGCCCCAGGACAACCAGAGTCCCCCTTGGACTCTCTCCTCTCTCTTGTGCTGACAGATTTATTATGTGGAACCTTTTTCTACTTATTCTTCTCATCCGATAGGACCTGGGATCGTAGTAGTCGATATACGGCTAACCCCTTCCCTGACCAAGAGCGTCTAGGGTGCGGATATCACAACTGCAATCCCACTCTTTTGTTTAATTTCTCTTCCATAATCAACCTCGACCTCTCCGTTTGGCTCACCTTCCTCCTTTGTAGGGTTGTCGCGGATTTGAATCTGGCACTCCCAGGCCTCTGCTCTTGATATTATGTCTATTTTTTGCATCTGCCTCTTAAGGTACACGTCCTGTGTGTTTGGGATCATTTGTAATCTATCTTGGAAGCGGGAAGCGGTCAGTGTTTGAATCCAATTACACCTCTTCCTCAGTTTATTTTGTACTTCTATCTTCACCATTCCCATTCTATCTGATGCCATTCCGTGTCTTGTTGCTTATATCCATCTGGACATTTTTGGTGCCATCTCCACAGAGTTTCATTCTGACAAGATTTCCCCTTCTTGCCTTTTGACATCAGTGGATATCATCTTGCGGCCCAATCTCTGTCATTTCTCTTCTGCTTCATGATAACCGTTGCAGTCATGCTAGAGGGTATGCGTGGTGCCCTTTGATGAGAATATCTCACTTTCATATCCATTTTTTAGAAGACCATCAGTGATCTACATAGTTAACTGGACTTCATTCTTCTTCTTCTCCCCAAAAAAAGGAGAAATTTCTTTTTGTGAAGTTATGCACAACATTCCTGGTAATTTTTTTCCATTTTCCTTCTGCTATAACACAGGCCTCCTCAAAACAGGCTGTTCAGTGTTCTCGGCATCACTCAACTCTATCCTTTCTAGGAAATAGGAATGATGAACCACATTTCCCCACATTTCCTTCTTCCTTATTACTCTCTTGTTCTCCTTCACAACATATGCCTTTTCTTCCTTAGCTTGTCGCAACCCATCCCCGTATCTGCGAAGGTAGAAATTGCTCCCTCTGAGTCCTCAACCCTGCGTCTGCCAACGCGTGTATCACGATCAATCGCAAGATGGCATACTCCAATCAAGTAAAACGCGGTGCAGCTTGTAGCATCGCTACCCAGATCGAAAACGGGCCTGAGGTCAACAACGCGTTGCTCGTTGCAAGCGCTAACGTGTCAAGCGTCAAGGTATAACTAGTCTCTAGGCTAGACATCCAAGCTATACATAATTAATCTCAAATAGGTACAAGCATTGATGGCCATCAAGAGCTCCACCGCCAATGGCTCCAGTATCATCGCCAGCCCCAAAACCAAAAGTGTCAAAGAGAAAAACACGTCCAACGTGAAACCCCGCAACACCGTTTTTGACAACCACAATGATCAGAAAGACAGTGACAACGAAGATGAAGATGATGCTGCTTCCACCGTCTCCACCAATTCCGACAGCAGCATCATTTCAAATGCATCCTCCAACCCGGGCCTCGTCACTCAGCTCAAAATGGGACTGCTAGCTGAGCAAGTTCGTCGCACCCTGAACGAAGTCGTAGCTGCAGAGAAGAGCGTTGCAGCCATCGCTGGATACGACTTTTTCAATATCGCTGGGGATCTTGAGAAAACCACCACGCAGATCCTGGCGTCATACATGACCATGTGTAAGTTGTATGAGCAACAGCAGGATGACAGCGATACAGATGATGACAGTGGACCTGAAATGAGTGCGACTATTCGCTCCGTTATTGCGCGGTACCCGACTCTGAGAGGACGTTGTGGGCTTTAAGGGGTTGGGACAAGGGAAAGATGGTATCGACGTCGGAGAATTCTTTTTAAGAGCACTTTTGTGGGATTGCGGTTTGTCTTCACAACAAAAGGATGGATTTTCAAACATGCTGGCGCCCCTATTTCTTCTATTCTACTCTGAGCGGTTGTCATGTTCACGTAACTCGTTTGCAATTTGTCGATTTCTTTCCTTTATTTTCCAGCATGTATAAGATATCTCTCAGTGGTAAATGAGCACTCGAGGAATGAGGAAGCACACTGGTCCAGGTCTTCAACCTTGTTGGCGCTGCCTGGAACTAGGATGAAAGTCAGAAGGGCCAAATAGCTCAACCACACGATTGTTTGTTTTTTCGTACTTTGCTTAATGCACTACGAAATTTCGCTTCCAGCAATTTTTTTTGCTGCCTAGCTATTGTTTTGTGAGTTACATATTTCTCCCAGAACTCCATTGTCTGGCAAAACGTTTAAGAGAAGGACAATGAGAGAATTTTGGCAGAAAATTTTGAAAACATTATTCCCTAGTTACTAATAACAAAGCCTCCATCACACGATTTGGAAAGCCAGATATCTGCATGACAGGGAAAACACTCTTATACACTTATCTCCTCTGCAGCTGTTGATTGTCATGCTTGGACTTAGAAAATAGCCAGAGAACAAGGGAATAGCAAAAGCAATGAATTGTCCATTTCACCTTGAACATAGCCCCTAAAACCGTTTCTGTGTATATGGGGTTGCAAATGCCGCATATCTCTAACTATGGTCCGCAACGAACTTCTGGAATTAAAAATATTTACAACTAAGCAGCCTTCTTGTTTCAAAGAAACACGTCCTTCGGAAAGGCTTAAGCCGAATGACTGATACGGCATAAGCTTCTGCCCCCACAAATATGGTTGCGGCAATTCCAGAAACATCCGTAGCCATGTGTCATGTGTCATGTGTCAATCACCAAGGGGTCTTTGGTGAACTTAATCATGACAAATATTGTCGGCAAATAGAATTGTCATATTCAGAACCTCAATCTGGGAGCAGTCTCTCAGAAATTCTTGCCGTTGGGGTTGTTGTTGGGGGGGGGGGGGGGGTGGTTGATCTTTACACCAGCCAGGGACTCCGGAAAGTTTACAGTGGTTACGGATGATAGTGTGACGACAAGAGCAATTGACATAATAGGCATCTTTTAAGATCTTTTATATATTGAAAGAGATGATCCCTTTGCTCTATGGGATGGTTGAATATAAAGTCCATGGACACCATATTTCAGATGGCAATATAAATATATATACCAGTACATACTCCGACAATAGAAGCCCGCATTTGTCTTCGTTTGCTCAAGTGCATTTCTCCGCCACCTAATAATTTCAGCCACGTCCGACTCTGCTTTCGTGGCGGTAGAGGTTCTGGTTCCTAGCACGACTTTGTACTTCTCATCAGAACTCGTCATGGGCTATTTGACCATCCATTGTAGGGACAGAAAGGGGTAAACGATGCATTTATGGAAACGGCAGTTAATGAACTAGACGTGGCAGGCTAACCCATGCATAATAGCAAAAGAAAGTAGAAAACCAATTGCCCAGGAATGGGTAAACATTAGAGAGCTGTTGACTCTGCATATGACTCTCCCGGAGATATGCATGTTTTCTGTTCCTGCATTCTCGGGATTAAACATCGAAAGAGTCTGGCCAATGGGGAATGAGTTATCCAGAATCCTTGCATTCATAGAAGCCTTCATACAAAGCGGAGTCCGCAGGTGCATGCCCATATAGACCTGCCTAGAGGCATGACAATGGATGCGAGAATTTCAGGCGGCCATCCCCCGAAATTCAGTTTATTTCAGGCCACAAAATTCAGATCCTGCTATGGCAAATAGAAGATACACAGCCACGCGGAGCCGATCCCAACATGTATTATCAAGAATATTAATATATGTGTGCGGGAAATTCCAGTGCATCATAGCACGAAACGTGGGACAAACAGATATATCGTTCTTTTGTGATACCGGTTAGGGAAACCGCCTGGAAGAGTCTGGGATTGAATAAAGGCGAAAAAAAAAAACTGTTTCACATCGCGATAAGATATGAAACTCGACTACGAACAAGGGAACCACAAGTCCCAGTACAAATTGTGTTCTATTTGGAATACATGCTGCGTGGCGAAACCCGCTCCCGAAATGGATCCGGTATCTTCGGGATATTGCTGTACTGAATGAGGTCCAAAGTCAGATGGCTGAAGGCATGCGTCCGTTTCAGTTCCAAAATCCAAATCAAACAGGTTCAGGGATTGGGGTAAGTGGCTTGTTGCATGCCCGTGGTTCTGTAGCTTATTGCATCCATGAATTTCAAGGAGATAGCCTGTTGTTCTACCCAAAGAAACTACCTGCGTCAGCGGCATTAGTGTCTAAGAAAAAGAGCAGTACACTAACATCCTCCTCAAATGAAGGAACACCTGCGTAAACGCTGCCAGGTAACAAAACTCCATGATATATATGAAAATAATGCCACATCTTCAGCATCCTTTACAGATTATCCATGAGGACAGCAGATCAAAATATAGGGGTGATATCCCTTTAAGCAAGCAAAAATCCTCTGTGGCTTTCTAGAAAAAGAAGCTCATTCCAAAGGCCACATCACATGCCAGTATTCTGCGCTCTCATAACTCTATAAGGAGAATATTGTGGAATTATTGTTAAGGTGTTAACAACTTTTGGGACCGCCCCTGATCTCGCTGATCGTCTGCAACTAGGAGATGGGATAGACCTGCAGGGCGCTTGGGAGAAGAATCGCAAACTATTGAGTGTGTAATTTCGTAAAGGCATGGAAGAACCATCCTTATCATCGAGTGACGAAAAGAAGATATTGGTGCTGGGGTGGCTATTTGAAATGGATGGTTTTAACTAATTGTTAATTAGTTAGTTAACGTAGTTAAAATAGCTTGTTAGTCATGAGAACGAACCGTCAAGTTCGCGTCTGGCCAATATCAACGAACTGTCATCCAAAGTTGTTTAGCAATCTCCCCGGGGTTTCAATAATATCACTTGGAACAAGAAACGAGATTTTCTCTCCAAGGCAATTGGAATCTGACTGGAAATTCCTCGCCCAATTTTCTTCGGGTGGGCTACCGGCCTTGGGCTCAGGGAGGCGACTAGTGTACCGGGTGTTTGTCTGAAGGATAGGGGGGATGCCCGTATTGTTGTCGAGAAGCACAGCATGCAATGCTACTTCGACGCAGAAGGGTAAGGAGATTATGGGTATAGCAGATATCAAGATTTGAGTAAACCGGAACAGTTTCGATTGCTCCTGGACTTGATACGATGAATTGCATCTATCAAATAGATCCGTTGATATGGACAGGCGATGTTCACGTCAAGTATATAGATATCGGGCCAGGTTTCTTTCATAACACCACATATTATTTGAATATATATATAAACCAGTTCATTACTATTGGGACAATAATGATATCCGCTCCTGGATGACTCCGAATTATTTTACGCAGTATAATCTTGAAGATCCTACTGTCGCATTATAGTTAGACAAGAATTTCAAGCTCCGGATCCTCTCTCGTTTTTTTCAAACAAAGCGCCTCCATGCTACAGGGCAATGACTACATTTCTGAGGGACCTGTGATGAATTAAAGGTTGAATTTCGGAGAATTGAAGCACCTTTATGATCTATGAGCCATGATTGTATCTCTTGTTATCTGCTGGTTCGTAGTTGGATGGACCCAGGATGGAGCCGGAAACTTGGAATTCCACATCCCGTAGTTACATAGCAACAGCTGGCTGGCTTGTTTGAGGTCTCAGCTTTTATCATATGTAGTTATTTATGGTGAAGCGGGGTTGGGTTTCCAACAATTTTTATGTTTGAGATAACTATTAATAATAATTCACCCAGGTCTGTTCTGAGATATGCGGCGTGAGTTCGCTTCCCCTTCTCATGACGTTTTTGCGGGGCCGCACCAGGACAGTTTGGCAGATGGGTGTTTCGAGAGGTGCATGGGTGTAGCATGGGTTCAAGCAGGGGTTATGCTGTCGCAGAAAAGAAGATCTCCGAACTAACCCGATCTCTCATGTGTTTTTTTGGGGGGTTTTTTTTTTTTTGTTTTTTTGTCTTTTTAATAGAAGCAGTCTGCGGCATTGTTTTCTGTTTCAACATGGATTTTAGATTCAGGGCCAGGATATTCACGAGAAACAGGACCAACTCATGTGTAGTCTAGGTCTGATCTCGACGTCGATGTCATGTCGAAGAGGAGGATCATTAACTACAGGCTGAGAGTTTCTATGGAGGCTAAGCACGGAATATTTGCAATTTGCTGATGATCTCTTCATACCTGGGTAGCTATGACCTAGACCATCCGACGTATATATCATAGACCAATATTGCTTTGCCATGTAACAGAAAGGTGGATATTTCTTCCTCCAACACGGCAACCAGCAGCTGTTTAGCTGTTTGGTTGTCAATGAAAGGGGGGGGGGGGGGGGGGGGGGGAATTGCTCCGGGTACTTACTTTGTAGCTAGTTACTTAATAAACTAAGACAGCGGCTAATTAACCATCAACAATGACAGGTTCCACTTATCAATTATTACTTCAAACTAAAACAATAATAGCTGGGGTTTAAGTTGGCTTCGGCTTTTGCTCTCTATATACATGTCTAAGTCTCCGTGATAGCAATTTATTCCCAACTCCTGCATTTATGATTTTCTTTAAATGACTTTACCCCACATTCTCTTTTGCGGTTGCTCATTGTCGTTGCTGATTGTAGCAGAGATATATCATGCCCCTCTTCCGCTTCTTCTGCTATAAAGAGACCTCTCACTCAACCAACTCTTCGCGATTCTTCCTGCAATGTCCAGTGTTGGCACCGCTGATCACCCCGCAATGGAATACCAACCAGACGATTTCTACTCGCTACCACCGGCTCTGAGGCGCAAAGTAAGTTGCTTTGAGTTGCTTTTTGCTCAATTTTTTATTTTTTATTATTTATTTATTTATTTATTTATTTATTTA